ACGCCAACGAAAACGTTCTCGCACAGGAGATCTCCGAGATTGTACAAATCACAGACGACCACAAGAACAAGGAAAGCCCCTCAAAAGCCCTGAGCTCCCTGACCATTCCCACTGGGCCACATGACTCGATGCCGCTTCAGTACACTGTTCCCATGTCCGAATACTCCCCGACTGTCTGCAGCAGTCAGTACTCATTACCCACGACGCCTATTGTCCCACAAGCTCCTGGACTGCCGCACTCGCAGAGCATGTTTTTCCCACGCGAGGCACAGTACCCCCGGATGATGAATCCCACTCCTGCGACTCAGGCTTCCAACCAGGCTGGTATGGGCTTCTATGGTGCTGCAATGCCTGCACCTGCGCCTACACAACAATATGCCACTCACCAGCGCGGTCAAAGCTACTTTTCACCAACAATGCTCAGTCCCACAGGAGACCAGATGTCGGCTCAGGCTGGTTACGCCCTTCACCGCCCTCATTCTTTGGATAGCTTCCCGCAAGCGTACAACTTTCAATTCTCAACACAACAGTCGTATCCACAGATGTACTCGTCACAGCCGCCATCACGTGCCACCTCTCGGCCAGCATCGCCAACATGGGACCAAGGAAGGGGCGCGAAGAAGATGCGCGCTCAGCCTGGGTTTATGTTGTATGAGGACTTTGAGGAATGAGATCTTGACGATACGAAAGCACGAATTATGAATACAAATACGGCGCCATGTACAGCGGGCATTTGAGTGGCGTTTTCGGAGTTCTTCACTTTGATGTTTGATGATGATCTGGGTGGATGGTTTTCTGACATGAAACAATTCTAGCTTCGGCCACTCTGGTTTCTGGAAAAAGCGTTTGTTCCACATGAAATCTCATCTGTACTTTTCTTCGCTGTCAGATGTCGTTCTAACGGGCGGATCCGCCATAGACTTTGTTCTGTTACTATAACTTTAATTACTAGACCAGATCCTGTATCAATTCTCCTTACTACTAGTTCCCTCACGAGGATTGGTAGATTCAATGAATCATTTTACTATCAGCATACAAATCGTGCAGGCCTCAGTGCGTGATCTTTAGCAGGACAGGGCTTAGAAGGCGCTATGGGTTGCACCACCCTAGATCATGATATCTGTCCTGGCTTGGCTAATTCCAGCTCACAACACATCTGCAGGATATTCATCAATGCCACCCCATTGCATGAACAATGCATACCTAGTACAGTTTCGGTGAGACGTGTGATTACGAAGAACAGCGAAAATTGATTGAGAATCTTAATTCGCAGCATTCGCAGTGCTCGCTTGGTTGCAAGAGCCGGAGTTTGCATATTGACTTCACCTCATCCGATGCAACAGCACTACGAACATTATGGAATCGAACGGGACCAATGGATACAGACAGGCAGAACACGACAACATGAAGACCGAAAACAAAATTACTGAGAAAAATTACTCCTTCACACCCTTATCGCCAACAAGCAACAGTAGTCAACTCCCACAGCAAAGGCCTATCGCGCGCTCGCATCACCTTCCTTCAATTCGCCCGGCTCGCTACAACAAAGCGTGTTCGATGCCGGAATGCTGGTATACAGCGGCCGAGCTACGGAAGTTAATATGTGGTAGATTGGATGGTGTGGGATGCGCACCACATACATCGATGAGAAGCAGCCGGCAAGCTAAGTAGCATGTGCCCTCAGGGTTCACAACGCGAACGTCGCAGGTACCCGAGCATGACCGTATATTGAGCTCCTTTGATTTTTGGCCATCAATATGAACAAGGCATAGCATGACCTGAGCCTACCCCTTTCTATTCGACACTCGGACGGATGGATGTCTAAACAACCTTTCTTCGGGACGGGGGCGTTTATGCAAGTCAGGATGATGGCGCTCTCATAATGAATAGTGCAGAATCTCATCGAGAGGCAGATCATTATCTCATTGTTGTACCAAAAACTATATGTTGTGTCACCAACACGCATTCATTCAATTCATCCGAATCCTTCCCAGAATAGCCGACCAAGTCAAAAACCGAAAACAAAAGTAAGAACCCCAAACACCATTTCGAACTCCCAAGATACAGAAATAAGGAGAGATATTAAAAACAGAAAGGCTTCGCAGCACATGCTGGGGGCGAATGGGAGCCAAATAGTCCAGACAGAGTTGAGGTGAGCTTTCGAAACACCAGGACCGGACTGTATCAATAGCAAATGTTATTGCCCTCGGCTCTTGACGGAATTTTGAGCACCGGGATGCACAATCAGAAGAGCTGCAACGGCCCGAAGCCGCGCTTGCTTGCGTATAAGCTGGGTCTGCTATATCCTAGTATGCATGGCACGCCTCTGCGCCCACTGGGCGCTGCAAGCAGGCCGAAAGACAGGCCTACACACCCCCTCGTGTTCTTCTGCGGGCTTCTGCGGTGCTCCCGCAACTTGGTGGCGCGATCCCGTAGCACACTGTAGGCTAAAAGCCCGCAGCACTAGCTTTCCTGTATTCTTGGAAGTTGCTGGTGCCGCTAGCAATCGTTGGATCTTCTTGGCTTCGTAGCTCTTCCTCGAATCGTTCTTCTTCTTGCGCGTGGGCAGCTTCGAATGCGGCAGATTGGCCGCGGTGGAAGTACAGAGGTGCGCGTTTGAGGAGGGCTACGTCTTGTGTTACGAGAATGTGCTTGACGCTTGAGCCTGATTTGGTCAGTCTTCTGAATTTATCCTCGGGGTGAAATGATAACATACCTGGTGTTTCATATTTGGCTTGCAAGAGGAGCTGGTCGACGACGTGTCGTAGTCCACGGGCACCTGTGCCCATCCGACTCGCTTTCCGTGCGATTTCACGAAGCGCGCCGTTGGTGAAGCGCAGCTCGATGTTCCTGAGATACGACTTGTGCTCTTCCTGTCGTATTAGACTGTCTTTGGGCTCGGTAAGAACGCGAACAAGAGCTTCCTCGTCCAAGGCCGCCACTGCGCAGACTGTGGGTATCCGACCTATGAGCTCAGGTATCATGCCAAACTTCTGCAGGTCCGCTGGCTGCACATGGTCAAGTACGTTGATCCTCTCCTCTCGCTGAATCTGCCTGACGCCGAAGGGATTAGGTACGTCGTTCTTCGGAGGTACGAAGAATGGCGAGTCTTTTTTGAAGGATTCAGCCTCGGGGCCAGTGAGCATGACACCGTCGGCGGCGGCATGTGCATTCGATGTCCGTATCGACGCCCCAAAGCCCATACTACCCTTTGACTTCCTGTCCAGGACGATCTTGTGCAAATTGGAGAAGGCGCCAGTGCATATAAAGAGAATGTTGTCAGTTCGTATGTTGAAAACCTCGCCTTTGTTTCCACCAGGCCCAGGAGGTTGAGGACCACCAGGCATACCGCCGGGCTTGTTTGCGCTCTTCTCTGGCTTTGCTTGCACTTGGACGGTTGTGCCCTCGATGATTTTCAGGAGCGCCTGCTGGACACCTTCACCACCGACATCCTTGCCGTATGACATCTTGGATCCTGCGATCTTGTCGATTTCATCGAGAACGATGATGCCATGCTCAGTTGCGTCGATATCATAGTTGGCGGCCGAGAACAAGCGGGCTACGCAAGACTCGACATCGTCGCCAATATACCCAGCCTGTGTGAAGGTAGTGCAGTCGGACATGGAGATGGGCAGGCCCAGCGTCTTTGCCAGTGTCTTGCACATCAGTGTCTTGCCTACACCAGTCGGACCAAGTATAAGCACATTGGACTTTTCTATCTGCAGCTGGCGCTCGCTAGTATCGAGCAAGGAATCGGAGTCGGGGGCAGTGGACGAGGCTGGTTTGTAGGCAGGTGCTTCGCTGTAGGGTAGAGGGTCACTGTGACTATGCAGTTCTACAGTGGACTGCTGACCGGGGAACTCGTCTGCTCTGCTACTCAGCCATGGCAAGGTCTGGGGATGAGAGCTGAAATCATGGATGCTTGGATCAAAATGAGATTTGGGGCTACCTTCTACAGGATGTCTGTATACAGATGCTCTCCTCTGCGCCTGCGCCTCGAGTCTAGCCTGCTCATGATGTTGCCTTTTGATTTCCTGGATTCGGAGATGGTGCTCGTGGACGGCTACGCTCAATACTATCTTTGCGCGGTCCTGATCCACGACGAACTGGTCCAGATGCTGTCTCAGGACCTTGGGCGTGATGAGACCAGCGCCCACATTGCTGGTGTTGCCCAATGGGCCTCGCGTGGGCTGATCGGGCTCATAGAAGGAAGAGAAGCCCTGGCCGCTGAAGTCGGAACGGTTGAATCTGGAGGATTTGCGCGTGTGCGACTGGGACAAGGGTGCACGGTGCGAGATGCTATAGAGGGCGAGGTAGGACGCGCGGGCCTGGGGCGAGACGGCAACGGGGAGCGCGCGCTGGAGGGTCCGTGGCAACATCATGGTGGAAGAGGAGAGCGCAGAGGAATTCACACTACAGAAGTTACGCGGGCATCGAGGGCATCACGAGGGCTTTAATGGACTCACGATGGCGCCGGCTGTGCTCGAGGCTTGGAAGCAACCGTGGTTGAGCCGCCGCGAGCTCCCCACGTTAGAAGATGCGGGGAGGTCCCCACGGTTCCCGATGATGCCGATAAGGGCCTCCTTGCCGCCGACCGCGCGCGCGCGCGTTGGTGCTACGACTACCCAAAGGTAGTCTACAAAACCATGTGATGCCCCGTCAGGGTCTTCGCGCATCGCATTCACAGCTCGGATGCAGATCCGACGAATTGTAGCGCAAATCCTCCCGACACGCACCCCCGTCGCAGCGTAGATACCGCTGTTGGGACAAGTGGCGTGGGCGCGATGCCCGTTACAGCGTGCTCGGAGCTATGACGTTGATTGTTGGGTTGGCAACGAACTTTTGGTTGAGCGCTGCGCTCAGCAATCGGGTTAGGGACCCCGCAAATTCGAGATCATCTCTGCAATTAATCTGGCAGGCTGTCTCTGTGAAACCTGCATCTACTCGCTACCATCTCTGGTAGCAAACTTCACAGCTCCTTCCTCCCACCATCCCTCACCATGGAGCTCAACAAGGCTTCAGCAAACTCGACCCTGAGCGACACACCCGGGCAGGTCCCAAACGATGGAACTGGTACACACCGCTACTCTGTTGCTGCTGCCAATTGACTGACCCAATTGCTTCCAGGCATCATCCAGATGGACGGCTACCTTGAGCCTTTCAAGGACGCGCTGAAGAGCCGCTTCTCCAAAGCACAGAAGTGGATTCAGACCATTGAAGAGACTGAGGGCGGCCTTGACAAGTTCTCGCGGGCAAGCTCCATGCATGCCTCCACGAGCGCCGTGTAGCTAACCGTGCGCAGGGTTACGAGAAGTTCGGCTTCAACGTCCAGTCCAATGGCGACGTCGTGTACCGTGAATGGGCCCCGAATGCCCTGCGCGCCTACCTCATTGGTGACTTCAATGACTGGAACCGCGATGCGACCCCCATGACCAAGAACGACTTCGGTGTCTTCGAGGTTACCGTGCCTGGCCAGAATGGTCAGCCCACCATCCCCCACGACTCCAAGATCAAGGTATCCTTCGTCGTACCCAACGACCATGCGCGCCAGGAGCGCCTGCCAGCCTGGATCACCCGAGTGACCCAAGACCTCAATGTCTCCCCCGTATACGACGCCCGCTTCTGGAACCCTCCCCAGAAGTACGTCTGGAAGAACCAGCGACCGCCCAAGCCCCAGAGCGCGCGTATCTACGAAGCCCACGTTGGCATTTCCTCCCCAGAGCCCAAGGTAGCGACTTACAAGGAGTTCACACGTGATATCCTCCCTCGCATCAAGCATCTAGGATACAACACTATACAACTCATGGCCGTCATGGAGCATGCATACTACGCGAGTTTTGGTTACCAGATCAACAGCTTCTTTGCTGCAAGCAGCCGTTATGGCTTCCCAGACGATCTGAAGGAGCTCATTGATACTGCGCATGGAATGGGCATCACAGTCTTGCTGGACATGGTACACAGTCACGCATCTAAGAACGTGCTTGACGGTCTCAACATGTTTGACGGCAGCGACCATCTCTACTTCCACGAGGGTGCCAAGGGACGACACGAGCTGTGGGACAGCAGGCTGTTCAACTACGGTCATCACGAAGTCCTGCGCTTCTTGCTCAGCAACTTGCGCTTCTGGATGGAGGAGTACCACTTCGACGGTTTCCGATTCGACGGAGTCACCAGCATGTTGTACACCCACCACGGCATTGGAACGTGAGTAACGAACTTAGACTTTGACTTTCAAACACTAATTGAATCAGGGGTTTTTCAGGCGGCTATCACGAATACTTCGGTCCTTCAGTCGACGAAGAGGCAGTTGTGTACCTTATGATCGCCAACGAGCTTCTGCACACGCTCTACCCTGACTCCATCACAATCGCCGAAGACGTGTCCGGTATGCCTGGTCTCTGCGTGGCACTCTCATTAGGCGGAATAGGATTCGATTACAGATTAGCCATGGCTGTACCCGATCTTTACATCAAGTGGTTGAAGGAGAAGCAGGACATTGACTGGGACATGGGCGCGCTTGTCTTCACCTTGACAAACCGAAGGCACGGCGAAAAGACCATTGCGTACGCAGAGAGTCACGACCAAGCGTTGGTCGGAGATAAGACTCTGCTCTTCTGGCTTTGCGACGCGCAAATGTACACCAACATGTCGATTCTTTCAGAGCTCACCCCCGTCATCAACCGAGGTTTGTCCCTACATAAGCTGATCCGTCTGATCACGCACGGCCTGGGAGGTGAGGGCTACCTGAACTTCGAAGGCAACGAGTTTGGCCACCCCGAGTGGCTCGATTTCCCACGCGAAGGCAACAACAACAGCTTCCACTACGCTCGCCGCCAGTTCAACCTTCCAGACGACGAGCTTCTCCGCTACAGGTTCCTCAATGAATTTGACAGCAAGATGCAGTGGACAGAGGAGAAGTACGGATGGCTCCACTCGCCTCAGGCCTACGTCAGCCTTAAGCACGAGGGCGATAAGGTCATTGTGTTTGAGCGTGCTGGACTGCTGTGGATCTTTAACTTCCATCCTCAGGAGAGCTTCACTGACTACCGTGTTGGTGTTGAGCAGGAAGGTACCTACCGCATCGTTTTGAGCACCGACAACAAGGCCTTTGGTGGGCACGGCAACGTTGACGAGACTACGAGGTTCTTCACCACGCCATTTGCGTGGAACGAGAGGAAGAACTTCTTGCAGGTGTACATTCCTAGTAGGACTGCTATCGTAAGTCGACTACTATCTGAATCTACATTGATTGCTTGCTAACCCAAGGACAGGTACTCGCGCTTGAGAGTACTCTATAAGCGACCCTGAAAGATGCGTACGAGGCAAGATGCTGAAGATTAAATTGAAGGGTTGACCCACTCAGTGAAGTGGTCGTGTCGTATGGTGTGAAAAACGACATGTGTGTCGATAAGATAATAGAAGACATTTGCGCATTAGTTTTGAGCCTTTCATTCTTGAATACTGGTTGGTGTACCTCTGATTTGTCCATACCGTCGATACGGGTAGCCTCGTACGCGTAGCTCGCTTCTCCGAGCCCCGAACTCCGTTATGTCCGACCTTTTGTCCTCGCGTCATCATCGCGGAACACTTTCCGAAGCTTCCATACAATTTCCCTGTCGCCCCGTCTGGCGTTGTAACATAGCAACCATGTCTTTCACTCGAATTCCTCGGGCTGCTATACCGCACGCCTTCCGCTCCTTCTCTACAACCCGTGCGCGATTCCAATCTACAATACCCTATATTCCATCATGCCCGTCACCAACCTGTGAATGCGCAACAGCGCCTCCTGATCTAGACATTGATCGCAAAACGCCATTGCTGAATACCATGGCGGCATACTCTGAACAGGTCATCTTCTGTACAGGAAAAGAAGACTGGGTTAGCAACATCGAACAGGAAGAGGGTGAAACTGGGGAGTTTGTGAGAGGGCTCAAAGGTGTAATTGGAAAGGGCGGTCCTGGGTTTGATGTAGGTCTGTTTCCCGATGAGTTCATCTTCTGCTACGTCGAAAACTGACACGCTCTCGCCCCATAGCCTTTTACCAATGTCCTCATCACTGCTTCTTCGCTACCGAAGAGTGAAAAGACCGGCGCAACAACGGCTTTACTGTTTCCGAGTTTCAAACGTATACCGAATATTCCTCACACGCCCGAAGCCTTCTCGAATTTCGCGACCGCGTATCTGAAAGCTCGAAAACTACATTCTATGCACGATGGTCTCTCTGCTGAGCAAAAGGCCAACCTCCTTCGCGACGAGTCGAAAGCAATCGAACTACCAGAGGCGGAAAACATTACGAAACCCACAGTATTGATCTGCGGACATGGCGGCCGCGATCAGCGATGCGGCATTCTTGGGCCTTTGTTGCAATCCTCGTTCCGGTCCGAGTTCAAGCGTAGGCGCATAGATGCGGATGTAGGCCTGATAAGTCACATTGGAGGGCACAAATACGCGGGAAACGTCATCATCTATCTGCCTCCCAGTATTGAAGACAACGCGCTGAAGGGATCGGGCATCTGGTATGGTAGAATTGGACCTGAGAATGTTGAGGGTGTGGTTGAAGAGACGGTAGTCAAAGGACGTGTCATCACTGAGTTGTTGAGAGGGGGTGTCATTCAAGGCGGAGGCAATATTGGGAGGATGATCGAGACACAACTGAAAAAAGATAGCGGAGAAGAGGACAATGGGACCCTGAGACTAAAGGCTAGGGCGAGAGGCTAAGTGGAGGTTTGAATGTGCTCACTCGATTTGTATCTTGGGAGGTGCACATGATGGGATGGCTGATGACTTTTGATGAGCATACTACAGCGACATCGCTGGATAGAAGTAATCTAAAAAGTTACATTCTTAAACCAATGCAAGAGACTAAAGGCTGTGGATGTCAAGGTGTTTACGGTTTCAAAAGATGTATCGATGTTGACTTGAACAAAAAGAGGGATAGGGTGAATAACAGGCTCATGGTCCTCAAAAACCTTAGTATCTGACCAAACATAAGCTGCGACCAAACCCGTCTAAGTTTGACCATGAAAATGCTGGGGCCTATTACGAAGCTTCTGGGATTGGGCTGTGATTGAGAGGCAGTTCGCACGTCGGCCATTACATGGCGATCTGAGTGTTCCTTACTTCGCACCCTCAATCATCCTGGACCAATGATTGAGCTGTGTGCACACATAACATTGGCCTTTACTTGAGTATCTGGCACTGTAGACGTATAAGAATAGTCGTTATTTTGCTTGCTAGAAACAATGCCATATCCTTGTTTCCTCGATCCCAATCATACAACTAACACATAGGCTAAAGCTGAAAGAACATACGCCCAAAATGCACCCGAAGAATTAGCCCCCATATACTCCCCACTTATTACACTCTTACCAAACAATCAACCCCTAGAATCGTGTCTCCAGCCATGCATCGCTGACAAGCGCCCACCCATACCTGCAAGTCCACCAACCCCGCCCTCTCCACCACCGAATCCGCTAGGGCTGCCGAAGCCACCACCTCGTCCATGACCACTGCCACCGTTGAGCAGCTTGTCAAATTGCTCAATACTTACAATAGCACGTTGTTTGACATCAGTGTCGACGTCACGTCCCAGCTGCTTGGCACCTTCCTCGAAACCTAGTTGGCGGAGACTGATAGCCCGTTCGCGCGTCGCAGCTTCGTCGGTGTGGTCTTCTACCCAAACAAGATTATGCAACATCCACGAGCAAGCTACGCGAACATCGCGACGAGGATGCGCGAAAAGAGGAAGAACATGTTGCATGAGTGTGGTCTGTGAAATAAGGAGGGAGCGGTGTTGAGGTCGGCCATTGGCGAGGTGTACGAGTATATATACGGCAGCAAGAATGAGTTCGGTGGCAGGATATGTAGCCCAGTTCGATTGCCCTGGGTTGTTCGTGGAAGAAGAAAAGGGTGTACGGTGGCTGTTGCTTGGCCAGTAACTGGGAGCACTAGGACTGGTTTGACTCTGGGACGATGATGTGGACAAGGAAGAGTGTTTCGGCCGGATCTTAGCATCGAGAATTTCAAAGAACCGGCTGTGGCCAAACGTCTTGAGGAGGTGATCAATCATTTCACCAGAGGCTTTGTCTTCGGAGACGAAGTTCCGAATGAAGTCGAGCGCTTGCTCTTGTATGCGTATGTCATCGCGCTCACTGTTCAGCCGATGATCCTGTTCATCATTCTTAATTTGCTGTAATCGATCTCGGATGTTCGTTGCACTCGTGTATCGAGATCCAGGACGTTGATGTCGTCGCATAGACGGTATGCTCTCAGTCATGGCATCGTCATCATCATTTTCCGATGATGGCTCGTCATCCACATCCATGTGAGGCTCGTCGACAGCGTTGAGAATATCGACCTGTTCCCCAGCTGCATTGGGTGTTCCCATAGCAGGCTTGGATGGCTCCCCGTTGAGTACCTGCACGAGCCAGCCTACACCGAGCTCTTCGAGACACTGTATCTTCATAGCATGTGGCAGACCCAGACACAAGTGCTTAAGTGCCCAAAGGCTGCCGAAACGAAGGTCAAAGTTTGCTGATCGACATTGCTCGCACAGAGTTCCCAATACTCCAGATTCAAGAATCTCCTAATATTCACATTAGCTTGAGAACACAAAACGATCAACATTCTACCTACAGTTCGCATGGGAGACACATCCAGTACCAAATTTGTTATGACCTCGGTAGCAGCAATCTGCACTTTGACGTTCGGATGCGTCAAGAGCTCGAAAATTGGCTGTGCAACACCGTGATCGATCAAGCTGGTTCTGAGTACACTGACAGACCTTGAAAGCGACCGTGTAACTTTGCAAGCAGCAATTAGTACCGCATCAGGGTTGCCATCCTTTGCTGAAGAGGATGCCCCTTGCTCATTGGTTTCTCGGTACGGGACCAGAGCTTCGATGATGTGCGTTGCAGCGCCCATCTCAATGACCATCTTCCTTAAAGAATCTTGATCTCCTGCTATTGCCGCCAAGGCCAGGAGAACGCTCTCTCGATATCTGAAAGCATGCAACAAATCCGCACTTAGTCCGGATCTACCTAGTGTCGATGACGCAGGGTCAATACTTGGATCTCTAACTTCGTTAGATGATGACCGTGGTTGCCATAAGGGCTTCGAAGACGTAGCAGGCACATCGAACGACTTCTTGAGAATCTGAATGAGCGTCGGTAGGGTCCGGGTATGGACAGCCGCTGTCTGAAGAGACTTGTTCCCAGCAACAAGCTCAGCAAGCACAACTGGTGAGCGTTCCAACACAAAGCGCAACTCGTCTTTTGCCGCAGGACTAAGTGTACTCGCCTTCTTGGTCTGCTCCGATGTCGGACTTGAGTCTTCAATCATCTTTTCCACCAACGGGATAATCAGATACGAGAAGTGCCTTTCCCTTGTGGTCTTCGAAGGGTCGTTCAAAGGCCATCGCTCGCCAAATTTCTTCAACAACGCTAGTAACCAACAAGCAGAAAGACGCTCTCGTCCTTCGCCTCGACGGGCCACGTACATGAGCCATATGAACAACGGCGACTCAGATTCGTCAGTGATGACACTTCTACTTGAAGTCTGCTGTAACGACTCCATACTTGGCAGACGAGAATAACTATCCCCAGCGGCAGAGGCGTAGGCACCAAGAGCCGGCCATTGTTTGATGTACGGATCTGATTTGCTCGCCATTGTCTGTACCCGCGGAATTAATTTGTCCCAGGATGCCGCCTGTGATGTATTACTTGCGTCTAACGCTGAGGCGCGTTCCTTCGGCCATCCGAAGAGTTGCTGTATTGAGTGTGAGTAGAGAAACCGAGCAGTGTAAAAGTGTGAGTCCTTGATGACAGCCGAGATTGCCTCCAGAATATCTGGCAGACAGGCACGGGGAAGCCGCTCGCGATTCGACTGCTTCCACTCTGTTGCGGGGATCCGATCGTCCATGGCAGCGACAGTAGCAAGCTTGTCAGCCAAAAGATCCAGTATTCCTGAATCCACTAGCATCTTCTTCTGGTTGTCTTCTATGCACGTCTTCATGATGAGCCGGATCGTCGCCTCAATCTGCTGATTGGCCTTCATCGTCCCAGCTGGTTGCGCCAATATCTCGGCGAGGCTGTCAATGACAGACCTGGTGTATATCGACTCGTTAACGGCAAAAGCGAGAGATGACCGGGAGGATGAGTCGGACGTGTCGAGCCAAGGTTTCTCCTGGTTGACGGCGTCAATGATCTGATTGAGGGTCTTGAGGGTCGTGGTAACGAGTTTCGAGGGCGTCTCGCTGGGCCTCAGCGCTTCGAGCAGTGGAGGGAGGACATGACCTGCTAGAAGTGGGGCGACAAATGCTGGACCGCCTGTGTGTCTCATGTATCAGCCAATATGCTCCTTCAAAGCGTCCTTTACACTGGGCACTCACCATTCGCAAGGCTGCCGACGACGAGCGTGGCCTGAAATCTCAACTCATCCTCGGTAGTCCATTCTTCCATGTCCTTCCTCGAATCGTTGAAGAGCCCGGAGCTGTGTCCATTCGTGACATTCCTCCTCCTCTTCCTACCCTTCCTAGCTTCTGCCCGTAGCAGACCCGCCAGTGGTTTCACAACGCCATGTGTCACTGCTAGTTCTTTCCTCTGCTCATGCCCTACTATCTCGTTTTTGAGGTTCTGGAGTGCTGTGACCTGTGCCTCGGGTGTACTAGGGTTCGAGAGCTCGTTGAGCGCCGGAGGTATCATTGACCGGCCCATGGCGTAGACGGAAGGTAAGCGGGTAATTGGTAATGGGTGTGTACTACAACCGGTTGGCGCAGATTAACGGTCGTCGTGCAGCCTCATGCGAAGAGGTCCAGTACTGGGCGCACAAGCGTGTGGCAATGACGGGCGGCGCAATGGAAGCTTCACTGGGAAACTGCGGATTGGGGAGTTGCGAGTATCGTCGGAGCAAGGCGCAACAGGAGATTATGCTACTGCCGATGCAGCATATAGGCTGCGACAATCAGGTAATTGTCAGGTGGTATGCCAAGTCTGCAAAGCCAGTCATGCTCAACAGAGTGGTCGCGAGCGAAGAAGTGCAGATAGCCGCGCTCAATTCCGTTGGCGCAACGTCAGAGCAGCCGCGATAAGGGTTATCGCCACGTGATTGCTCATTCACCAGCTTCCCGAGGTCACTCATGCGGACTTGCCCTGCATCTCCTTTAAAAAGCGTAAATGCGTGCAATTCATCAGACGTGATACATAACCATAAACTAGCGCCCCATGAGTACCGTTACAGTCGTCAAGCACGTCCTGGAGCCTCCTTCCTGTGCCACCATCCCAACCCAAGACAAAAGAAAATCGTGTCCATCAATACAAAAGGATGCTAAAGCAGACCCAGAAAGATGCAAATGCATATAACCAATGTCCGATTCCTACTCTTTACGCATACCCGTAAACCTCAGTGTCATTCTCCTTCACCACACCCCCTTCCGTAAGTATGACGACAGCCACACATGCCGCATATGCCTCACGAATAGCGCAAGACATACACGTCTCCTTGATGTTTGCCACGATAGCACTATGCCCATGATGAGCACACCACGCTCTTGCAAAAACTTCGTTATCGCTCACGCCTAGAGCCTCTATAACGAGCACATTGGTAACTTGTTCGTGAGCACTCTTCTGCTTTTCGTTCATGAGCGCCAAGGCTTTCTTGCCAGGTGATGATTTAGAGGATGTGGGGCGGGGTATGCGACCGGACTGATTGCCCCAGTCTTGAATGTCGACGAGGCCTTCGTCAATCTTTATGGCTTTGAAGCTGAAATCGTAGAATAGCACTAATGGTGGTCAGCGTATGAACGGTGGTTTATCGAGAGCTAGATGCGTACCGTGAGGGCCTTGGTGGCAGGGAAAAGCGTTGATGAAGTCAACATTATATCGTAGCTTCATTGGCCAGCTCTCCCCGCCACATGCGAATGAGATGGCGGCGTCAAAGACCATCGGAGGACCGACAGCGTGCCTCGTCCCTTCAGGCCGCTCTTTGACAGGCATAAAGCGAAGCTTCTCCATTCGTATTAGATCTGTTACGTCTTCCGTGTCCGGCATAGGAACTATGTAGTCGTCTACGGGGTAGCTGTCGTCCGGCGCGCCCAAGGGATTGGTGCGTTGATCCATGGATTCTACGTCAACCGAGAACAACATAGGATCCGGTGACTCTTGTTGTCTAACCTTCACACACTCAGTGCGTTTGAGGTCCGGGGTGTATATGCATGGTCCAATCCAACCTGCAATCTGTTTGACCCCTCGTGCGGCGCCTAGTACCTTGCCAACGATAGATTGCGATGACCAGTACGTATTTGCTCGATACTGAAAGCCGGACGCTGGGTGCATATGGGTCAGATACTTGAGAGCGTCGCCAGTATCCCTATCACAGTCTATCAAGCTGTTCATAATGAGCCAAGGCAGTGTCCGACCAGGCAGGATGATGCCTGAAAACCAGGACATGGCATCTGCGGACCGGTCCTCAAGTGCTCTCTCGTCCAAGTCCTGTTCGTCCAGGACATACTCGACTTCATCCATGTTTGGCCACTTTAGTGTCGCCGCAAATTTTCTCAATGCTTCGATTTGTCTACTTTTGCTCCTCAGATCAAAGCTGAAGGTGCTCTGGGTGTTTGATATCCGCGTTTTGGAAATTTCCATATTCTCGAGCCACCGTTGGGCCACTGCCAGGTCCCAGGTAATGATGGCGGGAAGCTGCAGAATGAGCTTTCGCTTAGATTTCTCTGAATGGTGCTTAGAGTGTATCCGAAGGTAAAGTTCGACCGAGAGCAGCAGCTGGTGAAAAAACTCCTGTTTCTTGCGCTGATCCGGGCTGTCAAAGAACTTTGCTACAACCTGATTCTTTGGGTGTGAGAAATCTATCCATTTAGGGTTGCTTAGCACTGTGATGAGATCTGTGATCTGCTGATCAGTCCGAACGTGACGGCGTTCCTCGTCAAACTGCTCCGAATCTTCGATGAGCGTGCCGTACAGGTAGCGGTACAATTCCTCGGGATCCTGCGAAACCAAAAGTTAGGGCCATGTGAACCAAAAGCACTCCGGGCACGACGGTTGACTGACATCTTCATTTAGGCCACTCTCTAGGTTCTGCAACCGGTCCAAAATTTGTAGGAGCTTTATCTTCCGCGGCTTTACCTCGCTGGCGAATTGCATAGGAGGGTTACTGCTTCCGCACTTGCTGACCCAATAGTTCAGTGTTGTGGTCCCTGCACTCTTCCCGAACGCGTACGCCATGCAAGGATACTCATGAGCAAGCCATGGAAACTGGCTGTCAGATGCACCCGTCATGTTGAGCGAAATGTCTCGGTATGCCTCTTGTTGAAAGGTTGCACGATCTGTTCGGCTCTGATGTTCAGCCTCCATAACGGCATAGAAGCGATCGTAGCCCGCTGGTGCGTTCGCTATCGCATCGCAGTATCCCTTGAACGATGACGCTCCAGCACATATCAGCTCCTCCGCCTGTTCAGGCTCCATTGCATCCTCCGACCTGTATCCCTTTGGCGGCCATCGTCTTGACTTGCGCAAGTCCTCGAGAGGGGACGGTTTTGAATACGATGCGGAACGATGAGGCGGAGAGAGGCTCTGGTAAGGGGCCATGTGGGCTTCTCCTCCACTAGACAACGGTCGCATGGGGTTTGGCTCCGAGCCATGTCTAGTTATGTGTGTGCGAGTAACTACGGGTGTTGTTCGTGTTCTCGAATGCTTCCCAACCTGCAGTTGCTGGAAACCGTTCGTGAGTTGTGGGAAAGGCTCGGCGAAGGCATACGGTAGGGCACACGGCGCTGGAGGTGCCTCGGGGCGAGACGCGCCCCATTGACTGTCGTACTGGTGTTTGCTACCATCCCAGCGAGCGAATTCCGAGTTCATCTCTTACGCATAGCACTCTTTGTTGGAGAATTACCTGAAACTCTGGTGCAAGTCAGTGGATTGTCGATTGCGAGGTGACGAAGCAGCATGGCGGAACTATCGACGGGCAACGTGAGCACGTGCGATGGTTTCAGACAAGACTGGGAAGTGAAGTCAACGCTGAGCAGAAACACAAGGCGGTCGATTGGGTCCATAGGCTCTCGTGACATATACACACTCACCCTCATAGTACTATAGTCGCGCTACTGCCGCCGTCTCGAGAGCAAGACGCGTCTACCGCGGGTCCGAGTGAAGATCACGTCTGGATCGCGAGGTTCTCGGGGTAAGCGCCGGCACACGATCTCTCTGATGTGACCTCGTAAAGGAAGACGCGTGGAGTGTGTAGTGGGGGTGGGGAATGAAGGACAGATGGTTTCAGGTCATTCCAGCTGTTGGGTCAGGGTCACTAAGCCGACAATGTTGACGGAGGTTGCGCATACCATACTTCGGCTCTCCTTGCGCCGTGGCATTTGCAAGAACCTCCGTCGTCACAGCAAAGGTGCTTGATGACATGTATAGTTACGCCATAGGGGTGGAGTGTTAGCCTCACTCTTTCGGCAGCCGTGCGTCTTACGACTGGGATGTGCCAGTCGCCGCATTTTACTCGTCCACGTTACTCACGATGCATGCTCCTAGCGGCTTGACCGTGGTGCACTCGTCAGAACGCTCTTCACGGGACAACAGCACGCTTTTGGATGGGGGTTTGATTATTTGATTCTGCTAATACTTTCAAAATAGTAGAAGTGCTGCTAAACTCCTGCACCCGTCTCATGCGTTCTGCGCTCAGTCGATTATCAGACAAGCGATCACGTAAATGCTATGTTCTGCTGCAATCCAAGCTGCCCCGTCGCTTTGGGGGCCACTGTTGGCAGCTACCATTTGTACCGCAGCGAACGAATCGTGGTGGTGGCACATCGGGTAACTGCCTATGACGGTGCTCGTTGATGGCACGAGCCTGAGATGGTGTAGTGATGTGCCTCCGACAGCTCAAAGAGACACCTCGTTGGCGGAGACCCTCTAGGAGATAGATAACTCCCCTGCCGAGTCAGGTTCGCCAGCTCATCATAATTCAGCTAGTCGTCTCCTGAACCTTCCACACAAAGGCGGCCACGGTGTGGCTTGGTGTTGGAAATAGATAAGACAACCCATGACGTCGTCTCTGCGATCTCATAATAACGACACGAGCCCCAAGAGTCGAGCTGCTAACGTCATCTGGAAGAACTTCGTGAGCTGGCTAGGGATTGTGGCATGATGCTGCTCAACCATCGTGTGCCTCTGTTATTATACGCCTGATTGATTGGTGTGTATGCCTGTCGCAGATCCGGTGGGATTGGGCATCTGGGTTGAGCTGACAGTCGGTCCTGATTCCGGCTCTTTCTCTATAACGTATCCAGTCCCGCGGTCGACCAGGCCTTTGTAGTAGTCTACGAGTACCTCTGGCTTTGGAACAATGCGCCATTCGAGCCTCCGCAGAAACTCCAGCTCTAATAGCGCCAGTTCACGAACACTGACGCCGCCGACCCTTGCGTACAGGCTGTTGGTCCAGAAGCTATCACTAAGGCCCTTGGCCGCGACCGTAGCGGCAGTTATGAGGAAGCGATGCACGGTAAGGCTGCTGATTGTAAAAGCGGGGTACATGGCGCACAGCTTGTCTACGTAGAAGACCATGGAGAGGAGAATGGGCGGAGACAGCGTAGCATGCACTATAAGACGAGAAAGGTAGTCGCGTACTGAGATGCCAGGCGGGGCTCTAAGGGGTCAATGTCAGCGAGCATTTGTTCAGTCAGTCTTGCATAAACGCACCTCGAATGGAATCTTGTGAGCGTTCCATCCCGCAGCGGATAGCCGTCGTTCAGGCGCACCAGCTCCATGAGCATGTCAGAGATGAGCACGCCGAGGTCTTTCACATCGCACGTCTCATACTGGAGAGGCATGACCTTGACGTCGGGCTCCTGCGGCCTTGCTCTCTTAGCTGGCGAGGCCGGGACCTGCAGGACAGTGCTGGACTCTTTGGACACCGCGGCTGGCTCTGCTTCCGAATGCGCGCTCTCGTGCGACATGCGGCGACCCTGGGGCTGTACATTGTAGGCGGGCGTCACGGGCTGCGGAGTAACCCGCACTTGGGGCTCGGGAGGCTCCGTGACGACAGGCGCGGCGGAGGTATCCCCCCGCTGTGCAGGCGCAATTGCGGGAGCACTCGAAGACGTCGAGCCGGCTTCTTGGTCTTCGTGGTCGTGGTCGAGCGCGATAGTGTCGGCGCCGTTATCGGCGCTGGTGTTGTCGCTGGGCTGGGGCCGGTAGGTGGGGGGAAATCCAGAGGGCGAGTATTGTGTTCCCTTGTCTGCGTAGCTTCTCTTGCGACCCTGGGGGGAAGGCGCAAAGGTGGGCACTGGGGACGGCGCCGAGAAGGCGGGCTTTGGGGTGGGCGGCGCGTCGAACCGCCGTGAGGGTACGGTGGTCACGGCAAAGCGGGGCGAGTGGGCGCTGGAGGATGCCGATGTGCGTCTTGAGGCATGGTACGGGCGGTGGCTAGGCGTGTGGAAGGTCGTGTTCGGCGAGGGAGGTTGCGAGATTGTGGGTGAGGAAGTGATCATGTCGTTGGGCCGGGTAGCGGTTCCTAGGGTGGAGGAAGATGACAATATCGGATCATTTTGGCAACGTGGGGAAGAAAGGAACCATCGAGGACGGGCGCGGAAGAGGCTTCATCTGGCGTGAGCGTGGCAGCGATGTAAGGGCTTGGCTGGCGGGCGTTCGACGATAGCACGTGTGACGTCCGGGGATTTTAGTAGGCTACCAGGCCAACCTTGCACATCCATCGCGTCCAAGGTTGACAAACTGCATACCTCGCCGTCGCTGCCTCTTCCTATTCTGCCCACCCGCAAGCAACTTTCACCGCATTTCCCTGCCCGTTGTGTGTAAGGGCGTCGGCCCTGTGCGCCAGCATGCTCGTCATTGCCGTGCGGAGCTGCTGACCGCCAATGAATCGCAACTAAGCCCTACACATGGAGGGAAGATCCTCTCATCAAAATTTCCAGAAGATGACGACCGATCGTTAGCTTCCGCGCTCGCTAGTTTAGACTCGAGTAGTTTGGAGAGATTTTGCTCTTGCCAACCTGCACCAGTGATCGGAGCATCCAAGCCCGGGTAACCATAGCGCGGCCGTCGTATATCTTCATCAAGACTACACAGGCTGCCCGTCTATCTCACCATGTACCCAAAGCCTGGCAAGGGTCATACGCATGGCGGCCCATCAAGAAGCAACTATTCTATCCTGACGCGCCTGGGTACCCACCTGTCCGCGACTCGTCCAACTCGCAACCTCATATTAGCTAATCCGCGGCCCCTCTGCTGCTATCTACTTGCGATAAACTGGTACCTCAATGTCGCTAGCCGTTGGCTGCCGGAGCACGTTGTACAATGCCACAACATCACTCGACGACATTTGAGCCGCTTGGCAGGGTTTACCAGAAAAAGGGCCGAAATCCGTATAGTGTGGCGATTGCAGATACAATACGTGAATATGCTCGTTGCTGTATGGTTCACCGTGAGCCAGACCGATCTTATAGCTGCCGAGAGTTCCGGGTCCAGTCTAGTCTCAGGTCGGTGTGTGTGTGCAACATGGACTACCTCTGCTTATAACGTTTCATGCTGTATCACGCTTCCCACACGAGTCTTTTTTCTTCGGCAATGCACTACACTATTTCAAATAGTATCAACGAACGTTGCGTACAGAAACAGGATCATAATTCATATCTACATCATCCACTCAACCTCTCGGCTTGTCACGCCCAGGTGCTTCCAGTTCGGCCGAGAAGGACTGTTGTTCCAGCGGCGGGCTGTGCAATTCTGCTACAACAGGTTGCGTGTTCATCTGTGCATACTTTAACTGGTCAATCCTGAACACAGTGGTTAGCTTGCACGTCCGAGCCAGGTTTAATCTACACTCAAGACCACTTACTGTTGTTGCGACATCCCACTGACACTGCTCATCATACTTAGATGACCATGCTGCTGCCCAGGACTCGACCAGCCAGATGGATATTGCTCCCCTACACTGTGCTGCCCATATTGTGGTGGCGAGTTGAACCCATAGTCTGAATGGTGTCCTGGTGGTGGTGTAGCATAACCTGGGGTTGACGGCTGGAAGCCTGGCGACGCAAGCCCTCCATGACCGTAACTCGAGCCGCCGTACTGCTGGCTCATATGTGGGTCGTGGTTGTTCGCAGCGTCTTGTCGCTTGATGACCTCCTTGAGTGACTTGGATCGACCGACGAAAAAGAAGAGAGCGGCGCAGATTGCTAAGAAGGCCACCCCGCCCACTGCTATGCCAACTATAGCGCCAGTGGACAGGGTATGACCGCCACCATTGCCTCCGCTAATTGGCGTAGTGGTCCCAGTTGATGTGGGGGCATTGGAGAGTGTTGATGTTGCTTCAGCAGGAATTGGTTCACCGGGTGCTACTTGAAAGTCTGCCGCAGCCGCCGCGTGAACTTGCGATGCCAGAGTTTGTGTCGAGTTTGGATTGATGACGCCTACCATGTGTTCACCCAAACATGAATTTGGTGCTGCGCAATAGAAAAAGATGGGTTCCGTCGAGTTGATCGTAACGTTGAAGTATGTGAGCTAAAGACCTGTCAGTATATTCGTTGTGTCTTCCACAAGGAGACAAACCTCATTGGTGTTGTTCACCCATTGCGTCTCCGACCAAAAGCCAACCTTGTCTTTCCCAGTGTATTCATACGGTACACAGGCTGACTGCCATTCTGCCCTCGCAACCGAATGGTCTGGTGGATAGAACTCCCATGTCACGATGTCGCCGACCGAGACGTTATGAAGTTCTGGTGGGTCAAATTTAAAACCCCCGGAGCCAGCCTTGATAGTATGGACTGTTGGTTCGCCAGAGGAGGTTGGTGTTGCGCTCGACGAATTTACTGACTCCGAAGCTGTGGGCGTTGGTGATGGCGATTGAGAGACTGATGAAACAAGGTCTTGTGCGATGGCGAATTGAGAGAAGCTATGGCTAACAGCAATCGTAGCTGCTAGCCTTGCTGTCCATGAGCGTCTCATGGCGACAATTGTACGAGGATCAGGCGATTACAATAGCAAGAACCGATTTCCGCGCAGAGGTCGTGATTTCCCCACGGTCCCGGGTTCCTGGTTGTCGGAAAAAAGAAAGCAGTATAATACCAGCAGTTCAGCTGGCAATGGAATGCTCAAAGAGGGGGAACAGAGCGAGATCAACACAGCAGGCTGACCGACAACCTTAAGTCACTCTTTCGCCCAAGATCCAATACCGCCATTTTCAGCCCCCACAGCCGCAGGTGCGGATAGCGGACCAGGCGATAGGCCACCCTCCTGTATCCACCATCATAAGCAGTCTTTGTTTGTCCCCTTTCACCAATCAACACAATCCACAATGCCGATCTAGCAGGTACGCCCTTGTCCAGGCGCACCTGAGGCGTACAGCTATCGCAGCTAGATGCTGGTAGATTCACCAGCGGGGCGGACCATCAGCATGTCAGCAGGGAATAAGAAAGACGGTTGAGGGGAGGTTGGATATGTGTAACGGTAGCTAGCGCTGATGCTGGTCCACGGGTACTCGAGCTATTTCCGTGTCTACTCTTCCTTGACTGCGCCGCTCGGTGCATGACTATTAACAATCTCTTTCCAGCCTGATCGTATGGAGCGCGTTCTGTTGGCCAAGGGCGGTAAGCAACTCTTTTACGCGGGGTGTATTCGACGATTTGCGCTGTTCGCAGATGCCATGCCTTCTAGTTCTTCCTTGTGCACGAGCTGGCATACGGTGGAGCACAGCTGAGTTGTCGTCAAGGAATGAGCATCGAGCATTTGAGCCGCTAACCCCGAGTAAGCTTAGTGCTAGTAGAAAACCTGGGCCCGTCCACTTGGCGCATTCATGGCTTGGGCGCAGCATGCTGATTGAAGATGGCCATGCGCTACGTGTGCGGAGCAATTGCTACGGTGGGTGAAGGATCATGCGAGCGTGGAGGGAAGGATGCCAGGCATAGGGCTAGATAGCGGTTGGCATCATGATTAGCTGCTTTGCAAGCGAGGCAGGCCGAACATCCTGAAGCGGACAATTGCACCGAGATTTTGCATCGCATCTGCAGAATTGTCAATAGATCTTCACTCATCACTCTGTTCATCATCGAACACATGCCCTCAAGGCGCAGTCGCCCTCTAGAAGACGCGTATTATCGATATCTACAGGTTGAGCAATTCAAAGCGCGTACTCAACACATATGAAATGAGACATCGCTTCCATAGTACAATTGAAGAGAGATACTGATTCCGCCAAAGCGCGAGCGCATACCGACATATCGCAGAAACACCAGGCCATGCAATGGACACAATTGATGCCAGCTCATAAAGGCGGCCTTTTGATAGGACTCCTTGGACCAGGACTCGCACTGAACAAGCCCATTTGTGGCATCTTAGGGCTCTTCAGTATAGCACCTTCTTGCCTATTTCCAGGGTCGAACCGCTTAGGTGTTTGTGACGCGCTTGGTAAAGGTGGACTTCGCAATCCCGTGGCCATGTGCTGTGGTCCCTCGTCGGTACGGCTGGAAAGGTCATTCATCTCGTCGAATTCGCCCTATTAGATGTTAGTCCAAATAGTACGCTTGCCTCCTACATGGGCAGGGGAGTATTGAACGTCTGCTCAAGGCTACGTGCGTAGGCATTGGGATACCAGATGCTGTTGCTAATTTCCCCTTGGGTACTGTACGCAACAAAAAGAGAAAAAGAACGTACTGCTGAAACGTCAGTCTGATGTCTGAGCTGTCTTCAAAGTGACTACCTTACCCTTTTTTTCCAGAAGGAGGTTCTGTACCTCCTCCAGATGCTGCTCAAGCATGTCGTCTAAGCCATCTTTGGGTGATTGGATAAGATTGCCAAGCTTCTTGCGCATCTTACGTTGGCGACTTGGATTCCAGACGAAGTGGCTGTTCTTCACAAAGATCATGGAATGCTGCAAATGTTAGCTGATGCCACGATGGTATCTGTCAGGCTGTGGTGCTAGCTGGGTTTGTTGTTGATGAGGACCACCGTGGTAGTCTCTATGATGTGATCCGTGATCGTACTTACTGAGTAGTACCAGCTTGATATTGTGTCGTCCGTGGCTCGCTTTATCGATTGAATGGTCGTTTCTCCAACGAAGCCGATCAAGCACTCAACCGGACTATCGGGGTCGGTACAGTTTTCTATTGAGTCAGCAGCCTGAAAAAACTGCCAGAAACGGGAAATGACGCTTACCATTGTGACTCAGTAGGTCGACCAGTCCAAGATATGCGTCTCCGATACCCATGAAAAACACTTGTGTTGCATCGTTTGGTCTGGTATGACGTCAAAAAGTAGTCGTGAGCACTGTCTAAGCAACTTACTCGATGTAGTTTTCCCATAGATACGCTGCAAGTTCGCGAGTTTGCTGTGCTCGAACTGCAGAATCTTCGGATTTCATGTAGCCGATGATCGACTGAAGTCATTAGCGGATTTTCCTGAGATAAGCATATTGCAGTCTCACATCTTCGACTGTGACGACTTTCGGAATATTGACATCGATGACCTGGAAGTCATTGTTGATGGCCCAGTCAATATACCTCTTCGTAACATCAGTCTTCATCCAAAGTCAGCAATTACACAGTACAGGACTGTAAATGTACTTACAAGCCATGTGTTGTGTAACTCTCTCTTGCCAGTCACCGGATCAGAATGGTCGTGGAAGCTCGGCGGGTCATGGAAGATCACGAGCAGAGGATGTCGTTCCATAAAGTTTGGTCTATAGGGTTTCAGCATCAGCAGCTAGCGGAAGCCTCAATGAACTTACGTAGCGATAACATTGTGCTCGAAGGTCTGCGCCAACCCTGCCTTGTTGATTTGCAGTGTAGGAAGCGGGACCATTGAGTGCTCTGAAGACAGTCGTTGGCTCTGCCATTCGCGAATGACCTCGTGCAATCGAAACGTATCCTTGTAGCCAGGGTCGGTTTTGTCCAGATGTTTGGGGTAGAGCGATTTCCAATACTTTGAATGCTGGCGTTTCACGTTCTCGACAACGTAGACTGCACTATCCTTTGGAGCTGAGAGTTCGTCACTCAAGCGATCCGGAGGCTCCAGCATGAGTACTCTCGTTACAGCGAGCGCTGAGCGTGCTATTGATCTCAAATTGTAGCCACCTTCAAGGCATACTACGATCTTCCCTTTCGCGAGTCGCATAAGCATGTGCGTCATGTGGCCGTAACATGCCGGAGTGACGAAACAACCACCCAGTAGATCTCCTTCAGCCGCGTCGAAACCCGCCGAGACTATGACAAGATCTGGATCGAATTCAGTAGCAATAGGCATGACAATTTCTTGAAAAGCATAGAGATACTCCGAATCACCCATGCCGTGTTCAGCCCACGGAATGTTTACGTTCTTTCCTTCGCCAAGACCTTCACCGCAATAGTCGAGATTGCCATCTGGCAAGTTGGGATAGAAGTTTCCGTCCTTGTAGACATGCAGGGATATGTAAAGGACATTTGGGTCATCGTAGAAGGCGTGCTGAACACCATTACCGTGATGCACATCCCAATCAAGGATTAAGACCTTACGACAGGTCTCCGGGTAGTCATTCTGACATACGCGGGTGGCTATTGGGACGTTGTTGAAAATGCAGAACCCAGAGGGCTGATTGGTCTCCGCGTGGTGACCTGGAGGACGAATAATTGCGATTGCATTGCGCACGGTTCCTTGCACTACCGCTTTGCACGCCTCGATAGCACCACCAGCTGCGAGCTTGGCGCAGTCATAAGTCGCATGATTGAAGTAGATCGAGTCACGAGAATCAGCTTCTATTTTCAAGTTCTCTGCAGTCATATCTAATGACACGGTCAGTCGCGATCTTTACACATGGTTGTGAACTTACGCTGCAACGACTCCACGAATGCGTAATGCTCTGCTGTATGTATAAGGAGGATCTCTGGCCTCGTAGCAAAGCGCGTCATTATTCTCCAGCACTTGTCTTCTTGGTCCTCATCCGTATCGCTTGTTGCCACTAGACCAGCTTCCCTGAGTTCTTCGTAGATGGAGTGAATGCGACGCGGATCCTCGGGATGAATATCGTCGATTAGATTCATATCAGGAAGCTCCGCGTGAAAGCGCATACGAGAGTCATACACAAGGCCTGTTTTGTTGGTCGAATACGGAAGGAGGGAAGATCTTGGCTTTGGGGGTATGCGAACCTGCGGACTTGAGCGCCGAACAGGAGTGGGACGCGACATGCTCATCTTATCCGACCACCCACTCGGTGACTTCGTTGTTCGGTGCGATCCGGATTGGCTTTGCATGGTTCCCGGTTGCAGGAACGAGGTGTTCTTCGATGGACTGTGGAAAGGTAATTGCTCTCTCTTGGACAATGTTGGTCCTTTGTTACGAAAGAGCTCGTTCGGGTTTATGGTATCTGGTACATGATCGCCATTAAGCTCTGTGGAAGTGACGATAGTGTCTTCCTCCATAGCATAGTCTTCGTCGTCCATGACTACGCAGATGAGTAAAGCGGACGTCAAACGCCTCGCTTACAGTCGCCGGCTGAGAGCTATATATGTTCGTTAGCGACGAGACTGGCACACGCGATTGTCACACGGCCTATCTGAACGAGTTCATGACTTTGGGGAAAGTACGCTGAACAGATAAGTCACCAGATATGCTAGAAGACGAGTAGGTTGGAGCACTAGGAAATACGTTGAATGTCGGCAACCTAGTATACAAAGATGCTTGCTCCATGCGAAGAAGTTGCATGTTTGCTTGAGATGCTTCTTTGATACTGGTAGGACTGCAGGCACTTACTGGCAAGGTTGCTACCGCATTGAGACCCAATAAGTTGCTGATGATTTGGTAGAATGTGGTTGGAGTCGCACTTCGCCGCTATTGTCAGGTGAAGGCACAAAGCCTTAGTACTAATGCGCTGTTTACAATATCGTAGGCTTATTTTGCCCTGCAGTTCCGTAAGCAGAGTTCGTTGACGCATAGACATGGTATGGATAAGCTCGTCTTTTTCAAGTTGTCGCCTCGTGCAGGAAAAGTACCCTAAAGCTAATCGCTATACTTCATTTTAAGTTGAATTGAGAATATAACAAAGGTATTAATTTCGGGATAGCCTTTCCTGCATGAAGTTATAAGCTAAGAAAAGACGAGCTCCGTCATAATATTGTTGGTCGCGTCGTGTCAAAGATGGATCATCAACCGCCACAGGGTTCACTCACGCTCGCTATTTAATTACGTGATGCTGACGCTGTAGTAATTCGATGTGGGTTAAAAGTAAAGAACCGATTTTTGCTTTCTGTAATAGCTGATGCTTGGCTTCAAAGTAGAGGATAAGGTGGAGCGTAGCAATGCGAGTTCCCTACGCGGTCAAGATCCATTATATGACTAAGCGATGCCAAGGTATTTAGCGCTATCCGTCGACTCTCACTTCTGAACGCATATCACAAGAGCATGGACAGAGTATGGAAGAAGACTTCGCAGAGAAGGAGCCTGCCGTGACAGGTGATTCTCTAGTCTTACCATTCACTTTTCAGCACGATCATCTCGAAAGCTAGCAGAGCAAGGCCACGTGTCTACCCAGTATTCTTTGTCGATGATACCACGATGCTTCATTGTGTGCCTTCACAGACCAGAAGTGGTGTGCCTTCGCAGAGTAGAATTGACGTTTCGGAACCTGTAGAATTTAAGGCCATATGCATTCGCTGAACGGCTTCTCAGCATGGCTACATCTTACCGCAAAGCCGATAGTAACCACTTCCATGCCTACGGATGCCGCATACGGAAGCCACCTTGAACATCCGTTCTTCCCCGCAAAATCTTTCGCCAGATTACGGGACGTAAACGAAAGACCGGGAACTAAGCGGGAAAAAGGGATCCGCGTACATGTATATGTTCGCCTGAGAGTCGTACCTCGGGAACTAGCTTGTAAACAAGCGCTAGAAAATGCATCAACAGGGGCAGCTCCACTGCCATGCATCCGGACGACAGGACCTCTAATGTCACTTCACATTCAGTTGGTCAAAGGAAGCATTGTTTGTGACAATTATTATTCATTGATTCATGTCTAGCATAACGCATTCATGGTCAAACCCTATTTTCATCCCCGCGGTGTCCGCGCCTAGCCAAAGGTAGTCCGATCTTTTTAGTCGGTCATAAAGAAATGAACTCAGAGTTTAGGCAATGCCTGGCTCTGTCCTGACTCCTAAGCGTTGCCATCAACCTTGGCAATGTAGACCAAGAGGTCAAGGACACGGCGGGAGTAACCCCACTCGTTGTCGTACCAGGAGACAAGCTTGACGAAGTTCTTGTTCAGAGAGATACCAGCCTTGGCGTCGAAGATGGAGGAGCGGTTGTCACCGTTCAAGTCAGTGGAGACGATGTCGTCCTCGGTGTAGCCGAGGATACCTACAATGCGTCAGAATGGATGCTCAGATAGAATTCGAACGTGAGAGCTTACCGTTGAGTGGGCCATCAGCAGCCTCCTTGATGGCCTGCTTGATCTCGTCGTAGGACGCAGCCTTCTCGATGCGGACAGTCAAGTCGACAACGGAAACGTTGGCGGTGGGAACACGCATGGCCATACCGGTGAGCTTGCCGTTGAGCTCAGGAATGACCTTGCCGACAGCCTTGGCGGCACCGGTGCTGCTGGGAATGATGTTCTGAGCAGCTGTGCGGCCACCACGCCAGTCCTTAGCGGAGGGGCCGTCAACGACCTTCTGGGTGGCAGTGTAGGAGTGGATGGTTGTCATGAGACCCTCAATGATGGTGAATTTGTCGTGGACAACCTTGGCAAGGGGAGCAAGGCAGTTGGTTGTGCAAGAGGCGTTGGAGAGAACCTCGATGTCAGACTTGTAAGTCTCGTGGTTGACACCCATAACGAACATGGGGGCGTCAGCAGAGGGAGCAGAAATGACGACCTTCTTGGCTCCACCCTTCAAGTGAGCCTTGGCCTTCTCGGTGGTGGTGAAGACACCGGTGGACTCGACGACGTAGTAAGCGCCGGTCTCGCTCCATGGGATGTTGGCGGGGTCCTTCTCCATGTGGAAACGGATGGTCTTGCCGTTGACGGTCAGGTTGTTGCCGTCAACCTTGATCTCACCCTTGAACTGGCCGTGTGTGCTGTCATACTTGAGCATGTAGGCCTGAATGTGTTAGCCTGCATTCTGCGACCACAGAGGAGCTCTAGCGCATCGCAAGGACTGTTTTCGCAACTTGGATGGCCGCGGCTGTAGTGTGGGTGCTTGGGGAAGCTTACAGCGTAGTGGGGCTCGATGAAGGGGTCGTTTACGGCGACAATGTCGACGTCGTTGTGCTCGATACTGTGGCATGCGGTCAGCTCTGGTAGATTGTATCGACGAGTTAGGCGAAACTTACGCATTGCGGAAGACGATACGGCCAATGCGACCAAATCCGTTGATACCAACCTGTGAGGACATGTTAGCAGCTGTCTCCTGACCCAGCGGGACAATGGATGAAGCTTACCTTGACAACCATGATGAACTGAGTGTAGTGCTGCGAAAGTCAATAAGCTGAGGAAGAAGGAAGGCAATTGAACAGAGCTCACTCTTTTATAGGATATAAGCTGATGTAGAAGTGGTGAGAGACAGAGTTTTGTGTCGGGCGCAGTGTTTTGTTGGGTCTGGGCTAAGGTGGGGTGCCCAGGTGAGGGAGGGGCAAGCTAAATAGCAACCAGCTTGAGGACGTCACAGGTTTTAGTTCTTTTTCTGTAATCCGATATGCAGCGCCGCCTAGGCCCAATTACACCCTCTGCGCCCTCCCACACTTCCGGCCGGCTACCTGCTTGACAAGCCAAGTACGTTTGTCTACAGCCTCGGGGGGCGCATATCGCCATCACACGAGGCCGCGGACTACACCGGAGAGCAAGGCGGGCAGCTCGGGCAGAACCACCCTGAGGGTAACCTGACCGAGGCACCTGTAAATGTCTCCAGACGCCTTCGTGACTGAAACGCCAAGTGTTCTGGTGATACTGTATTCGCAGCCTCGCATAGACACTGCATACGGCTGTCCGGGCATACAGGCCCGGCACGCCACGCAGGACATCACTCTATCAAAACTCTTACGAAAGAAGTACATGTGCATCTCGTAATCAGCGGGAGCACAGACTAGCAATCAAAAACACCTCTGCGCGGGTTAGGTAGCCGTTGTCGCTCTCGTGGGCAGGATCTTTTGGTCATTCGATAAGATAAAGCAAAGCGCGCAGCAGAGTCTGATCGGATCACCGGTTCGTGGGGAGGCGAGTGTTTTGTGTCACCACCGAGATTCTCTCCGCCAGGCAAAGTCGAGTATGGTTTGAGATGAGGCGTGGCGTATCCGCGGCCGGCACGGTGGCACTATGATGGACAGAGCTGTGTTATAAAGCAGTTCAAGCCCGCCACATGATCGCCAGGGCCTACGGCGATTAAAAAAAGTGCTTAGGTACCTGCATATAGCTGTTGCGGCAAAGGAAAGCTCGAGCTACAGCTTGAGCTCAAGCTCGGAGTTACAGACGACGATGTAGGCCAATGCCGGCCCCGACATGTTTGGGGTGCACCGACCCTCCGATCACGGGACAGCTACAGCAATTCAGACGCGTCTACCATGCAAATTGGAAGATGAGTTCAGTGTTTGTAGCTGATAGTTTCCAACGAGGTTTGCAGGTACGCAGACTCCATTGACTTGCGTTGTCCGATCCTTGCAACACTGATCTACCCCGCGCTTGAGGGAATTTGCGAGCATTCTGCTCCAAGTTACGTGCTCATTCAGGTACCCAAATAGGGGAGTGATGCGAATGTGTATAAGTTATATAAGTCAATCCAAGTCTTTTGATGCGCCTGAGTCAACACGTCCGAAGCGTCTTGTCTTATTTGTTGCGATATCATAATACTTGCTTCGGCCCAAAGGGTGATGCTGGCAACCGAACAGCTCACACAGAAAGCAAGCACACCCATCCAGCAGAGGCCCTTAGCCGGCCGCGTCTGAGCCAAGACGAATATGGAGATGCTGTTGAAATGCTCGAGTGTCAAGAAGACCTCCTTGCAACCGTACTTCGGTATCTACACATGTCCGAATCCTGTGTATCACCTCGGTAGAGTACAAAAGCCGCCCAGTGAAGGGCATGCTTCAAAAACAGTCATTGTAGTCCTATTCTCGCCATCAGACAGCGTTGGCCTCATGGTAACCCTTGCATTGAATCCGAATGAGGCTCTCACATCCCACGATAGAAGGCTATCGCGGCCAATGAGGAGCTAGGCGTTAGGTCGACTGGGGCGCTCGGGCCACAGAAGATTGATCGTTCCACCACCTTGGCGTTCCTCCCGCAACCACATTTTGCAAGACAGCTCTCCTGGCCCACCATCGACTCCATCACCACCACGATCCATTGGCAGCTGTAGGTCCCTCGACGGGAAGCTTCTCCCTTTCTTTTTCAATTTTCGACACTCTCCACTCCGCCCGCCGCCATGCTGCGCTCATCTATCATCCGGGCCTCGAGCTCGGCTGCCGCCATGTCATCGACCGCGACCCGCACCGCTCTCCCCAGAGCTGCCCCGGTAGCCTGCCAGCTTCAGCAATCCCGCCAGGCCCACGCCATCTCCAACCCAACCCTTGCCAACATCGAGAAGCGATGGGAAGACATGCCTCCCCAGGAGCAGGCCGACCTGTGGATGACACTTAGGGACCGCATGAAGACCGACTGGAAGGAGTTGACCATGCAGGAGAAGAAGGCCGGTGCGTACAATCCCATGAGGCGCATCTGGATGTCGCGAGAGCTGTTATGACGTATCTTGTGTTATGAACGAGGTACCCGAGCTAGCCCGCGGCATCTGGTGCGCGCTACGCGAGGTCATCGCGACGTACCGGAAAATTATCGATATGAACATTGCACTGACAACATGCTCTGCATACAGCCTATTTCATCGCCTTTGGCCCCCACGGTCCTCGCCGACCCCCGCCTCCGGATGAGGGCCGCAACGTCTTCCTCCTCTCCTCTGCCGTCATCGCCGGTGCCTTTGCCGTCTTCGCTTTCACGCGCATGTTCGCCAGCCCCATCCGACCCCGTACCATGACAAAGGAATGGCAAGAAGCCACCGAGGAGTACATGAAGGTGCGTAGCTCCAACGCTTTTATCAAGCGCCCCTTGTGTATGTATCAGTACTAACACGTCACAGTCGCAAGGAACCGAGCCCATCACCGGCTACAAGGGAATGATGGTACAGAGCAAGTCGGAGAAGGATCTCCCAGCGGGCCAGAAGCTCAACGACGAGTAAAGAGTCCGAATAGAAGAGTCACAACAATCACCATACCAATACCGATACCACATTTTCCTTGGGTCAATTTCCGTTTGGTACTGTCTGTGTCACATACAACAAGATCGAAAGCGTTACGAACGGCTGTCGATCGGCCATTGTCATAATAGTCCTCATTGTACAGAAATCTAGAGGCTTTTCGCGTTTGCCTGACGGTTCTCAACTTCGATCACGTGTAGGAAGCACGCTGTACGATTTGCCCAACTCTCAAATCAAGGCTCTCCACCCTCGTCACGTCAGGTTGTACCACGATAGTCAAGTGACAACTAACTAAATGCACAGTCTAACATGCTCAACATTATATAGTTTGTCCTGAATGCCTCGAATACAGTTGAACGCGTATCACAGCCTACAGACGAGATTGGACATTTTGTATCGCCTATATTGGACGACGAACGGCTCTTGTGCTATCTCCACTACACCATCTGGAAAATAAACACGTCTTTCTGTCTCCCAACTAAAGACCCCAATACTATCGATGATAATGAATTCTTGATGCACGGCCGCCTGCAAAACCGTCCTCGCAAACGACATCAGCACGATAGCATACATGACAGAGCACCGACCATAAAGCATATACATCGGGTAATGCATGTGGCAATCCGGAGAGGTGCAACAAGGAAGCAGTAGATCAAAAGCAATAACAACACGCCACATTAATGCCATGCTACATCGAGTGGTGATTGCATAAGCATAGAATCGTACTCGGACTTGCATGGGTATATGCGTAGAGCCGATGGTACAGAGGCGATCAGTTACACAACTGACAATAGTGGTATTGAGCGTACATGACCACATCCGCGGCCGAAGGTAATCTTTGCAGCACACACCGGATGAAGATAAGTCAGCTTCGTGATAGCATACTTTTAGCCGTGGACAGAGGGTGAGACCGCGGCCGCGGTTACGTTAGAGTGCGAAGCTTACTTGCAGTCCAGCTGAGTCCTGAGCTGAAGAGCTGAGCCCGTGTAGTGCTCATGTATATCTGCAACTTCCATGTAAATGGCTACCGCTGAACACCAAATACTTTTCTGGTTTCAGTAGAATATAGACTATGGCCACCAAAGGTCTTCTGACGATCGGAGCTTTGCCAGTCAATATCTATTGCGAATCAGAACAACCAGTCATGTAAATATCGCCAACATGTGTATCACTCTTTGTTCAACATATCTGAGGCAATACCATCCCGACCGCTCACGAGAGAGTTTGTTCAGATGTGTGGCTAGTGCTTGCAGTTTTGACTACGTTAGGCCACACTCGAAACTGCTCGCACGCTTAGGAAGCCTGTTGTATTGATTCTAATACGATGATCTGCTTTACGCATCCACTGTTTGAAAGACAATCCATGCCGTTGACTTGGTTGAAGGAAGGATGAGTGTAAGGGTCGTCTCTGGAAAGATGGTAATGATGTACACAAACACTTGACCATATGCGAGGTACTTCAGGAGAATGTTGGATATTGGATTCAAGGAGCAGGTTTAAATGCGGTGCTACTACTACGATTATGTGTCATGTCGTACGCATCAGATGAGTCCACGTACTTTTAGGCCCATGGTGAGATTTGAATATTTATCACAATTCCTCATATTGGGTCGTGCATGTCCTAGTACCTTGGTAAGTTGCAATGTTGACTCTTGTTATCAACAGTATGGTAACTTGAACCAATTCTCATTGGTCGCTTGATCCCAGCGTGTTGCCGGCATCTAGCAATTCTTGTATTGGAAGGGGCGAAAGCGGGTGATCTCCCAAGCTTAAGACTGATCGGGTTACAGCATACATGCGTTGGCTACTACACACCTATAACCACTATGGACAAATTCCTCGACTTAGACCCTTTGTATCGATCGCAAGCTGTATGTATATTGCCCAAGCTCTTTTCCAACGTCGGCAGCCCGCCGCTTTTAGTTCAGTGTTTGCTCTTAGGCTTGAGAATCGGTTTCTAGGCGTGGGGAGAAGAACTATACGTATGGCCACCTGTTGTTCAATAGAGTAACATCACCACGTGTGTTCAAAATACGCTATTACGTCGAATTGATATCATCGAGCGGTGAAGAATAATGTCCTGGAACATGTCTCTGGACGAGCATCAACATATATCCCTGAACCAAGTCGCAGCCATTCCCTAGACCAAGAACCACCGTATACAATAGAAAACTCAATCGGGTACAGAGATAACAAGCTCTAGTTTACCGCCTACGTTAACTTCTAAGAAGAAATTCTAGAAAGATTAATAGCATTGTAGACTTCTAGATTCTCTACCTATGTCTAGGAAAGTCTTAACACGCTTTATTGTAGTAGGCATAAGTATTTTGCTCAAAGAGATGTTCAATTTCTCTCTTTAAGCTAGTGAACGATGTCGTTGGGAAGATCACGAACACAGATGCTAAACTGTATTCCCGTGGTCAGAACAGCATTTATCACGAGCAGGGAAAAACTGAGGTGTGTTGAACAAGAAAAAGCGGTCTCTTCATGCACGATAAGTTACAGGAAGCCACGCATCAAAGCACCCGCTTAAAAGTCCCACAGTTTCAGAGGTATATCTTTTGTACAAAGTGAGACTACCAGCGAATTGCACTAGACACTCTGGCCGACTCTTCACCCACCATCAAAGTCCGTCTATGACTTCTCGAGCTCAGCAAGAATCTTCTCTCCCTTGGCGCGTGCTGACTCGAAGTCACCAACCATGTAGAAAGCACCTGAAAATGTCAGTTATACGCTATGAATGCGGAGATAGTCGAGACTCACCCTCGGGAAGGTCGTCACCCTCACCAGTCAAGATAGCCTTGAATGATCGGATGGTGTCCTTGAGGTCGACAAGCTTGCCCTCAATACCAGTGAAGACCTGGGCGACAGCGAAAGGCTGGCTCAAGAAACGCTGGATCTTACGGGCACGCTCGACGGTAAGCTTGTCAGCTTCCGACAACTCGTCCATACCGAGAATGGCAATGATATCCTGGAGCGACTTGTACTCCTGGAGAATCTGCTGAACGCGGGTGGCGGTGTCGTAGTGGTCCTGACCAATGACACGGGGGTCCAACATACGGGACTTGGAGTCAAGAGGGTCGACGGCGGGGTAGATACCCAACTCGGAGATACCACGGGACAAGACAGTGGTGGCGTCCAAATGGGCGAAGGTGGTGGCGGGGGCAGGGTCAGTCAAATCGTCAGCGGGCACGTAGACGGCCTGGACGGAGGTGATGGAACCCTTGGTGGTGGTGGTAATACGCTCCTGCATGACACCCATGTCAATGGCGAGGGTGGGCTGGTAACCGACGGCAGAGGGGATACGACCAAGAAGAGCGGACACCTCGGAACCGGCCTGGGTGAAACGGAAAATGTCTATTGCCGAAGTCAGTGTATGTCTCACAGGCAGTTCGTACAAGCACTTACTGTCGATGAAGAGAAGCACATCCTGTCCCTCTTCGTCACGGAAGTATCTTTTTTCCCATTAGCCACGACGTTGTCAACACAGTGAATTCAAGACTTACTCAGCAACAGTAAGACCAGTAAGAGCGACACGGGCACGGGCACCCGGGGGCTCGTTCATCTGACCGAAGACGAGGGCGACCTTGGAGTCACCGTCAAGCTGAATGACGGAAGTCTCCTGCATCTCGTGGTACAGATCGTTACCCTCACGGGTACGCTCACCGACACCAGTGAAGACGGAGAAACCACCGTGGGCCTTGGCGATGTTGTTCTGCCTGCCGTTAGCTAATGCTCAGCCAGTAGACAGTGTGTCTCCTTACAATCAGCTCCTGAATGAAGACAGTCTTTCCGACACCAGCACCTCCGAAGAGACCAATCTTTCCACCACGAGCGTAAGGAGCCAACAGGTCGACAACCTTGATACCGGTAACGAGGACCTCAGCGGAGGTGGATTGCTCGGTGAACTCCGGGGGGTCGGCGTGGATGGGAGCGTACTTGGTGGCCTTGATGGGACCACGCTCGTCAATGGGGTCACCAGTGACGTTCATGATACGACCAAGGGTACCGTGACCAACGGGAATCTTGATGGGGGCACCGGTGTCGGTGGCCTTGGAACCGCGGACGAGACCCTCGGTACCATCCATGGCAATACATCTGACGACGTTCTCACCCAAATGTTGCTGTCCTGAATCAGTGATGCTGTTCCCACTTCTTCAATTCTTGGCGTCCTTACAGCAACTTCGAGAATCAGCTTCTGGTCGCCGTTCTGGGTGGTGACGGCGTTGAGAATAGCAGGGAGCTGCTCGGTGTCGAACTTGACCTGTAGTTAATGGTCAGCGGCCGTTGTCTTGATGCAACGAAAAGTTTTCCTTGAACTGCTCACATCTACGATGGCGCTGTCCTTTGTCAGTAAAGAATACTTGTGAGTTATGCTAGAGGACTTACCCAATGACCTGATGAATCTTGCCATCCTTTGTTGCGTCGGTGCTGGCGAATCGGGTGGAGAGCGCGGGGGCGAAGCTCTTCTTCATGGGCGAAAATGCGCTGCGGCGGATGGCCGGCCTGCGCATGGAAGCGCGGAGCGCCTGCTGGATCCCACTGTCGAAATAGGCGTCAGTCCATCTCAATTCATCATCAATTGGACTCAATGGGCGGTTGGCTTACCTCTTCAGCATTGTGAGATATGTGGTAGACGGATTGGTGAGTGGAGAGAGGGTGGGTTGGTGAGGAAAGAGCTTCTCACAGCTCGAAAGGAAAGCGGACGGCGTTCCAAGAGATCCGTGCGCGACTAGTGCCCACGAGGTTAGTTGATGGCGAGGAGACAACCCCAGGATCGCATCGTAAACTCTCCCACGATACCCCAAACACGTTTTTATCCTGCCGATGTTCTTCGGGAGTGCTCGACCTCTCATGAACGCACCTCAATCTTACACAACCATGCTCTCCGTTGATGTTACGACGCCTCCCCGCCTTCCGATTCGCCCCGATTGAATATCCGCCTCGGGACAATAAAACCACAAAAAGAGAGAGTTGATGTGGTATCCCTATGCTATGAGCAACGCTAAGCCTTTCGTTTGGTCACCAAAGCAGAACAGATAGCGGACTCTTAGTGACATCACGTCTGCAAAGGGAAGGCATATTCCCATCAACAACAGGCATCTGGTTGTGCACCAACAAAAGGCGCCTCGCCAAGTGCAGGAAAGAATAAATTGCCATCATTATTAGCATTTCGTTCCATCTTTCTGGCTTGACCCAGAGATTTATGTTTCAAACACACGACGAAACTATTATCCAGTCGACTGCAGATACGAGGGTCGTATTACTCGTGACTGGCTTCCATTGTGCGATAGCATAACCTAAAGGTATTCGCAGATAAAAATGGTGCACCGGGGTTTGATCTTTACTCTGGTTTGGAGACTACAAGCAGACTGTTGCTGTGTGTAATGCCACATTCTCCAACCCTGTATGAATCAAACACTTCGAGCGGTGTGAGTAAATTGAACTCTTTCTCCCAGCAATTCTGCCTAGGTACGTACCTGGATATGATGATACTGTCAAGACTCAAGCTATGAATGTGCGTTATCTACCCGATTTATGCTTTAGGCCACAATATACCCTGAGGGTCTTCACTGAGCATTTCATCGCCGTGCTACACAACGATATGATGATATATTCTCCACGTGTCAGGTACAACTGTGCTGTGTGCAGCCTGTGTTTTACGCCAAAACGTAGCCTAAAGGTATTCACCTGGGGTTTCGTTGACAGCCTCCTCCACAACAGGAAGATGTAAGCTCCAAACTTCAAGCAAGAAATATGTTTGTGATTGACATATTCCTTACATTCAACATATTCATGGCCAACAATAACAATGTCATTGTTATCTACGTGGTATCTTGTCCTGCGATTGCCAGCTAGCAGGGTATGTGACAGCAAACTACTTACACAACAAGTTGGGACAACAACTAAGGCAACGAAGGGTCTTAAGCTGTTGATATGTGTTCTTAGGGCACGACTAGAAAGATAAAGATATATATTAAGCATTCTTTACTGACAAACGGCAGCGCTGTCGTAGACGTAAGAGATGGGAAAACTTTTCGTTACATCAAGACAACGGCCGCTGACCATTAACTACAGGTTAAGTTCGACACTAAGCAGCTCTCTGCTATAGCACGGTAACTTGAAGATAGTTAAAACTGGGCGTGCTCCAAAACGTACCCTGAAGGTTTTCGCTACGAAAACTATTGCTGTGCTGTGCTAAGGCAGGTGATGTATACTCCAAGGTTGGAATATGTCGCATATATTGTACATGTTGCTATGAGTAAAGTCATCGTATGTATACAGGTCTTCATCCACTCTTTTCCATCTTGGGTTTCTTTGGCCCAACGAAATTGCATAGCGCGCCGCTGTTCACAGCAATAACTTTCCATCCCTCGGGTACTGCCCCAAACTCCTCGTTCTCTTTCTCGGTCGCACTCAACTTCCAGATCTTTCCTGTTTCTCTATCAAACCACTCCCTTCCCTCGTCTGTCTGAAGTAGTTCGCGCAGAACGAACTTCGTTACAGCATTACTGTCTGTAGGGCTGATCGAATCGGGAAGCTTCTGGATATCCACGTCGAATTTGCGTTTACCATCTATCTGAACAACACACTTGCGCGTCGTAGTGAGGAGTGGTATAATAGCTAGATCAGCGGTTGGAAAACTTCTTGCGAAGACGGTTTGTACGCTGCCTTCGTGCGTTTGAGATGTGGTACAGGTGTTCAGTTGGTGCCAAGCTTCTTCGGCAACACCAGGAGCGATAGGGGCGAGCATACGGACGAGGTGTGCCATAGAGTACCACTTGAGATATGGTGTAATGTGAGACGCATGTGGGGCGTCCCAGATGGCATTCGTTAGCGTCATTAGATCGCTGATGATGGTATTCAGTGAGTATGTCTGCGAGTACGACTCGGTAACACTGGCGATGGTTTCTTGCGTCTTGATCCAAAGTTTCGCTTCATCTTGCTTGAGTATAGACACTAAGCTTTCGCGTGTGGCGTTCAAAGAATCTTCGCTTGTTGAAGTATCCTGCAGGATGTTGAGGAGTTTCTTGTCAACATGTTCCGGTACTGTAAACTTCTCCATTTCATCATCAGGTATCCAGGGCGCTGTGGAAAGTTTGATGATTCGATGTAGCCACCGTTGCACGCCGGTAATCTTTTTCTCATCCCACTCAAGCACATCACTGACAGGGGCTTGGAAGAGCATATGCGCGCGCGTTGCGTCTGCGCCGTACTTGGCGATTGTAGCTCCTGGATCCACGCCGTTGTACTTGCTCTTCGACATCTTCTCAAAGCTGACATTTGGAGTCACACCACTAGCCTTGATGATGGGCTTGGAAGGATTCGTTAAGTCAACTTCATCTGGACGCAAGAAGCGACCGTTCTCGGGGTCAGTGAAGGTTTCTCCGTGAACCATACCTTGGGTGATGAGGCGCGTGAAAGGTTCACCATTCGTCAAATGGCCCTTGGGCCACGATGAAGTGGTTGCCAGGAACTTGGATATGAAGCGCGCATACAGTAGATGGAGGATCGCGTGCTCTACACCGCCAACGTAGAGGTCTACAGGCATGCCGCTATTTGTCTTTGTAGGGTCGACCAAGGCATGCTCGTTTTTGGGATCCAGAAATCTGAAGAAATACCAAGACGAGTCCATGAAAGTGTCCATCGTATCTGTCTCACGCTCAGCAGCTGAGCCGCACTTCGGACATGCGGTTTTTTTCCAGTTCTCATCTTCTGCTAGCGGGTTGCCTTTGCGTCCCTCGAAAAAGCTGTCAGGCAAGTTTGGTAATTCCACCGGGAGATCCTTCTCAGGTACAGGAACAGCTCCACAAGAGTCACAATGAACGATAGGGATTGGCGCACCCCAGTAACGTTGCCGACTGATCAACCAGTCTCGGAGTCGCCAGTTTGCTGTCTTTTGAGCTGGCTTCCCAGTGTCGGTTATTGCTCGCACAACCTCGTTCGCGGCTTGCTTCGAGGTCATGCCACCGAAATGCTCTATGTCAGCAGCGATAAAACCTTTCTCAGTCACTGGCATGTCTTTGCCACTACAAGGTACAAGCGACAGTGGTAGAGCGCCTTTCTTAGCAGATATAACAACCTTGACTGGCTCATCACCGACATTCGTTCGCCAAAAGGCATGATCTCGCGCATCGTGGCCTGGAACACCCATTACAGCGCCCGAGCCGTAGTCATCCAAAACATATGGAGCCACATAGATAGGTATAGAAGGTCCCGTAGTGCCTCTAACATGCGCAAGCGGGTTGCGTGCTACAATGTCTCGTAGCCTGAACCCCTCCTTGGTGTCCAGGGGTAGCTCTTTTGCTCGCTCCACAAAGGCGCGAAGCTCTGAATTCTCGATAGCTAGCTGCTGGACGATTGGATGACGCATCGAGAGAGCAATGTATTGCACTCCGAACAATGTGTCAGCTCTGGTAGTGAAGACATCGACGGGCTCAAAGCGCGTCTCGCTGTTAGTCGAGATGACATCGAACCAAAGCTGCGCGCCTTCAGATTTGCCAATCCAGTTTCTTTGCATTGCAAGGACTTTCTCGGGCCACTTTCCATCTCGTGCAAGAGCGTCCAGGTCCTTTAGCAGAGGCTCTTGGAACTCCTTGATCTTCAGAAACCATTGCTTCAGCATCACTTTCTCGACCTTTGCGCCGGAGCGCCAGGAACAGCCATTGGCGTCTACTTGTTCGTTCGCGAGGACGGTCTTGTCGACAGGATCGTAGTTCACGAGAGATTCGGCTTGGTAGGCTAGTCCGCGTTCATGGAGCATGAGAAAAATCCGTTGAGTGTGCTTGTAGAAATGGGGATCGCATGTTCGTATCTCCTACATACATTCATCAGCCCATGCTCGACTAGATTTGCTGTTTTCCATACAGAGTCCCAGTCCCAGCGCCCACCCATTTCCTTCATTTGGCCCTTCATAGTATCGATATTTTGCAGCGTCCATTTCTCCGGATGTACCCCTCGCTCGATCGCTGCATTCTCAGCCGGCAAGCCAAATGCATCCCATCCGATGGGGTGCAGGACCTTGTAGCCCTGCATATGCTTGTATCTGGAGAGAACATCGGATATCGTGTATACGCGCAGGTGGCCGAGGTGGAGCGTGCCGGAGGGGTATGGGAACATGGGCAGCACGTATGCATTTCCTCTGTCGGACTCCCGCAAGTCGTGCCATTGGGATGACAGTCGATCCCAGTGTGGCTGCCATTTGGCAGTGAGCGATTCGACCTTGATTCCTTCAGCTCTTGACTTCCTCTCCAACGTGCTCGCCCATCGTAAACCTATACGCGGGCGGAGGAAAAGGAGACGTGGGGCGCGTCGCCGGCCCACGGATTGCAGACTGAGACCACGCATCACCTTGTCGTATGCGCATGTCGTACACTTGTCGTATTCATAGTCGGAAGGATGCGCGACCTGATCTACGCCAAGCCTCCACTTGTGAACGACTCCCACAATTTTTGGGCCTATCGATAAGACGAGGATCATGCAAACACTTTGGATCTCTGACAACTACGAAGCTGAAAATTGTATACCCACGCTGTAACTATAACATGCCATGGAGGTATACGCAATTCCTCATACACGTAGAAATTCATGCAGAATCTAGTGGTTACCTCAACGGTAAGTATTCAGATGCAAACTTGAGCTTTCCCAGTTCGATGTAGCTTCCAGGGCTAGCGTCGAAACGGGAGCTAGTCCAATGACGGCATAGGAGCCCGTCGGTTTCAACAGCGCATGCAAGCTTCACCACTCATACACGGCAGCTGTGAATGCTTGACAAAGGGGTGCTGGATACTACCCCTATCTGCTACTCCGCTCATCATATCATATCTTCTCTCCATGGCTAGCAGGTAGAGTTGCGCGCAGCCTTTCCATCCGCATCATGGCCGGTCGCTATTCCAACCTCCCACCGCCGACTCGCGATTCACTCGAACTTGCCTCACTGGCCTCCTCTTCGCACCCCTCGCGCCGGACCTCTGAAGAATCTTCTACCTCGGGTGCGCCTTCTTCGCGCAGACTGTCATTTGACGATGAGGACCCCTTGTCAGAACTGAACCCTGCTGGTCACGATCCGAACAGACCACGGCACACTCGCTCGTACAGCGTATCCTCAGCCTTCGACTTTGCACCCAATCTATTTCCTCTCTCTAGCACTGCGCAGGGATACACAGCACTGGGCGCACCTTCAAACCCGGCCCTAGACCCGTCCAACGCGCTTAACGGCGGCTCACTAGAGAAGAACAAGAGTTTGACATACCTTAATGGATTGTCGTTAGTAGTTGGGCTTATAATAGGAAGCGGCATCTTCTCTTCGCCATCACAAGTCAACAAGAATGCTGGATCGCCAGGCGCGTCCCTTATTGTCTGGGTCGTGGCCGGAATACTGGCATGGACGGGTGCCGCGAGTTATGCGGAGCTCGGAGGTGCTATACCACTCAATGGTGGTGCACAAGTCTATTTATCCAAGATTTTCGGAGAATGGGCAGGATTCTTGTTTACGTGGTGTGCAGTCGTGGTGCTGAAACCAGGCTCAGCAGCCATCATTGCAATAATCTTTGGAGAATATTTAGTGCGCGCTATAATTGGTGCCGAAGCTGTGGACGCGAGCACATGGTTGAACAAGGGCGTGGCTTTGGTGGGACTTGTGGCCGTCACGCTACTGAACTGTGTGTCCACCAAGCTGGGCACCAGAAGCGCCGATGTCTTCATGTTTCTGAAGTTCTTTGCGCTTACAGGAGTCACCGTAATCGGTATCGTAGTTGCAGCGACAGGGCTGTCATACAAGGGTGACGCGAATGAAGACTGGAAGAACCGAGGCTGGTTCGAGGATACTAGCGAAAACGTTAGCAATTGGGCTGTAGCGCTCTATGCCGGACTCTGGGCTTTCGATGGTTGGGACAACGTAAGTCAAGACTCCCGCAATTCCTCTAGCCTCTGCTAATGGCGTCAGGTCAACTACGTGACTGCCGAATTCAAGAATCCGACCCGCGATCTCCCCCGCGTTATCCACACCTCTCTCCCGCTCGTCATACTCTGCTACATCCTAGCCAACATATCCTATTTCCTCGTACTCCCCACCTCCGTCATCGAGTCGTCCAACACCGTCGCCGTAGCCTTTGGATCACAAGTGTTTGGTCCCATCGGCTCACTCATACTCGCATTGTTTGTCTCGGGATCATGTTTCGGTGCACTGAACGCGACAACATTCACATCTGGCCGCCTTGTTTACGCTGCTGGCAAAGAAGGTTATCTCCCATCTCTATTCGGGAACATTGGACTGGGAAAGAATCATAGGGCGATCCGCTTGCACAGCATGAATTCAACACAAGGGAAGAGCAAGATACCAAAGAAGCTAGTGAGCTGGTTTGCAGACGCTGACGCAGGCTTCTTCTTTACGCCTATTTCCGCCATGGTACTCAATGCTGTCCTAACAGCCATTTACATCGTCGTCGGCAGCTTCGACACTCTCGTCACCTTCTATGGTGTAGCAGGGTACGCGTTCTATTTTCAAACAGTACTTGGCCTCATCATCCTTCGCGTCCGAGAACCTGATCTGGAACGTCCATATAAAACCTGGATCACCACGCCCATTATCTTTTGCTGCGTTAGTCTCTTCCTGTTAAGCAGAGCCGTGTTTGCCGAGCCATTACAGACACTACTCGTTGTAGCGTTCATGGTAGTGGGCTTAGTGATATGGTTTGCATGGGTGGGAAGGCGCAGAGGGAAGGAGCAGAACAAGTTTCGGATGCCTGAAGAAGGCAATGAAAAGGTAGGATGGAAGTTCTGGCAACGTTGGAGACGATGAAATAGATAATGCTGTCCTGTAGTATAAGCGCCATGGTTGTACAAGCTACGTAGAAATGAATAAATGATAATAATGCGTAAGGGTTCTGTTGCATCGTCTCTGTCATCGACGTCATCGCACAACAACGCATCTCGTTCCAAGTCATGACGGATGGAAAATCCATTAATTAGCCCCGCTGGGCAGATCAAGACCCTGGCATCGTTCACGGAACTACTGACGAAGGAGCCCTACGTAGACACATACTGGACAGCAATGCCCAGCCACGTGGTGATCACACCATTATGCGTTCGACTCGTCTGCCCGAAACAAAAGGCGAATAGAAAATCATAGATCCACGCCCGAATGCTGCCCGGGTTCCGGCCCAACACAAGATTTGGAATTCTGTACCAGCCCTTGGATGAAAAGGAGAAAAGTGGGAACGGGTATACGGATCGAGAAGATCAATGGTTGCAACTCCTGGTTAACTAATCGTGAGGTCTGTTGACGTTGATACAGCTACCAATAGGACGTACGTGTAGTACGAACACCAAACCCTACCTCAATGGTATACACCGTTGTTTCTCTTTCAGAATTACAGTTTACATCACTATGTATACCTTTGGGTTAAGTTTCCAGTGATTGATACGACCAAAGAAATGAGCTTCTTCGCATAGGCTATCAATGGTCCGTGGGCATCGTGACATATAATGGACGCGTGATGATATGGAGAATGGTTTTACTTTGTTTAGAGTTCTACAACTTTCGAATGGGACTAGCGAGATTGACTATGCTACGACGTATCAAGGCCTACCACCTTCTTGGATAATTAACAGGCTCAATGAAGAGACAATGGGAAGATAGATGAGACGTGAAGAAAGGTAACTGGGGGAAATGGGAGGTAGGAGGGGGAGGGAAGGGTGTGGGTATAAAGAGCGGATGTACTGTGCCCAATTCCGTGGCAGGGTGCGCAGCACCGGTGTTCGTGAATGAATGTTCGTATCGTAAGCAACGTGACGGAGAAGGCCGCCTGGTAGGGCCTGGAAGCCTACAGTAAGCCCGTAGTCTTCATGCGACAAAGCCAAGATGGCCTGTGCGAGACGCTGTCGCAGGAGTTGTGCAAACATGAAACCGAAACCGTAACGCCTGTGTGGGTATGTTGCCCAGACGCGAACCACCCAAGTCGCCGAAGCAAAGAAACAAGAAATCCAGGAACCTGCATCTCCCCAGTTTATCGTACAGCGGCTCGTCGCCGATCCCGGTCTAGCGGTAGAAAGGAAAAGAAAGACCCTGAAAAGCACTCTCATGCCTCAGATCCAGCCATTGGGTCGCGGAGTGCGAGACATTGTGCCTGCCCCAAGTGGGATGCGGGCTGTGGGTGACGGGGATGCACGGCCACTGTTTGATCGTGCAAGGTTGGCAACCGACACGGGCGTTGCTGGTTGTGATGCTGTAGTGGGTGAACCAACTGATGCAACGGGTGTCACAGGGTTCATCCGCAGTCCGCTTATGCATGCAGGTGCGGGGACGACAGGTTGTGTCGGGGTTGCGAAGCGTGGAGGTGGGTTTGGTGATTTCGGTGGTGGGGAGGGTAGCAACTTCTCGCGCTGAGCCTGGAGATAGGCGCTGGACTGAGCTGACGGCGTGAGAGGAAAGGCTGGGGTCCGTCCCGGGCTGTTAGCCCTGGGCCGAGTTGGCGAGTCACCACGCGGGGGTGGTTGGGGAAACGTGCTCGGGCTAGGCATCTCTTCAGATGGTGATATGCCTGTCGTAGAGGGCTTCTGGATCGGGAGGCCTAATGAATCTTCGCTTGAATCAGTGACCCCTCGTTTTAGCGGTGGTGTATCTCGTTCGGCTCGCGTACATTTGGCTGCTGCAAGCGTTGCAGGCGCTACTGAGAAGCGGAGACCAATCTGAACTGTTGCGCTACTATCTGTACTTTGCATGCGTTGGTGCCGTTCCGCAAATGGTAGTTTTGGCTTGCTGAGAAAGTCGAAAGCATCGCTGACGTTGGTAACCGAGCCTCGTCGTGTGAAGCGCCGTAGGGCGAGTTTAGAAACCGAGGAACCGTCTGATGTAGCTTTAGGATCGTAGACAGTTGGAGGAAGGCGAGGTACCTCTTCCGCGCGTGTGGGGAAAAGAGAGTAACTTTGCTTGCGTTCATGTGTTGTAGCATCATTGTCAAGAGCAGGTGGTAGAGGCCACTTTGTGAGATCGATCGGGCTTCCAGGTTTGGTCGATGCCGGCGTCAAAGCCCGCTCGGGTCGTTCAAAGTACTCGGCATCAAAGTCCCCACGGTTCTTCTCCGGCCCAACATCGATCAGACCCTGTTGGCTGTGTAGACGATGAGTTGTTTGTAGTGCCATCGGGCCGCTGATCTGCATTTCCAGATCGCTAGGACCGAAGAATCGAATTTTTGGTCGTTGTTGTTTCGCAGGAGCCTTGAGCTCTTCGATGGGACGGATGACCATTCGTGTAGCATTCGTACGAAGGAAGAGATGGAAGAAGGTGATGACCATTCCTGAGGAGAAGAGCGAGATTTCTGCGATTCGAGAAGCGGCCAGTGCTTCCATAAATTCTCGTCGAAGAGACTGTACTTCAACTGGGATGACGAGAGTCTACGATTGTCAGCTAATGGAAAAAAGAGAGCAGTAGGGATACTCACGTAAATAAGTGCAGCCACAATCAGAAAGTAGGTCATGCGTGAAGCTGAAATACGCTCATTGTGATCGATCTCGGGTGTTCTCATCAGTTGGATACTGATCAAAGCGGCTACCAAGAGCAAGAGGAAGACAAGAACAGAAAGAAAAATCAACATGAGAAGATCGTATCGCATAGGAAACCAGATAAGGCCACCAAAGCAAGTGTTTGGCGATGGCCAGGCCACAGTTGGCATCCAGGTGAGCAGAAGCATAAACGATACGACGGCGACACATATTGTTGTGTTCCACTTGCCGCGTGGAGCGAATCGGTCTTGTTTGTAGGCTCTGACCACGACTTCGATGCCGAAAACCAAGGTGATGTACCCGATCAGAAAAATAGCTACCGCCCGTCAGTCTCTTTGTCCGCAGATCGCAAAGCGTGCTAAGCGTACCAGGGAATGTGACCATTGCCAGTCCGCGACAACTCTTAGAAAACACACTATGGAGTGTAGTGCCCTGCACTGATACGAAGATAATTTGTTGTAGAACGGCACCGCAGGCCAACGCGAGTGGAAAAGTTTCAGCAGGGTGAACATTGTGCAAAGCATTGAATCTCCTATAATCTGTTAGTAATAATGCAACTATCCAACAATTCGTACCTACTTCTTCCTGGGAAGGACCTGAAGAGCTGCTGCGCGTCGTGCGTCTGAGACAATTCGATGGACCGTCAATAATGTCAAAGCAAGGCTAAACGCTCCCAGGGTAAGATGTGTCGTTCGGAGCGTTTGTACTTGTTGCAGCTGTAGACTTGCGATAAGGGTTCTTGTCGTGTTTGTTTGTGTCCAGGGAACTTGACGAACGGCCGAAGTGTTGAGAGTCAAGTTGAAGTGCGATCGGGCCTCGAGCTGAGGGAAATGGTCCGCCCATGATTCCATCTTGCCGGCTTCAGTTACAACAGGTGTAGAAGGAATAATATTGTCTCGCTGGTAACCAGCAGCGGCTGAAGAAAGGAAATCGACTAGGTATTCATGGAGACCGTATGACTGACGTAAACGAACGAGTAACCAGCTCAGTGTCAAAGAAGGAAATGGCTAAGCCTGCCAGCAGAGCAACGAAAGAAGGGGAAAGAGCGTGAGCATTAGACGTAAGAGACAAGAGACGGGTATGAGACTCCAAACGGTATATGACAAAACCACTGGGCGGTAGCAGCAACGCACGGTTTCGGAACAGCGGTCCTCAGGCGTCTATCCGGCCATTGGCTGAAGGGACCCGCATTAGCAAAGATCCATTCGGTTCATATTACAGGTCGCATCTTCCCGCAATGGGTGGGAGTGGGGTTTCAACCTCATGCGAGCCACATACTACTAGGTAACCTGGGCAGCGGAAGCAGCGAAACCCGTGTTAGTACCGCTGCCCCGAAGACTAGCCAGCCGCCTTGGAAAACCTCTCGCTCTGGCCTTGCTCGAATATTGACCAGGTTGAACAGGTCTTGGGTTCAGTAAGACGTCATTGCTTTGACGTTGCCCTAGTGGACGTATCCGCCAGGGTCCAGTGAACACCCCTTTGGCCCTCGTCATAGCGCGACGATACTCTTCACGTTGACTTTGCGGCGCGCAATTTCTTCTGACGCTGGACACTATACTTGGATTCCTGGGTAGCTATTTCAAGCGCGGAAGCGCTGATGTAGAGAGTGGCGCAAAGTCGGTGGTGGTGAGGTGGATGTGGTCGGACTAGAGTTCTGATGCGAGCTGGGTTTAGACTGTGCCGCAGATCCTCGCTTCAACCCTGTCCGAGACACTGAGAACTCCAGAACCCCTGTCGGCTCAACGGTCGCCGGGAGGACCTCGCAAGCTGATGACACGGTTCGCAGTGGATTTGGCTAGCGGCAAGTTATAAGCAATATCTTATAGAAAACGGAGGGTGATGGGTAAAGCCACGAGGCAATGCTATATTGAGTGTTGTAGATGGGGCAGTTTTGCATAGTTGACCAGTAGGAACGATTCGAAGACATAAGTGTAAGATTGAAGGATGCGAGAGCGTCCATCGGATGCAACACGGAAAGAGCCGATTGAGATGCTCAGATGGGGTATGCTTGGTTCTCCACCGAACAGACTTTGTGACTACTGAACCTGTCAAGCCGCATGGGCAATCGTGGCGCAGAAAAGCATCGCGTTCGAGCCGACGGTACCTCGTCAAGTACGCACCACCTCACGGCGATCAGTATGTGCGTTGTCACAGGCTGCTACGTAGCCGCTGTAGTCAAGACTCCAGCGGCTACATAGTGGTACAGTCACACTCGCATCGTGCTACCTACCCTGACGGTCTGGCCGCTGCCATTCTGCTGTAGAATCTTATGTGACAAGCCACCGAAGCCAAGACTGAGTAGAGAAGGACTTGCAAATCTTACTATAACAGGTAGTGCACGAAGTTCGTCAAGGCATAATGATGCTCGTATGGAAAGAGGAGAACTTTCGAGAAGACCAAGCCACTGGTCTTTACACTGCCCCAGCCACACAGCACGAGATACAAGGGTATGCCTCAGAGAAATCCCCGACAATGCAAATCAAGAATTGGGCGGACGCGAGCATGCTGATCCGTTGTCGTGGGTGGGATCAACACTAGGAAGACCAGAATGTGCAGACTAAAAGTTGGCTACGTTGATTACGAGTGTTCTGTTGAATGACACCGACATAACAAGAGGGTATTTTTTTTAGTCACACGTCGCCTCATACGGCGAGTTCGCAGACACGTTCATGCTATCGTGCAAAGTCTTGCTCAGGCAGACTTCGCATATTCTTCAAGGTACGCAACAAGCAGCTTAGTACCATCTAGCGAGACAGCATTGTCTACAGCACCAAAGAAGTTAGCCTAGGTTGTTGGAGAGCTTTGCTTTGGGTCGGATCCTGGGTTGAGCACGTTAGACCACGTTGGCTTGCAAGCCGCGTAGCCCAATGTACCCTGTAAAGTCACGACTCGAAGCATGACTGGGAGCACCATCAATAATGCGGGAAGTATAGAGGCACTTACAATTACTGGCACGAATGCCACCCACGCTGCGGTGTCCTTTCAAGCCTAGCAGGCCCTTCTTCTCTGCACCCGCAAGGAAAGCCTTCTCCTTGTCCGCATCTCCACCAGAGACACGGAAGCAAATATTCATCCTGCTACGTACAGTCTTGTCGGGCACGACCTGATAGACATTAGAGTACTTTTCAAGTGTCTCGTATATGAGCCGGGCCTTTTCGTTGGAGACTTCCTCCTGACCACCGATACGCTTAGTGCCGTAGGAGTTGACTAGCCCAGACATGACCTGGCCAGCCACCCAGACGTCGAAGATGGGCAGTGTGTTGTAGAGTGAGTTGTTCTTCGCGATGGTGGGATAGTCTAGCACAATGGGGCCAACAGACAAGTTGAGCTCTCTCATGAGGTCGGGCGAAGCTGGAGTGGAGTGTGGCGGAAGAAGCGACTTCCGCATGATGACAATCGCGATGCCGGTGTTGCCAATGTTCTTTTGGGCGCCACCGAAGATGATGGCATACTTGCGCACGTCGACCTTCCGGGAGATGAAGTTTGACGACATGTCGGCACAGACCAATGGCGCGTCGTCGCCCTCGAGGCTCTGAGGAAAAGACGGGAACTCGACTCCGTCTACTGTCTCGTTGTCGCAGAAGTATACAAAGGCAGGCCCACCCTTGGAACGTGGTGTGAGGCTCCACTGGTCTTCAGAGGCGATTTTTCCAAATTTGCCGTCATTGACCTTGCGCGAGTCGGTGGCTACGTTGACGTGCTTCGCTCCTACAAGACGCGCTGCCTCTTGCGATGCCTTGAGCGACCAAGAGCCGGTGACGAGGTAGTCGAGCTTCAGCTCCTCATCGACGACCTTGCGCAGCCTCTTCATCAGCTCATCCTTGTTGTCGCCCACCTCTTCCGCAATCTTTGCGCGCTTCTTCTCTACCCATATCGAGACAAGGTTGTATACGGTCGCACTGAACTCGCCGCTACCGCCGCTCTGGAGGAAGAGGATCTCGTAGTCGTCAGGGATTTCGAGCAGGTCAGCAAGTGCCTTCTTGGTGTCTGCAAGAATCTCGTTGGCTTCTGGCGAACGATGAGAAATCTCGCAAAGACCGATGCCCTTGTCTTTGTAGTTCAGGAGCACCTGCGAGGCCTTCTCGAGGACCTCGGTGGGCAAGGGTGCAGGGCCAGCGCCAAAGTAGTTGACGTCAGAGCGGTTGACCATGGCGACGACGGATTTGGAGGTTAGTAGTGTTGTGTGCAGAGGAGAATCGAAGTGACATGAGAGAAATTGAGCAAAGAGGGGCGGTTTGTACAGAAAGTCTTCTCACGTCGCGTCATACGGAGAATGACTCTACTGCCCGCCTCTTACCAACAGCTGCTTCCGACTTCGGGCTAGCATGCAATATGGACATGGCGGGCCACGTATGCAGAGCACTCAAGTATGGTCCGCTACAGATGCTACATGCTCCCCGCGTGGGCGTTGAATGCATTATGCGAAGCAATTGAGCGCGTCTGGCTGTGTCCAATGGCAGCGCGAGGGAATGGATGACTGGCGCCGAAGTTCGGTGGGGAATTTTTGTCCGGGGAAGCGCGCATTCACCATTGCATACACCACATTGCTGCCATCCTCCAAGTACCAGCAATGGCAATGTCGCTACGGGCAGCGCGGCTCTTGGGTCGCAGGCAACTAGCAGTATGTTGTAAAACATGGTCTCATGCTCCGTCCCGTCTAACGTTGCAAATGTAGCCTCGAGCAGGTTTGGCTCTTCGTGCCGCCTCGTTCTCGCCTCGACCATGTCTCGCGCCACGGACGTTTGCTACGACCGCTAGCCGTCGCGAGGCCCAGGATGTCTTTCCCTCGATGAAAGAGAGCCCCGCGGCAAGCTTCCTCTCTTCGCTCAACGAGACGCCCAAGACACCGCAGACGCTCACAGAGAAGATTGTGCAACGACATGCCGTCGGTGTTGCGCAGGGCAAAGTCCTCAGGTCCGGCGACTATGTCACTTTGCAGCCACACAAATGCATGACACACGACAACTCATGGCCCGTCGCTCTCAAGTTCATGGGCATTGGAGCCACCAAGATCAACGACCCAAAGCAAATCGTCATGACTCTCGACCACGATGTGCAAAACAAGACGGAGAAGAACTTGAAGAAGTACAGCCAAATCGAGGAGTTTGCACAGAAGCAGGATGTCGTCTTCTATCCTGCCGGACGAGGCATCGGCCATCAGATCATGGTAGAGGAGGGCTACGCATGGCCAGGAACGCTCGCTGTGGCTTCCGACAGTCATTCCAACATGTACGGCGGTATTGGATGTCTGGGTACACCTGTCGTGCGAACAGACGCTGCGAGTATTTGGGCAACGGGCAAGACTTGGTGGCAAATCCCACCTGTCGCAAAGGTCACTCTGAATGGCAAGATGCCTCAAGGCGTGACTGGCAAGGACGTCATTGTTGCTCTGGCAGGTCTCTTTAACAAGGACGAAGTGCTCAACCACGCCATTGAGTTCACCGGAACCGATGAGACCCTTGGTAGCATACCCATCGATGATCGCCTTACCATTGCGAACATGACAACTGAATGGGGTGCTCTCACTGGACTCTTCCCTATCGACTCCACCCTCCACGGCTGGCTTCGCGCAAGGGCGACTCTAGCCGCCATGGGAGAGGGACAAGCCAAGGATCACCACCAGCAGCAGTTTATTCATGAACGTATTGATCAGCTGTTCACTGCTACTGGCATTGTTGGAGAGAAGATGGGTCACATTTTCAAGCCTGCGTTGGCTGCGGACAAGGGAGCCGTCTATGCCAAAGAGCTCTTCCTTGACCTGTCCACTCTGTCACCATATGTCTCCGGCCCAAACTCGGTCAAGGTTGCCACTCCCCTGCTTGAACTCCAAAGCCAGAACATCCCGATCAACAAAGCATACCTCGTATCTTGCACCAACTCCCGCGCTTCTGATCTCGCTGCCGCCGCCAACGTCTTCAAAGATGCTGCTGTTCTGAACGGCGGCAAGATCCCCAAAATCCCTGACAATGTCAACTTCTACATCGCTGCCGCGTCAATTCCTGAACAAAAAGCCGCGGAAGAGGCCGGTGACTGGCAGGCGCTCCTGGAAGCTGGTGCGCAGCCATTGCCTTCTGGCTGTGGTCCTTGCATTGGACTCGGTACGGGTCTCCTTGAGCCTGGTGAGGTTGGTATTAGCGCAAGTAACCGTAACTTCAAGGGTCGTATGGGATCGCCTGACGCCAAGGCCTACCTTGCTAGCCCTGAAGTAGTTGCAGCAAGTGCTTTGTCGGGCAAAATTTCAGGTCCTGGATGGTACGAGGCTCCTGAAGGCTATGCAGGCGTTCGGCGGGGAGAGGGCGATGGTGTTCCTGAGGAAGAGCGTATGATGACTATCGAAGACATGCTCGAGAAGGCCATCAAGGATGCTGAGGCTGCTATCGATACCTTTGGCAACGCCGAGCCCGAAACACAATCCGTGGATCCGCCCGCGACACCAGGCTCGGAAGCTGAGCCTTTGACTGAGATCCTCCCTGGTTTCCCCGAGAAGATCAGCGGCGAGATTGTCTTCTGCGACGCAGACAACATCAACACCGATGGTATCTACCCTGGTAAATATACATACCAAGACGATGTAACCCGCGAGAAGATGGCGGAAGTGTGCATGGAGAACTACGACCCCAACTTTGGCCAGATTGCAAAAGCTGGTGACGTTCTTGTCTCAGGTTTCAACTTCGGCTGCGGTAGCAGTCGCGAACAGGCTGCAACTGCTATCCTGGCAAAGGGTATTCCGCTCGTCGTCTCTGGTAGCTTCGGTAACATCTTCAGCCGCAACAGCATCAACAATGCTTTGATGGGTGTCGAGGTCCCCAAGTTGGCCAACCGCCTCCGCGAAGTCTTCTCTTCCCAAGACGCTTCGTCATCACAGCAAGCTATCAAGGAGCCTTCAAACAACCGTGAGTCGCTTGATTCACCACCCCCGGCTGCTGCTGCTCAGCCTAGCCAAGCCAAGCAATTGACCCGCCGCACCGGCTGGACTCTTGAGTGGGACGTTCGCAGGAGTACTGTCTCCGTACAAGAAGGACCCAATGGCGTCAAGTGGAACGTCAAGGTCGGCGAGCTGCCTCCCAATGTGCAGGAGATCATTGCTCTTGGTGGGTTGGAGAACTGGGTAAAGAAGGAGATTGGCAGCCCTCCCTCTTGAGCGTCATGGAGCTTGAAAATTAGCTTGTAACATTCGTGTATACCCTCTTGATGATATGCATAAGCGGCGTTGTGGTATTTAGACTATTTCAAGCAAGCAACACATTGTTCAGGAAACACGTAGTTCTACATTGAAAACTCGTAAACTGACCTAAGAGATCTCCAGCGCAATACCCCTTGTGTCTCGCTCCCCTCCACGTCAGCGAAGATAGACGGGCATACCCTTCTCCCACCCCTTCGCTCTGCAGCAATGCCAAGTATCCGTTTCGCTCACACCCTGCCCTCCGCTACTCTTCTGATCGATACTAGCATACACACTCCATCCCTCCTCCTCCAACATCTCTACCAGTGCTATCAACAATTCTCTGACCCTCATTGTTTCTTCGCCACTAGCTTGCCATGGGTAGCCTTTAAGTTTAAATTCCCAGATCCCAGGCGAATGCTGTTCGGATGCTGAAATCCAGTTGGCTCCTACACGAGATGGGAGGGAGCTATACAACGAAGCAGGTGCGTCCATAAAGCGCAGCCGATCTTGCCGACTGAACGACACAACACACCATTCGTGCGGCGATGGAGGTGGACTCTGGTATCGGAAGAGCAAGGTATCTTTGTCCACAGCACTCTTGCTTATATCGGTGTTAAGTGTTAAGAGCCACCCTGAGGCGTGTAGTGTTGCTAACAGACCGTTCATCAGACGTCGTGCGTGCACCCCCTCTTTTCCATGTCCGCGCCAGGGGTAACCATTGAGTTTTATCTCTTGACTGTTTGCGTATCGGCGCTCTTCGTCGATACCTTGAGGCCAGGTTCTTAGAACGGTTGCGCGGCAGCTGGAGATGATGGGTTCGGGAAAGCGCAGGAAACGAAGACGGTCTTCCTTGTGGAGAGACAAAGAGGCGAAACGTGTTTGCACGGGTGCTGATGATGCAGATCCGGAGGAGGAAGCTGCTGTGTAGGCAGGTGGAGGGGGTGCAGATAAATCATTGGGGGTGTCGTCAATTGATTCCCCTTTGGAATGACTGGAGGGCGACTTGCCTCGGAGTTTATCAAACATTTTGGCGGGGCTCTGGGAGGTTTCCTGGAACTTGAATGTTCTGTCGTTAGGTTGCGTGCGAGGAAGACTCCCAAGACCCGCTGACTGCGCGCCTTATGTCTTTAAGTCTTGTCGTTGTTGCACAGCCTCATGGCAACTTCCAAGATACCAATGGTCGGACCGTTTTAGTCCTGTGGGTGTAACCAACCACTCAAGCAGGTGAACAATGACGACCGAGTACACATGATACCGGTTTTAACCTGCCCTCAAGATATTTGTGGGGTCTTACATTTTTTGGCTAGCAAGATGAAAGATAGTGTATGTGTCTACCTAAAGCATGCAACATGACTTGGAGGAGTATAAGGTTCAGGATGGGCGTTCAATACGACACGACTACTTTCAGCTCTGGTAATGCCGGTGTTCTGTCCAATGTCAAGATGGAGGGCTCCCCAGGATATGCATGGTAGCGCGGCTTGGCGGGGCGACACCGGACATTGAACTCGCTTCCCCGACGACTTTTTTTTGGAGCGGGTATCGTTGGGCATCTTATCTCTAGCTCCCGTTCTTCATTGCTCGGTACCGCAATCGCCTTGCGCTGTTGCTCCCTCTAACGTCTGTCAATTCTCAATTTCCTCGTTGCTCGAAGTTTTCGATCATGACGCCATCACCTTCCGAAGCCGTAGCAAAGGTTGCGCAAGCCGCTGCCGGCACCAACTCGTCCGCAAAGGTGTACAAGAGGGAGTCCAACACAGCTAGGGTATTGGGTGCAGGTACATATGGCATTCTTGAGGCAATTTCACTCATCTGACTTGGATAGGATGTGCGGGTATCGCAGAGCTTATGGTCTTCCACCCTGTCGACACCACAGCGAAGAGGTTGATGAGCAACATTGGAAAGGTGCGACATATCCACGAAATTACCCCACGATCATGTCTGACTCGAGCAACTGCAGATTGAAAACGCAGCGCATCTTAACAAGGTCGTCTTCAGGGACGCGGCCAACGCCTCGGTCGGTGGTCGTTTCCTTTCTCTCTTCCCCGGTCTCGGCTACGCTGCCGCATACAAGGTGCTCCAGCGAGTATACAAGTTTGGCGGACAGCCCTTTGTACGGGACTACCTCGCGCACAACCACGGTGACAGCTTCGACCGCGCATTCGGCAAGGGCAACGGCAAGGCCATCATGCACGCAACTGCAGGTTCCATTATCGGTATTGGTGAGATCGTTCTCCTGCCATTGGACGTACTCAAGATCAAGCGACAAACAAACCCCGAGGCTTTCCGAGGCCGTGGTCTGGTCAAGATTGTCTCAGACGAAGGATTTGGACTGTACCGTGGTTGGGGATGGACCGCAGCACGTAACGCGCCAGGCTCGTTTGCGGTATGTTCCAGCACTCTACGAAAAAAGAAAGCATATACTAATGTAAACACAGCTCTTCGGTGGTTCCGCCGTCGCCAAGGAGTACCTCTACAAGCTCTCCGACTACAACTCGGCATCATGGTCGCAAAACTTTGTTGCCTCCATCGCCGGAGCTAGCGCGTCGCTCGTCGTCTCTGCTCCTCTCGATGTCATCAAGACCCGTATTCAGAACAGGAACTTTGAGAACCCCGAGAGTGGATTCAGGATCGTGTCCAACATGATGAAGCACGAGGGCTTCACTTCCTTCTTCAAGGGACTGACACCTAAGCTGCTCATGACCGGACCTAAGCTCGTGTTTTCCTTCTGGTTGGCCCAAACGCTGATCCCTGCCTTTGGCAAGATAATGTAATGTGTTGCGATGAACTTATCCTGATGTCTGTAATATATGGGAGGTTTGGGTTTACCGGTGCTATAGAACTAGCAGGTTGGGCTACGTCAAAGGCAACGACGTACGAAGAAGCGCATACTCCTGCGAACGAACGACACATTCTCCATTCTATGAAAAAGCGAACTCAGGCCGAATAATGGCACCTTTGCGGACTGAAAGTGATGATGATGATGCGTGCCATGGCTGGCTGACACCCGTGGACCCTGGTGACTGTCACGTGCGTGCACCGATGGCATCTGCTGGATTATGATGTATGATCTGCCACTGTCTCAGAGCCCTGGAATGAAATGGGGCAGACTAGGTGTCATACGTCAGAAAGCGCAGCAGGCATCTCACTGGAGAAAGTTAGGCGGCCGACCAGCAGGCGTGAATGTGATGTTCCCATGGCGCGACGAGCTACGGCAACTTGTGACCACGGATTTGGGCTGAATGCCAAGCTAATTCACATCTGGTATCCGCGCATTGCACCTCGTCCACCTCTACTTAACACCGTCCGCCTCGACGACCCGCGATACCCCCACGACTACTGCCTTTGATAACCCCCCAACTTACATCCATAGTCTCTACCTTCTTCTCAACCCCGCAACACCGCCATCATGAACCCTGAGTGGTACGTAACCTCCGCGCGACGCCCACCGCCACAGGCTGGGGAACGGCGACGCCAAATCTGGGGTTAGGACCATGCTAACTTGGATACCTGCAGAGTACTTTTTATCCCGGCTGCAGTCCTGTTGCTGCCGTCCCCGCCATGGATGGCTCCCGCTGACGGCTCGCCTTACAACAGATACGACTACCTCTTCAAGCTTCTCCTCATCGGTGACTCTGGTGTCGGAAAGTCCTGCCTGCTGCTCCGTTTCGCAGACGACACATACACCGAGAGCTACATCTCGACCATCGGCGTCGACTTTGTGCGTTCACCCGCGCACCTGCAGCCTAGACCGGCGATGAACTAACAAGGACCAGAAAATCCGAACGATCGAGCTCGATGGCAAGACCGTGAAGCTACAGATTGTGCGTATACTCGGGGTTGCAGTGTCTGGGAGCAGGTACTAACAGCCATGACAGTGGGATACTGCCGGCCAAGAGCGTTTCCGAACCATCACATCCTCGTACTACCGCGGCGCCCACGGCATCTGCGTCGTCTACGATGTCACAGACATGGACTCATTCAACAACGTGAAGCAGTGGCTGCAGGAGATTGACCGATACGCAACCGAAGGCGTCAACAAGCTGTTAGTGGGCAACAAGTCCGATATGGCAGACAAGAAGGTTGTCGAGTACACTGTAGCAAAGGTACGCTCATGCCGTGACTCGCCACGCACCCTCAGTATCTAACAACATCACCAGGAGTTCGCAGACAGTCTCGGCATCCCATTCCTCGAGACCTCCGCAAAGAGCGCTACCAACGTCGAGCAAGCTTTCCTAACCATGGCCCGCCAGATTAAGGAGCGCATGGGTACCACAACTGCCAACACCAAGCCCACAGTCCCCATTGGCCAGGGCCAAGGTGTGCAAAACGGATCTGGCGGAGGTTGCTGCTAGAGAAGAGGAAGAGTCGTTATGTGTCGGAGAAACGTACCAGTGTTTACGGACGAGCGGCATACAACGTGGGTGGAACAAGCTCCCGTTCTTATGCGATGCGAGGATTGGTGCGGTACTACCATAATGCTCACTGACTACATGACCGCCATGTCTCTCCCATTCGTCACCGTTTCCACGTTTCCACTCCGAACCTGTGTGCTAGCATGGCGACACCCGATCGGATAGAATGGGGGCTCTCGTTTGGATTTCTGGGATGTGCTGGTGTCTGCATTACAATTTGTGGTGGCCACTAGGTCTCTTTCCTTGGTGTGTTTAGGTGTTCTTTAATATGGGCAATCAGATTCTACCTCATAGCTCTCGGTGCTCGCTCGACAAACTGAAATTTGCGCTCTAGTGATGTGAAGACACCAGTATTGTCACAAATATGATCAACCGCGGATCGAACAGACAGCAGCTCGTTACAACCAACATACCTAATTACCGACTGTCCAACTCGAGGATCAAGCGACCATTTTGACATCCAAAATCAGCCCTTGAAGCGCCCTTCTCGGCGTGTACGACATGCCGCGTACCCTTCGCTCCTTCCCGTATCCGGAAGAATGCAGGCGCTGACGTATGCTGGCGCCTCGACTAGGCATCCCCTCCGGACAACACTAAATACTCGGGTCCTGGATCGGCCTGCAAAAGCAAGTTCGACCAAGGCTTTTTCTTTACTCTTTTGTTCTAGAGTTTTCCTAACTTTTCTAATGCTTTAAGGCCCTGGTGTATCGACCTGAGTACCTCAAACAGACGCCATCCCTTCGCTTTGCCCAACGCATTCACGTGAATGGCGCATTCGAGACGAACACACCCAACCCTTGACTCTGGATTATGTCTATACAAAATGCGCCTGTCAGAGCAGCACAATGGCTCGGTCGCGAACTGGGGCTTGCGACTATGAAACAAGCCGGAAAAGATGTGTACATCATCATCCTGGCGCGTTACATCCGTCTTTTCGCATATGGCAGTGTGGCGCTCATCCTGGCACTCTTCTTTCAAGAGCAAGGCTTCTCAGACGAACAGATCGGACTATTCATGTCATTGACGTTGTTGGGAGACGTAGTCGTCAGCCTTCTTCTTACCCTCGTCGCCGATACACTTGGACGACGTCGCACTTTACTCCTCGGAGCGGTGTCTATGGCCATATCTGGCGCTGTGTTCGCCACAACGAGTAACTATGTTGCTTTGCTTCTCGCAGCTATCATCGGTGTTATCAGTCCGAGCGGAAACGAGATCGGGCCGTTCAGAGCCGTCGAAGAGTCGACGTTGGCGCATCTGGTGGCTGAGGACAAGAGATCAGATGTGTACACTTGGTACGTCGTCCTGGCTGTACTGGGCACGTCAACGGGTTTGGCCGTTGGTGGAGTGGCTGTCGACAACTTGCAAGCTATCGAGGGTTGGACGGATCTGGATGCGTATCGTGCGATATTCTGGATCTACACCGGTGTTGGTTGTATCAAGGCTTTGATGACACTCTTTTTGAGCCAGAGATGCGAACATAGCGACTGGAACGATGAACGCAACAAACCCGCTGCATCGCCCGAGACCGAACCATTACTGAACGGTCACGAAACCGAGGATTCAAGCACTGCGGCACGGGAACCATCCCCTAAAAAGTCCAAGAGATTCTGGCATTCTCTTAGCAAGATTTCCAAGTCAAGTCGCATCACTCTCATCAAGCTATGCAGCTTGTTTTTTCTAGATTCCTTAGGCTCTGGGATGGTTCCGTTCAGTTTGATCAACTACTACATGGAACGCAAATTTGATCTGCCAAAGGGCAAGTTAGGCGGCATCATGTCTGCAACGTGGTAAGTCATGTTTGCAAGCAAATTCCAACTTCAGAACCATGCACTAATCAACTAACAGGTTTGTATCGACACTTGGTAACGTCTTCGCTTCAAGTCTAGCGAAACGTCTCGGCTTGATTCAAGCCATGGTCTTTACTCACTTACCTTCCTCTATCTTCCTTGCGCTACTCCCGGTTCCTTCAGGCCTTGCTCTAACTATATGTCTTCTTGTTGGCCGCTCAGTGCTCAACTCTATGGACCAAGCGCCACGATCAGCCTTCCTCTCGATCGTCGTCTTACCCGGAGAGCGCACAGCTGTTATGGGAGTCGTGAACATACTCAAGACGCTGTCTCAGAGCAGTGGACCAAGTGTCACTGGTGTACTTGCTGGGAACAATCATTTCTGGGTCGCATTCGTTGCAGCGGGTAGCTTGAAAGCGACTTACGATTTGCTGCTACTCGCGTTCTTTGGCGGAAGGGTACAACCGCGGAAGGAGGAACCTGTACCCGAAGTAGTCAGGGGCGTCGAAGAGCATGACAATGTTGAACAGCCAGTGGACGTACAGAGGACGGCTTGATGTACTTTAACGGAAGTTGACCGAGCAGGCCCAGAAACGTTAAGTAGACCGACGTTAGCATAAGCCAAATTTTGGTACGATTCATAGCATCTACTGCGTTCAATGTGGCCATTGTTGAAGCTACACCGCTAGGTACGGATGGAAGCTGACATGGCCCTACCTCGGCAAGCTTCTTCCTAGGCTTACCTAGGTAAAGAGATGCTTCCCGTACGCCTACAAGGTCAAGTCAACACGACAACATCACAGTTGTTAGCATTCACCTTACATACCGTTTCCCGTTGCCGATCTTAGGCATGAGGGTTCTAGTCTTCACCTAGACATGCACGTTGTCTGCACGATGCGACCAGCTCAATGGTCAGCTAGTCGGCCAACTCTCCGATCGTCGACACTGGCGATCTAGCCGAGGACAGGCCTCTGGGCATGCACAGTGGGTGCACGAGATCAAGTGAGCGATGAATTACCCGAGCCCTTCAGCGTTGATTTCGAGCTGGCTAACTACACCAAGAAGGTCGCATATTTCGATACCCAATCATACTCGAGCACGGCCGCAGGAGATGAAAGCTCCACTTGTCTGCACGCGACCCAGACCCTGGCGTGCATGGTTCGCCGCTACAACTACGCTTACCCTAACGATACTCGGACCCCGCAAAATTTTATGCTTAAAGACCGCCTCATGTCCTACCACCCAATGTCACGGTAGCAGTTCCCCGGATTCTTTACTTTTGTTTTGGTCAAGAGTGAGTGGAGCGGCGTCGCAGACCCCACTATCGTCCTAGAACAGTTCAGGCGATCGCCATCGGCCCGATCGTTTGGTTTGGAGAAAGTTGACGACAGTAACCATGGCGGAAGAGAAGGATATCCAGCCTACCATGGCTCCTCCCCTGGATCATGATTTCGATCATGAGGCTGATCACAAGCGCGCTGCCAACAAACTTGTTGACGACGCACGACTCGCTACCGACAATGAACGGAAGATGACCCTGATGCAGGGCATCAAACTCTATCCCAAGGCGATTGGATGGTCTGTCCTCATCAGCACGTGTATCGTCATGGAAGGGTACGATGTTTGTCTACTGAACAACTTCTTCGGTTTCCCGCAATTCAAGCAAAAGTATGGCGAGCAGCTTCCGGACGGCTCATGGGAGATTCCAGCAGCATGGCAAGCCGGACTCTCGAACGGAGTTATTGTGGGCGAGATCATTGGACTGTTCCTCAACGGATGGATCAGTGAGGCTATTGGATACCGATACACTGTCATGGGATGCTTGCTTCTAATCATTGGCTTCACTACGATCTTTTTCACAGCTCAAACAGTGGTGCACTTGCTGGTTGCGGAGATTCTTTGTGGTATCCCATGGGGTGTCTTCCAGACGCTTACAATCACGTACGCTTGCGAAGTTTGCCCTGTTGCTCTACGCGGATACTGTACGTTTATCCAAACTCTACCACCCAACACACAAGCTTACATCAATTAGTGACGACCTACGTCAACTTCTGCTGGGGCCTAGGCCAAGTTATCGGCATTGGTGTCATTCGCTCCATGGTCGACCGACCTGATGAGTGGTCGTACCGTATTCCTTACGCGCTCCAATGGATGTGGCCAGTTCCTCTTATCATTGGTGTGTTCCTGGCACCCGAGTCGCCATGGTGGTTAGTCCGTAAGGGGAGAATCGACGATGCGAAGAAGGCTCTGCTTCGACTTACCAGCCTCGACCGCGAAACCGATTTCGATGCCGATGAAACGGTAGCAATGATGGTACACACTACTGCTCTCGAGGAGAAGATCACTCAAGGAGCTAGCTACTGGGACTGCTTCAAAGGTACTGACTTGCGTCGTACTGAGATCGTGTGCATGGCCTGGGCGATTCAGAACCTGAGTGGAAATGCTTTCTCTGGATACTCATCTTACTTCCTTCAACAAGCTGGCCTACCCGCATCAACTTCCTACGACTTCGCAATGGGCCAGTATGGTATCAACATGGCCGGTGTCTTTGGCGCATGGTACCTTATGAAAGTTGGGTTTGGACGACGAACGCTCTATCTAGGAGGTCTCTGTGGACTATGTGCTATGCTCTTCGTCATGGGCTTCCTTGGCTTGGTGCCAGACTCTCAGCGCGAAACGGGTGCTATGGCTACTGGAGCTATGATGATAGTGTGGGCCATGTTCTACCAGCTGACTGTCGGTACCGTGTGCTACTCCCTCGTTGCTGAGCTCTCCACACGTCGCCTCGCTATCAAGACTGTTGTTCTCGGTCGCAACCTTTACAATGTTATCGGCATCATCACATCCGTTCTCACGCCCTACATGCTCAACCCAGGAGCCTGGAACTGGTAAGTGCTTCTTGTCCCCTACTCATCAACATACTAAATGAACTACAGGGGCAACTACGCCGGATTCTTCTGGGCCGGGTCCTGCTTCCTAAGTATCGTCTACACGTATTTCCGTCTTCCTGAGCCCAAGGGCCGCTCCTTCGCCGAGCTAGATCTGCTCTTCGAGAAGCGAATTAGCGCGCGCAAGTTTGCGAGCACATCTGTCGATGTGTTTGAGGATAGTCATATCCAGGGAACTGCTGCTTTTGACCGCTACGAAGAAAAAGTTGATGCTGCTGTGAGAACCGAATCTGTTGCTGCTGGTGTTACGAAGGTTTAATGACAAGAAGATTTAGGTTGCGATGTGATAAAGAGAAGAATGTGCATGAGCGTATGATGCATGTTCCATATAACGGGACCCATGGGCTTTGGTATTACTTTAATTAATTTCTCCGTTACGCTTCATCTGGCTTTAAATTCTGCCCTATGTGATAAAGCTCGACATATGCGATGCAGTATCGCCAAGTTCTCGTCCGAGATGATTGGACTTGGCATCCTAGGCTGCTGCGAGAGCGGGGCATTGTGCTGCGGACAAGGTTGCTTCCTTTCTTTCCCATCTACAATAATCTGATTGGCGTTGATACAACCATCGAGGAACGAAATTCTCTTGTCGATTGCATCGATCCACCTCGTGATTTGACCACATCTGCATACATGGAGGAGATAGTCAGGAGAAATGAGTGAGGTTCAGATCTTTTGTTTACATTGCCGTTGTTGCTAACGATCAGCTATATACAGATATATCGGCTCTAATCAAGAGCGAAAAATAGCAATTGAGGCAGCAATTGCAGGAAGGAGAAGATGCCGCAAGCTGGCCAACGAACTCCACGCCGTGTTGCCTAGAGAGCTCCGAAACATGATCTACACTTACATCGTGGGACCGTCAGCCCAGCTTGAGTACGCTTTTGACATCCATGGCATCATTCAAATTGGCTTCTTCGAGCCTGGGCAATCCGAAGATCTCGAAAGTTTATCCATGTTTGGCGAAAGTTGTCAAATTCAACCCAGATCCTGGGCTATGGACCCAGCATACTTTGGAACCGATGTAGTAAAAGAGCTAGCGGAAGCTTACTATGCTTTGAATCGTTTTGCACTTACCTCGGAGGAGTTCTTATATCCATTTCTGACCTTCGACCCGTTGGCCCTAGGTATAAAGCCCTACGAGCATATCCGGCGCCTTGACCTTACGCTCGATTTCGAGGATCCCCGTGACGTAAACTTTGCCAGTGTCGCAACTCACCTACAAGCTCTACAACTCATCCCTGAAAAGCGGCGCAAGATGGACATACACGTCAATCTCACCACGTCTTTTACACCATATCACAACACCAAATTCTGGTATTCAGTTGGAGCCGAGCGCATCATGCTCAATATCCTCGAGTTACTCAGATGGCCCGTATACGAGTTACTGCACAAGGGACATGCGATCCAGGTTCTCCATGAAAACTTGGATGGACGGGACAGGACAAGTTTGCAAATCCCACAGAGGAATCTAACAAGTTATTGCTCTTCAAATTCAAAGATGTCTCACAAGGCTGATTTCTTCTACATGACCAAGGAGGAGTGGCTCAAGGTAAATTGTGTTACTTTCTCGTTCTCTCCTCACTAACAACATGGAAAAGGAAAAGGGAGGAGATACCGTCGCGGATCCCGCATCCCACTATATCCTTGCACTGCCTACAGCCGCAAACGAAGCAAATAACGCGGATGAAGTAGTAGAAGACCACTTACTCGAAAAACGAGTTCGCAAAGCTCTGAAAAGGCGTTGGGATAAGGATAGTGCCCTCAACGGATTCAGTTACGGGTATGAGAATTAGGCGTGACTGCCTGCTATCATGTCAACAATACATGTGCTATGCGAACAAACATTCTGGTTCACCCACAAAGTAGAGACAATCAAGACGCAGTAACGCAAAAGTCAAGTTGATCATCACAAGCAAACAATTAGATTAGTTACGAACATTATGCGCAAAGCATCGCTCAGACCAAATCCACACTACTACTAGCCAGCACGAAGACTGACCAAAGCCGCCGTCTCAAGGTGTAAGCTTAGTACAAGAAAAGTAACGGAACAAAGGAAAGGGCGTGCGTCGCAGCGGTGGTGGAAAATGAGAGAGTAAACGCTCAAGGGTATGAAGTTTGTGTGACAAGCCATGCTAAACATATTTACTCATACAAAAGAGCGATCCGTGGTACGTGAACGGTTGATCTGGATGACAGCGACAAAGATATTTAGTTTCCGCCAGAGGCCAGGTGGTCAGCGGCCTGTCAAATATGTTAGTTTAGCTTCTTTATCTGAGAGAATAGTTACACCGCTTACCTTGTTGATGTCGTAGTCGTACTTCTCGAGCGCAGACAAGGCATCGTTGCGATCATAGCCCATGCCGGTCAGCTTCTTGAGAATGGGGTCGTCATGCTCGGTTCCAGTGCTGATTGCACGGCCAAGCGATGGCATCTGAGGAGACAGTTGATGCGATTTGGATGAAGAAGCGGCCGCCTCTTCATTGTCGAGGGTGTCAAAGACAGACTTGCCAAAGTCAGTGGATGCTTGCTGTGAGTGCGAGCCCTTGTCGGTCTGTGACGACTCGAGGTTGGAGAAGATGGCGTCCCAGTCCTGAGAAGAGGCAGCGGGCTGAGGCTGCTGAGGTTGTCCTCCAAAAGTCTGCGACAAGTGCTCGAAGTCGCTGAAGCTGTCATCGCCGCGCGGCTTGCCGGTCGGGGTCTGCTGCGAAGCCATGGTGTTGGACTTGGAGGCAGCTGGTGAGTCGAACACGGGGTTGAATTCGTCAAGACCTTCACGGTGCTGCGAAGAGAACATGAAGTCCTCATCAGCCCTGTCGTCTTCCTTGGCATCCGCTAGGTCATCGAATCCGGCGTCGAAGTCATCATTGAAGGCAGACTTGCCAAGTTGGGGCGCGTTAGTAGACGGCGAGGGACCCTTGTTGTTGTTGTTGTTGTTGTTGTTGTCATTGGCACCGTACGACAGAGCAGAATGGTATTGATCGGATGGTACGGTCGACGATGGAGTGTCTAGAGGAGGGGGCGATGTTGTCGCAGATTTGGACGGGCCACCAAAGAGAGCAGCTCCGTGACCACCGGGGGGATTGTACGACTTCTCGGGGCCCTGCGCTGTATCAGGCGAGCTTGGCGATGTAGGGTCTTCGCGAGAGGGCAGCAGGCCGCCGAACTCGGGAGGGAATTGGTTCGATCCACTTCTGGTTTGGTTCACACTGGACTCGTAGGTAGGTGGTGATTTTTGCGCGCTAGGGGAGGGCAAGCCACCAATGTTGGAGTCCAGGCGAGTAGTCGGTGGTGGGGCTCTGTAGAGCTCATCGCTCGACGCAGTACCCGGTCGCTGCTGTTGCTGAGGACGCTGCTCTTGTCCGGTGCTAGTACGCTTCTGATTGGGCGACGCGGATGTAAAGTTGTCGTCAAAGCCCCGCTCATCGTTGCTGTCGCTATCATCATCGTGAGCAAGATCCTCAATCGGCGGGAACTCCTTGTTGAACTTGTTGGAGTTGTCCGCAGTTGCGCTCGTAGTAGATGCGGTGGCAGTGTTCTGACGGTTAGGACCGAAGCCAGCGAAAGCCGCGTCGAAATCATCCTTACCTCCACGGGGCTGTTCATTGGAGGTGCTGCCAAAGGGGTCGGCACGGTTGTTGTTCCTGTTTGGACCACTCAAACTGCTCTCTCCAGTCTGGTTCTGCTGGAGAGGCGTAGCGCCGTCTCGAGGGAAGGCTCCAGGGATGTCTTGCCCAACACCAGCAGAGGGTGCTCCGAAGTTCGTGAAGGTGTCCTTGCGATCCTCAGCTCTGGTTGAGCGCTGAGTGTCACTGGTGACGCTGGCCACAGGGGAGGCTGAGAAGTTTCTGTTGAACAAGGAAGGGTTGAAGTTGTCGGTTTCGGTCCTGTTTGTCTCAGAGCGCTCTACGGCGGGCTTCTCAGCTATAGGAGTACTAGCAGGTGAGGCCTGTGAGATCGTAGGTGTCTCATTGCCAGTGGCACCATATCTGCTAGCAGGAGCAGTCCCGCGTACAGAGGAGCTGAAAGAGTCGGATCGTTGGCCACCCTCTCTTAGAGGCAAGAATGAAGAGCCGAACTGGCGCGACTCCGGAGGAGCTGGTGGGTCTGCACCACGCGGAGACTCCTGGTAAGACGACAGAGGAGGCGATGTAGAAGGTGTGGGAACACCAGGTCCTTCCGAAGATTGTACCGACTGGCCGGATGGGACAGAGAAGCTAGGACCTTGGCTCTGGTTCTCGGGACGGAAGGACACAGGAGGTGCACTGCTTTGGGGTGTGCCGAAGCTACCGAACACGCTGTCAAAGTCTTTGTGGGGTCCTTCACGGGCAAAGCCAGACGGCGACATGGTGTTCTCAGCAGGCTGTGGGGACTTGCGGAAGAACGGGTTCGTGCTTTGACTGGTCGTGGAAGCCGCAGGGCTGACAACGGCGGGTGTCTGGGCTTGGGGACTACGAGTGCCCTCCTCCTGAGACTTGGTCAAGTCGCTCATCTCATTCTTAATCTTGTCGCGTTCTCCCTCGTTGGTAGCAAGCTGCTTCTTGTTGATTGCCACCATACCCTTCTGCTGGCGAGCATCGTTCCTCATCTTGTCAAGCTGAGGTCGGAGCTGTCCGATCTCAGCGTTGAGCTGACGGATACGCTCCTTCAAGTTGTTGTTCTCGCGTTGGTCAGCCTCAAGTTGACCTCCCACTTGTCGGTGCTGGTTCTGGAGATCCTGGTAGGATCCCTCGATCATAGCAAGGTCTTGTTGCAACTTCCGGGTCTCGTTACGGGAGCTAGCCAGTCGGTCCTCCAATGCCTTGACAGCCTTGACCTCCTGGTCATACTGGGTCTTGAACTGCGATAGGCGGAGCTCGAGGTCGCGCTTCTGGGTATTGACACTGTTCAGATCGCCCTCGGTTGCGGTCTTCTTGTTCTGAACCTCCTGCATCTGGTTTCGCAGAGTGGTCATCTGGTTCGACATATTGGCTAAGTCGGTTGAGTCTTGCGTTAGTTTCTTGTTAATTTCAGCAACATCCTCTCCGCCCAACAAATCGTCCATTGCGGATGGCGTAGAGTGTTGTGGCAGGCCAGAAGCACCCGATTGTCCCGTAGAATGCGCGGTAAGAGTTTGACCAAACGACGAGCTAGGCATGAAGGGCTTGAACGTAGAGGCAGGGTTCCTCGGTTGAGGCTGGAATGGGTGAGGTGAAGTAGGCGAAGTCGGCTTGCTTCCAAATGGGTCGGCCTCGAAGGGTTTGCTGAACGTAGCAGAGCCACCTGTCGACTGCGGTTGCTGAGGAGCAGGAGCCGGTGCTGTGAAGGCGTCAAGGCCAAAGAGATCTTCTGCAGCTGATTTGGCAGCACGAGGAACGGGTGGTGCAGGTTGGGGCGCAGCGACTGGTACTGCTTGGTTGGCGGCGGTCCGTAGGCTTGGAGGAATCAAACTAGGTGGTAGTGTCGCTGGCAGCTGGTCTCCTTTCCGTTGTTGACGGATCAGATACATTGCGACCGCGAACTCGTCCTTGGATAGTTGACCCTCTGAATTAATGTCTGCAAGGTCCCATATTCCCGCAAGGACATCTTCGGGTAGCCCGGAGTCACTGAAGAAGCGCACTGCCTGGTCTCCAGTAATGAAGCCACGGCCCATGGTGTCGACGGTCTTGAAGAGGTTGTCGTATGAAGCCTTCTCTTGTGGGCTGATCAGCCAATCGCTGCCAGTCGGTTGAGGTGGTGGAGCTGGTGCTCCAAAAGGCGTCCTTCCAAGGGGACTCGATTGCCGTGGCACGTTTTGCTGGCCGCTGAACTGGCGTGGAATGGACATTGATTGGTCTGGACGTCCTGGGGGAGGTGCGAGTTGCCCTCGTCGCGAGGCGGCTTCGTACAAGCCTGGGGGTAGCGCAGTCGGAAGTGCCTTCATGTTGCCTGTTCGGTACGAGGCTAGCATGTGCATGGCGATGATGAACTCGGTCACATTGAGAGCGCCGCGCTGCTCGGTGTCGGAAAGATTCCAGATGCGGCCGAGGACTTCATTGGGTAACCGCGCTTTTTCGAAAATCTCCTTTGCATTTTCACCTGGTATATGTTAGAGAGGTGTGCTAACAAGTCGTCGGAAGACATACCAGAGAGCACGCCATTGACGGCACCAGACTTCTCGAACAGGCCTGCGTATTCAGCAGCCTTGGCAGGTACTAGCGGAGGTACTCGGATGGGGCCGTTGCCGCTCATCTGAGGTTGTATGGAACCAGTGGGTTGTGGGGAGAAGCTAGGAGGTGCAGGAACAGAAGGGGCTGCCGATGGGATGTTCAAGCCCTCGAACTTGGGCAGGGGCGCGGCTAGATGAGCGTCAGCGCAAAGTCATGGCGGAAAGCGTCGAGAACATACGTCTGAAAGCCAGCTCTGGGGAGGGATCGCGGCCAGCCTGGTAGTGTCCGATGAGACGCAGGACCTGGCAGAAGCCGGCCATGGTCAAGAGACCGCGGTTCTCTGTGTCTGCAATCTGCCATATCTCACCCAGGACGGCTGGTGCCAACTTGGTGCGCTCGAAGAACTTGACGGCAATCTCGCCTGTTATGACGCCCAGCTTCTCCGTGTCGGCTTGCTGGAAGAGATACTGGAAGACGCGCTTCTCCTCGGGCGTCAGGTTGAGAACGGGCTGGTCTGCGCCGCATTAGCTGGGGTTCGAGGCGGGTGTCTGTCAAGACAAGTGACCACATACTCAATTCGCCGCTTTGCGAGAGGTCCGCCATGGCTGTGTGGGCGCAACGGGCGGCACTCGTGGGTATAGGGCTTCTGCCTGGGTGTATGAGGCTGAAGCTCCCGGCGCTGTCGTGTAATGGAGCGGGGAAGCTTTGGGCGGCCGGGCACGGGAAAGTCGCACAACTAGCGGTGGGCGGCTAGACGCGAAAAAACCTCTTCGAGGAGGGAAGATGGCCCGGTGAGGAAGGAGGGAGAGGCGATGGGGGTATTGATGTTGTTGGAGTGTGGGAGATGCGCCGGAAGCTTGATCCTCGTCGTCGCTACTAGGCGGAAGCTACCTGGCCTAGTGCTGGGTCGATGCTCATGGCTGTTTATTGGGCGGAGCACGGCAGCTGTCAATCTTGTGCGCATCAGCCACGCTGTCTCATGCATGTCCCAACACCCAGTCAGTGGCCTGCACATGGCCGGCCTCCGCATCTGCAGAATGCCACCAGCCAATGGCCCCCTCTGAATATCTTCCGATGCGCTTTTTGACCCACGTCGTCATCAGTATGGCGGATACGCATCTGAAGTCGATGCTGTTGTGTCATCGTGTTTGTTGTCGTTGTTATTGTATTCATTTTGTACATTATCCAAATGGCATTACTTCGTGATTACATGTCTTGTACAAGAGTGGTGAAAGTCCAAGGGTGGAACAACAAGATCTTCATCGCCGCTCACCACGACCCCGGCTGTTCTTCTCCCTCCAACATCTAGCAAATGCCAGACTAGGGCTGACTTCCTCACGTCTGCCCCACGCCCGCCCCAGCAGCCAGTCAGTGACACTGATGACCTTCGCTGTCCTGTCCCAATGCTGGCCCTCTTCTGTATGCTCGATGATGTGATTCAAGATGCGCCCCTCTTCGTCGAATTCAAACTTGAAGAGCCCAGTAAACTCCTGGTGGGGTCGTTTCGATCCTGCGACGATGCTCGTAATCTTTTCAACAACGTCGCTGACTTGGCCGTTGTCCTTCTTCTCCGATTTGCATGTCTGCCATCGGACTATAAGCTTCTCGTTGCGTACGTTGCTCGCTGACGAGGCGCCGTTCTTGACCATGCGCTCAGATAATATCTCGAGCTTCACATTGCCGAGTACTGGTACCTGGCCCCATGCGACTGGTGCTGTCCACAGTGCAGCTGCGTATGCGAACCTTCCGCTCACGGTGGGTAGATGAGGATGCGTCGAGGGAAATAGGTGGAGGCTGATGTGCGGGGAGAGGATGTCTTGCGGCAAGGGCGATATGAGGAGCGTGGGCAGGCGGTCGTGGAGCACCCGTATGGCTGTGGTCGTGTCAGTGGCCTGATGCGCTGCTCGACAGAGGACCAACTTACTGTTTCCGAGTTTCAAGTTGCGCTCGTTCAGTCGCTCCTTCCCGCGCTCATCGGGCTCGGGGTGTTTGCATGGCGACGAGCTAGTAAACCAGTGCCTGGACACGGATGCTTGCTTCGCGCCTACGGCTGTGATGTTCCTCTTGTACTGCTTGAGCCCCAGCAGCCGGGGCACAGTGAGCGATCGTGCTGGGCAAGTCAGAAGTTGCGTGCGGGCAGATGTCGAAAAGCGCCGCATCAGACCGCTGGTCATCTGTGTGGATAGGGATATGCGACCATAGGTAAGGATATGCTAGGTGGTGAGATGCCAATTGCGGAGGATTCGGTGTTTTCGTGCGCTAGTCGTACCACGGGAAAAGAAATGGATGGTGCATGGGTGGGTCCCTCCCGATTCCCATATGCCGGGGTATCGATCGTGACGTAGGTTTAGCGACTATCTCAATCTGTACTTCCCGCTGTATGCTACCGTCCTCGCCACGCCCATGTTCGCATTGAGATGTTCCGGTGGGACTATCGACCCTGACTTGCATAATGACGCCTATAAAGATCGAGTTTCCTCTGCTGAGGCCCAGCGTGTATGAACATCCAATCCCCTTTCCCCAGATTCTATAGAGCGCCTACCAGATAATCAATTGGTTTACAGCCGGTAAGAGCGACCCCGCAATTACCCCATGCCGATGCTAATACTAACAACTCCATCGTTAGTCTACGAAGATATAAGAACGTTCCTCAACTTTCCAGCTTCTCCACAATGGCCCCCTCTGGAAAGCGCATCGTCTTCACCGGTGGCTCAGGAAAAGCCGGACGCCATGTCATCCCGGAACTCATCAAGAAGGGGCATTCCATCCTCAACTGTGATCTAACCGATTTTCCTGACCCGGACGCTGGTGTTTTTACTCTCAAGACTGACCTTACGGACAGGTAAGTTGTGACTGTACAAAATGTTTATGTGACATACACTGACTTTTTGTCTTCACCTCTGCAGCGGCCAAGTCTTCAATGCGCTCACAACCCACTTCAACTTTGCCGGCTATGAAGGCCCTCATGTACCTGGTCCACCCGACGCAGTCATTCACTTTGCCGCCTATGCACGAAACATGCTTGTACCTGACAATGAGTGCTACGCTGGCAACGTCAGGTCAACATACAACGTCATCGAAGCAGCATGCAAACTCGGTGTTAAGAAGATTATCATCGCCAGCAGTGAGACAACATACGAAGTTTGCTTTGGCCAAGGAGATCTCGACTATGCCGCTTTCCCTCTAACCGAAGATATGGACGTAAATCCCATGGACACATATGCCATCTCAAAACTCTGTGGTGAGCGCGTAGCTCGCGGGTTTGCACGCCGCTTCGACGCCGACATCTATGTAAGTCATCTCCATGTACAAACTGCGTATGAGACATCTATTAATTCCGTACACCCATATACAGGCGCTCCGCATTGGTAACGTCATTGAGCCTCACGAGTATGAGCGTGACTTTCCAAAGTACATCAAGTCCCCGGAGGTTCGCAAGAGGAATGCCTGGGCGTACATTGATGCTCGTGATTTGGGCCAGATATGCGACTTGTGTGTATCGAAAGACGGATTAGGCTTCCAGGTCTTCAACGCGACAAATGACACTATTACCGCTACGTTCCCGACGAAACAGTTCCTGGAGCAGTACGCCCCGAATACACCCATTACACGGGAGATGGACGAGTGGGAGGCGCCACTGAGTAACCGCAAGATCAGAGATGTTCTCGGATTCAAGGAGGAACATAACTGGCGGAAGTACTACAACCCTGATAAATAGAAGAAGATGTGATCGGCCTAGTAATACCATCACGAGGCCACAAGTCACACAAGTAAAAAGCCTTCAAACAAGTCTAAATATTGAGACAATCAAGCTGTTCATATTATTGGAACCTTAGACCCCACCCCCTCTCACTTCTACATCACTCTGCCCATGCTTTTCACTTACTGCAGCAACGACATGTCCATCGTCCCCACTCAAACCCCTCTCTGCACCACCAACTTTCACCCGTCCAGTATCCCCTTTGTGACCCTGGGTACCAATTCTCAAGAAAGGCACCAGAAGCAAACCGGGTACAGAAACAGCAGCCGCAAACCAAAACACTGCTGCAAATGGCTCGACAGTATTGTTGCCATAATAACCAGAGGTAGCAGGATTTCTTTGCACAGCGTCAAATATGGCAGTCGCGATACCATATGCGATGGCTGTACACAGACGAGTCAAAGTCTGGAAGAGCGAACCTGCGATAGACTGCTTGTTGGTAGGCATCGAGGAGAGGACGTACATCTACGCGTAATCAGTACGAACAATAAAAAAGGTGGCGGAAGCCGAGTCGGAATGGGCCATTAGACATACATTAGCGACGATGAACTGGAAGTCCACCCCGATCACACACAAACATAGCGCAGGGAAAGAGAAAGCCCAATATGAGTCCCCGTACCTCTGTACAGCAGCCAGAGTAAAGGATATGGTTAGTGCGGCGGCACCGATGCCTACGAGCAGTTTGTTGGAAACTTTGTGTTGGATTAGGGCAGCGACGGCATTAGCGGTGAGGCCTACAACGACCATGGGTAGCATGTGTACGCCGGTCATAAGTGCGTTGTAGTTCAACTCTGTTTGGAAGTAGAGTGCGATCCAGAAGGATAGAACCGGGAACCCAAGAAACCCGCATGAGAGGATTGCGAGGAGCTGATTTAGTATATATGTTAGTAACTTGCCGGGACATGGGAGTCAGGAGAGAAGGACAGTACTTACGAGAGAAAAACCCCTGTCGTACCAGATCTTCATATCGATCATAGCATATGGGTACTTGATCTCCCACACTATGAAAGCCGCAATTAGCATGATGCCTAGAATCAGTAGGACAAGAACATAAGGCGTCTTCCACCCGTTCGGCGCATCGCCTCCCAAACTGGCCAACGTCAGCGAAGTAACTCCTCAACTAGTTCGAAAACATACCTCAAAGCCGCACAAAACATGCCGATCCCAAAGATAGTCAACGCAGTACCCGGCAAATCAAGCTTCTTCAACGTCTCCTTGTCCAGCGTCTGCTTCGGCTGCGTATCCCTTGGTACAGTAAAAGCCGCAACGATACTTGTCACAAAGTATACTATAGCTAACAGGAAGAAACCAGCCCTCCAGCTAAAGACCTGGGTGAATAGTCCAGACAGAATAGTTCCAAACACAAAGCCCATGGGGTTTCCTGCACTAAAACACCCAAATGCTCTGTTCTTCCTCCGACTAGGTCTCTCATAGATGGCGCCAAGCATGCCTTGAGCCGGGGGCACAGAGGAAGCGGAAAAGATACCTAGGACGCCACAAAGTATGTCGAGAGTCATGCCAGACTGTGAGAAGCCGGCGCCGAGGCAGAAGACGGAGAAGAAGAATAGCGAGCCGATGAACATGGACTTGCGACCGAAAAGATCCGCTATGCTGCCGAAGAAGAGGAGGAGAGAACCTGCTGTAAGAGACGTCGCAGCATTCATCCATGTGATTTCCGCGTTCGTCATGCCTAAATCTCGACCTGCGAAGGAACTCATGACGGTGATGGAGCCGGTTAAAAAGCTCGTCATGGCCACAGCCATCGTCACCGAGACGATAAACATGCATTCTTGGAACGTGGATGTGAAGCAGTCTGGTCGCGAGTTGGGATCCTTGTTGCTGATTGGTTGTGAGAGGGTAGTGGCGAGTTCGGCATCTGTATCAGCGTCCATCTTGCTAGCAGATGATGTATGAAAACAAGAACACAAGGCAAACGAAGCGAACAGATGCAGAGATAATCTAAAAACGCTGGGAGCGATGAAGCAAGATCTGATAAGGATCAAAAGAAAGTGTAAACCATGAAATTATTCAGCGCGCGGAATTGCTCCATGGGGCGTTGCATGTTGTCTAGCCGCTATTTAGGCAAGTATGGCTGCGCTATCCCTGGGCTGGACGTGGAAGAACGTTTACGAGCGATTACCGACTCAAAGAACGAACAGGTCAAGGATCACGCTATAGATCCGCGGAGTACACCAACAGTATACTAAGATTAACCAACGAAGACGTGAAGCCTGAAGAATAGCAGAGATGGGTATCGCTGATCAACATGCATTGTCTTACAATTTGATCACCTTCCACTCACCTAAGTGCATGCGCCCTAGTTGGCCTCCCAGTGGGCCCTGCACCTCTCTGCCGTTGGCCCAGAGCTTCTTGCCTGCCCAATGTTCGATGAAGCCATCTGGCCCTGACACTATGATCAATCTAGAGCCTTTCTCCTCCGGTTGCCTTTGTATTCTCTTCTCGATCTCACTCGGGCTTGGGAACGAGTTCTCTTCATCAACATAGTAGTTGACAGTCAAGCCTTTTGTGGCGACTCCGCTCTGCTCCTTGAGCGCATCCAGTTCCTTTACTATGACGCCCTTGGGTGCAGCGGGTGAGTCGTCTGCAAGCGGTGGTTGCGCAACAGGCTCGCCGGAACCGAAGAAGCTCTTCCACCAGCCTACTCTGCCCCGCGCGGACGTTGTGCTTCTATCGTCGCTGATGCCACCTTCGCATTCTTCACGGCGTCTGTTCGCCCATAGTATGTGCATCCGACTTCCAGTCCTTCTTGCCAGCGCCTGCGCAACCTGCATTGCGGGTGCTATGCCAGTTCCGCCTGCCAGAAAGACAACCTCTATGATGTCGCGGGGAAGCTTGAGTTCGGTATTCGGTCCTCGCAATTCGACCGTGGACTGTTCGGGTAGGCGGTGCAGGTAGGTCGAAACCTCGCCGCCCTGTTCCTGCCGTATGAGCAACCTCATGTCTTCCGGCTCGTTCTCGCCATGCTTTTGATCGGGAGGCGTAGGGGGCAGCGGTGTGTATGCACGTGCAATCTGTAATTGTGGTTGCTTAATCTGAACGCTCCAGACGCTTCGCTTCCACACCTCCTTTACGCTCTCTGTGTCCGATACGCCATTGCTGTTGCGCAATGTGAAGATTGCGCTGGTGGAAGAGACGGGTTGCTTGTCTACGAGCGTGTACGGCGTGAAATCATGCGGGTTCAGCGATGCGTCGGATCGGTCTGCGGATCTGGTGAAGCGGTACACGGCGCCCCCAACGGCTGAGGTTCCGAGAACTATCAATGGACCTGCTCGCCGCTTGAGCCAGGACATGGCGTGCGTAGAGCTTGCGCTTCTCTAATGACAATGATGTTCTTGCTTGTTGCAGATGCAAAGATAGCTAGAATTTCGACATGACGACATGGGCCCATGCGCGTTGCCCGCTCTAGTATGCCGAGGTGTGACCATATCCAAACGCCTTATTGCCAGAGGGATACGCTTCACCTGTGTCGTGTTCGAGACATGAATTGAAACTGTTTAAGCTTATACCAAGTTGCATTTCAGTATCAACCTGCAGACACACTTTCAAGAAAATGTACGATGTTGCGAGGGTTCGGCTTCGCAGCTGTGTCGCGTGTCGCATACTAGTGTAACGCGTCTCCGACTTCTGGAATATAAGGCGGGGGGTTTTAAGGAGGTGGCAAGAGTCCGATCTGCCAGGTGAAACAGCATTAGCGAAGGGTTGTCATTCCTTTTTGAGGACATGCACACCTCGAAAGCGTCGAGAAGCTAAGCGGCCGCTTCCGTTGGACCCTGCATTCGGAGCCACTTGAACCTAACCAAGTGGCGTCCTGGCATAAGATCGCTATTTTGCACTGCGTGACACGATCATCTTCATTCATCTCTCACACCGCCCCTCTACCATTTGCCTACTCAGATTTGATCCGGACAGAAGCCCTCTTCCGCGGCTCCGCAACGCGCGCCGGCGAACCGCCGGACTTATCACGGGATAAGATTTCAGCCCTATCGACATTTCCTTAGACTTTTCATCGACCACGATAAAACACCAAACAGTCGCTCAGACGCTGTTTCCAGGCTTCTACAAGGCTGTAAATCGAACTACATTCTGGCATCGCCCAAAAGTGACCAACTGTTCCGGCCTCCGTATAAACAATCGAGCGATGGCGCCCGCAATTCTGACTCAGCGCCCAAGGATACTCTGTCTGGACGCATATGACTCGTTTTCCAACAATATAGTCGCGCTGGTCGAACAGAATGTAGACGCAGAAGTCGTCAAGATCTTTATCGACGACCCTGTTCTCGCAAAACCATCAGCTTCCGGGGACTATTCAGCATTTACCGACTATCTGAAGGGCTTCGATGGCATCATTGCTGGGCCAGGACCTGGTTGGGCTAAATGCGACGAGGATGTTGGTTTGATGAAAGAACTTTGGAGACTGCGAGACGAACAGATTGTCCCTGTGCTTGGCATATGTCTCGGCTTTCAATCGCTTTGCCTTGCATTTGGGGCTGATATCGAAAGACTCAACGAGCCAAAGCATGGTATCATCACGGCTATCCTACACAAGAGCCAATCCATCTTCCGAGGTGTGGAGAGCCTTCTGGCAACCCAGTATCATTCTTTGCAAGTCAAACTCGATCATCCCATCCAAAACAAGCGCGCTGTACGGTATCCTGCACAACTCTGGGAGCCTACGGAAACCTGTCCCCAACTGGAGCCGCTGGCATGGGACTTTGACAGTGATCTTAATGGCGCCGTGCTCATGGGCGTCAAACATATACAGAAGCCATTCTGGGGTGTCCAGTTCCACCCAGAGTCAATCTGCACAAATGACGAGGGCAAGCGCATCATTCGGAATTGGTGGGAAGACGCCCAATCCTGGAACCGGAAACGTATGTTCCGGAACGTTCCCAAGCATGGTTTGATGCCAAACTTGCCATCTTCGCCAATGACTGCTGATGATTTCCGACGAGAGCTGGGCGTTTACGACGCCAGGAAACAGAGCAAGCGTTCTTACACAGACTTCGTCGCAAAACTCGATAGCGACACAATAACGCCATTTGAGCTTGCTTCGCTCATCGCACACGGAGACGGACAGTCATTACCAGACTTGCCACCGAGCACCGTACATTGCGCAACTACTGGAAGCGGAAGACTTACAGTAGCGGACGCTTGTGAGTTGTTCGAATTGACAAGAGGCGAAGCTATAGTGTTGGAGTCAGGGTTACAGTCGAATCTGGTGCCTATGGCTGTGGGGACGGGTCGGTACAGCATCATAGGTGTCGTTATTCCCGAGGAAACTCTACGTCTACATTATTACGCAGGCACCCGAAGGATGGAACTCCGAGACGGCAAAGGTCAGGTACATACCGATTGGACTGTGTCTGACCCATGGCCCTATGTGAGGGAGGTCATGAAGAGCCTTCAGCCTTCAACACCGCCAAAAGGCTCAACATGGGCTCCTTTCTGGGGAGGTCTTATGGGCTATGCGTCTTACGAGGCCGGCTTAGAGACAATCGATGTTCATGGTCACGAAGAAGCTTCGTATCCGGACATTTGCTTCGCTTATATAACGCGAAGTATCGTGTTTGACCATCAGTTCAAGAAGATCTATGTCCAGAGTATCCGCGGACCATTCGACCAAGACTGGGTTATTGACACAACGGAGAGACTGTATGAACACGCAGGTTTCAAGTCGCGTGAAACTACTCCAAACTCTGCAGCAATGAGACAGGCGGACCCTTTTGAGGCTCACGGCACAATGCACCAATACATCGACTCATGTGTTCAGCTCACTGTTGGCGAAACCGAGTACTGCAAGAAGGTCAGTGCTTGCCAGGATGCAATAGCAGACGGTCAGAGTTACGAGTTGTGCCTCACGCATCGCAACGAAATCCGTGCTCGCAAGCCAACAGCCTGCAAAATCTCTCACGCAGAGGACAATGAACACTCCTGGAATCTCTACAAGCGCTTGACCGGCCAAAACCCTGCGCCTTTCAGCGCCTACATGAGGATGCACAACGTACACATACTCTGCTCCTCACCAGAACGATACATAAGCTGGGACCGGTCGCAAACTGCACAGTGTCGACCAATAAAGGGAACAGTTCAAAAGAAACCTGGCGTGACTGCTGAGATGGCCCATGCTATCCTCTCATCCTCAAAGGAACGCGCAGAAAATCTCATGATTGTAGATCTTACTCGCCACCAGCTTCATGGCGTATATGGCTCCGAAAACGTCAGAGTAAGCCAGCTCATGGAAGTTGAAGAATACGAAACGCTCTGGCAACTGGTCTCAGTCGTCGATGCAGTGCCTAGCGGGATCTACAAACCCACCACTCCAGAAGATTGGGAAGATCCTGTAGAATACGCTTCCAAGAAGCCCGCCAAGCAATCCGTTCCTTACCTAGGATTCGATGCGTTCGTCGAAAGTCTGCCCCCAGGTAGCATGACTGGCGCACCCAAGAAGCGGTCTTGCGAGATTCTTCAGGATGTAGAAGACGGCGCAAGACGAGGCATATACTCAGGTGTGCTTGGTTATCTCGACGTCGGAGGCGGCGGTGACTTCAACGTCGTCATACGCACTGCTATCAAGATTGACGACGAACAAAGTGAAGAGAAAGGAGACGTCTGGCGTATCGGCGCTGGAGGAGCAGTCACCAGCCAAAGCACTCCACAAGGCGAATTTGAAGAAATGATTGCTAAATTTGGCAGCACTAAGAGAGCCTTCATGCCTTTGCCGCCACCGAAGCCGAAGACAAAGAACAGAAGGGTCGAAATCATTGAGCCTGATGACCCAGAGTTTGCGGAGCTGCTGGCGAGTATGAGGGGTGGGGAGGAATTGACGCTTGACGATGCGCAGATCATGTTGAGGGCAGTGGAACGCGAGCTAAGGAGAAGAAACGCTGCTGGCGAGAGCGATGATATTACGGAAGTGGAATGATTCATTTGATAGGAGTTTGGAAGGTCGGAGTTGTTGAGCTTAACCTGTGATACCATGCTTTGAGATAGAGATAGACATTTCTGGTTTCAACACCACTAACAACGATTGCTGTACACACGCATTCACTTTGAACCCCTTTTTCTGAGACTACATGATACTGCCAAAGAGCGCATGCCTGCTCAAGATGACAAGTCAACGATAGGCAGGTGCGATGACTAAGCGTGCGATTGGTGGGGAAACGTAGCATCGTCGTGTACCTCTACGTGTAGCAACACGACGCCAATACGCGATTCCTCGAGCATAACCGCGATGGCGACCGACGCGCCAGACCCACGAACCTTCGAGTCATGGGAAGACGCGTTCCAATATCCCATACCCGTAGTCCACAAGCTCGAACAGCAGCTCCGCAACAATGCCGACGAGAATCGGGAGAAGCTGCGGTCCCTCGTTGGGTAGGAGGCACCAGACAAATACGGGAGGAGCACCAAGAGGCTGACGGGAATACAGGGCGAGTTATCGCAGTCTCCTCGACACGGCCGAAACGATCATCGACATGGAAGTGCGCATGGAGCAGGTCGAAAGTAGGCTTTCAAGAGTAGGGCAGAGTTGCAACTCGCGAAGGCTGGACAAGATGACGAACAATGCGGGCAAGATGGATACCCATACACGAAGTCGCGGTCAGTCTACACAAATGCATTGGGAAGAGATTGTGGGTTGACGGGCAATAGATGCGGAGCGCTATACTTTCGCATCCCAGCTCTCAGTCATGCGCAATGCGCCGGTGGTCATGACGCGCCTCATGAAAACAGGAGGATCATATCTGCTCATTGCAAAAGTCCTGGTCATCTCGAGACTACTCCACAAGTCGCTGCTCAGTCAGCCCAGCCACAAGGCGCCCATTGTTGGTCAGCTGTGGGAGAGACTGCTGTCGGTACGGAGAAAGCTTCTTAGAAGGATTGACAAGCGCCTGTCGAGCACACAAGGCGAGACGGCGAGCCTGGTGGAAAGCATGTGTGCGTATGCGCTTGCGACGAGCTCTACGCCGACCGATGTATTACACCACTTTCATAAGATGCGGCTGGAGAAGATGAACAGCGAGCTTAGGGCTGGGGGCGATGAACTTGCGAAGCATGGCATTAGTGCGCTCAAGCTTTGTATACAGACATGTCTCGATACACAAACCATCTTTCCGCGACGCTTAGCAGAAGCTTTGAGCAAGCTGAAGGCGCACCCGCTGATACAAGACCCCGACATTCGCGGTCTATACGAGCTGAATCTGGACGTACACGATCGATGGCTAGGCGATGAGGCTCGGAACTACACGCCATGGCCGCGACACGACGAGCTGCAGCGGCCGGAAGCAGAGCGCATTTTGCACCGCTGGTCCAAGGACGTCATCGCTGCTTTCCTCAAAGGTATACAGAAAGCATTAGAGCAAGAAGAACGGCTCAAAGAGGTTGCGGACTTGAGACAAGAGTTGATTGAGACTTGGATACTGTCTGGTTCGCGAATGGCGGGTGTTAAGTCAGCCAACGTTCTCGATGATTTACGAGACACGATGAATGACAAGTTGGAGACTATAGTGCGATCCCGTACGAATGGGCTACAGGATGTCGTTGCCGAGCTTTCGAATCAGCTGGACGCAGTGTCCTCGTCAGACAAAGCCGTGGCGCTTTCACTCTGGGACACGACCACCAAAGCATCAGATTTGAGCAATGGTGCGCAAATCTTCAAATCTACCATACTCAACACCTATCAAGGGCGTGACGAGTCTGTTACTGGTGTGACGTCCGCTTTTGACAAGTGGATGGAGTCTGTCCTGGAAGTCAAGGGCATTGTCAAGAGCATGAAAGAAGCACGATGGGACGATACCTTCGCAGATGACGTCGACGATGAATCCGACGATGAGCTTGGAGATTCGAAACAAGCGCTACTTAGTGACGACGATCCGAAGTTGCTTGAAGAAGCTACACAGGAAGCTTTGAGCGAAGCTATGCAGAACCTGAGTCAGAGCTTCAACGCTATCGTCAAGAAATCCGATGGCGAACAATCAACCCAAAAGGCGGCATTTATGCTTCGCGTGGTTAGAGAAATCGGCGATCGGATACCACGTTTAAGACTCCAGGATAAGGCAACACCGCTCGCATCGCCGTTCACTTCTGAAAGTCTTCAGCCTCTGCATACTACGCTGGCTTTGTGTGTAACCCAGCCCACTGTAGAGGCTTACAAGGCGTCGCTTTTAGGTTCTCTCAAAGTCAGAACGAACAGCCATATCCTGTGGGAAGGACATCCACCACTACCAAGCCAGCCGTCACCTAGCGCGTTTAGATTTTTGCGCACGCTGAACAAGAATATGGGGGCCCTTGGCAGCGATCTTTGGGCACCTGGTAGTGTTCAGGTATTGAGAAGTGGGGTGGCCGACAAAATAGTCGAAACAGTTCAAGAGCATCTTGACGCCATTGACGTATATGCGAAAGAGCAGAGTTCTCCTGATGAGGATACGAGCGAGGAAAAGAAGGAAGACGAAAATTCTACAACGACAGATGAGACTGAGAAACCGAAACTCACCGTATCAACGTCGAACCACATTGAGGCAAAGGAGCAGAGAGTCAAGCAGCTACTGTTCGATCTTCTGTATATCCAGCGCTTCGTCAGTAACGCGGGCGAGGACGATGACAGGTTCGCATCGCTTGCTAAGAAGACAAACCTAGCGGATCTGGATGAAGCCGCAGTGAACAGGCTGAGGAAGACTGCAGCGGATTATGCGAAGAAGACGTACCTCCTCTTCGCGTTGCTAGCTTAGCACATGTCTAGATGTGATACTGATAACACAGACTTTTACATTCCCTTCTCGTTCGCTCATCGTACCATGATGTAAGAGCGAACAAGTGGCGTTTCCATCAAATCGTCCGCGGAGGCTTGGGATCGTCGGATAGACTTGCAAGGTGAACGAGTTTCAACGGTCGCAAGCTCCAGGTACAACTCCACTTAGTCTAACGCCACAACGGGTACATTGCAACAACGTCGGATGTAGTAGATGATTTCACAGCAAACTCTGCCATGTGTTCAGCAAGTGTTTTGTGCCTATGCTAGTCAAGCTGTATGCCGGAGACTAATGCCGAAAATGTGAACGCCGTATATGATGGATATCTCAAGATGAAATGCTCAAGCCCAGCTCCCCGTCCCTAAAAGCGTCTTCTGTGACGACAAATACACACGCTCCATTTCCAAGTATGACTACGACACATCCATCTTGTCTTCTGTCCTCAGATCCTCGATCTCCTTCCTCAACATCTCAATCTCTTTTTCCTGTGCCTTCATCTTCTCGAGCGCCATTTCAATCAACCTCGCTTTGTTGACCGTCTTCTTCTCTCCCGGCACAGAATCCCCAGGCGGCACACCTTTCCCACTTTTCCCATTACTGGCATCGTCTGCCGAGGTTTTTTCGCTGCCGTCCGCACCATCTTTCCCTCGCATGACAACAAAACACGTAGTGCCACTGCCAAAAGTAACTTCACCATCGAGGAGAAATTCCGCAAGGTCCACCATGGCGTTCTTCATCCTGTCACGGCGCGCTTGTTCTGCAGCGCGGTGGGTGGCGCGCTTCATCATTACGCCTGTGGCCATGGCGGTGCTAAAGTGCAGACCCATCTCTAGGTGTTGGCCAGAAGAGATAAGCTCGTAGTTTGATTTCGAGGCTAGAAGGTCTGCCTGGGGGGTTGTTACACCTCCGGCTCCTGTCATGAGTTAGTGTGCTATCTATGTCCGTTTATTCAAAGCTTCATTAGGACGGATTGGTCACGAGACATGACGACAGAGATGAAAAAGAAGCATACCATTGCTGTCGGCCGGAATGATGCTGCTGCTTCTTCTCGCGATGGCGACCTTGTTTGGTGGCGGTGCTGATGATGCATGTGATATTGAGGAAATCGTACTCGCATTGTCTGTCGCTATTGATGGAGACCTTATCGAAGATACTGTTGGTGATGTGATTGATTGTGTTGCTACTGATGGTGATTTCAAGGGGCGGATAGGATGTATCGGCAACTGTACTGGCTGCTGTTGTGGTTGCATTTGCGGTGGTTGTGTCTGCATCTGTTGTGGGTGTTGCACCTGTTGCTGTTGTTGCTGCTGCTGCTGCTGCTGCTGGGCGCTCTCTCTAACCGGACTATATCTCCTCCTCTTCTTGAACAGCTGTGGCCATGTTCTACTCAGCGGCCCCCGGCCCTCATTCCTGTCGTTATTGGATGGTCCATTGGGCTGTGGATATGGCTGCATCGTTCATCGAACCTCAACACCAGACTCTTTGCGATGTATGTGCTACCCAGTAGTTCTCAAAAGGCAGTCGTAGGAACAGTGATAGTAGCAGCGGTAGTGCACCAGGGTACGTATGCCCAACGCGGGCTGAATATGTCAGACTGGGCTACCACGCACAAGACGCGACAAGAACAACGACCAAGTAGTGAGCACGACGCCAACAAAAACCAGGGCGAAAGTAAGGAACTGACGGGTCCAAGACTCTGGGGACCTTGAGCTTGATTAGCTGAGTTGCGCACGCGCAGCCGTGTCGCAGGCGGATAGAGAGCTTGTGCGTAAGCCGTCGAGTTCGGCCTCATCCATGGGTCGAGAGCAGCAGTCGCAGGAAGGCGTAGTAGACGCGCGATCTGGAACAGATTCCGCTCATGCTTGCACGGCGCCGTTAAAAGCAAATGGCGTCCGCAGCGCGAGTGATTGTGAGCGAAGCTTTTGCTTGGCGCAACCCAGAGACGTGGTGTTGTTGCTGACTTGGAGGTGCGTGAAGGCGTAGTCGAGCCAACCAAACCTCGCCCCGTGAGCACATGGGCTTGGCGTGTTGACGCATGCTGGTGCGCCCCTGTCTCAAACCTGGAGCGCCGAGTGCTTAGTTGCCACTCTTACTGCTCAAGAGGGTTATCAAGTGACATGCCTTCTATGGCAGGCTCGAGCTTCCGCTGCGGAAGCTACTCCATAGTGCCGCGACGGAGCATCGTGGAGGTCACCTTCTACATCCGGAGTCGTCCATGAAACAGCCGCCATCTTACATATGAAGCCGGGGGATCAATGAGGGCTGAAGAGGAAGACACGTGTCGGAGGTTCACCATGGCAAATGCTGTCTCGGCTTTTGCCGGCCTCCGATGCACTCGTTTACCGACAGATCATGATGATCGAGGTTGTGCGGCGAAGTAACCTTAATTCTTATCAGTCCAGGACGCTACCCCGCGGGGAGATGCTAATCTTATCTGATTGGACATCAAGGTACCTGCCTGTGTGAATATCGGTATCAACTTTTCGCATCATGGAATGCGGTTGAATGGACGTTTCGTTCTCGTGTATAGAAAGTTACATTTGCTAGAAAGTGCATCTACATCATCGCAACTTAGCGCTACTCTGCGCTGTTCGCTCTACTGACCATCTCGTGGCTTTCATAGCTTTGTTTGCCTTTGGCATGAACTCCAGGCACATACTCCAAATCCTCATCCTCTAGATCAGTGTCCAAGTCTTCCTCGTTCAGCATTTCTGGGTTGAGTGAAAAGGCGCCCTTTGGGACAAATGTGCTTGTCATGACCAGTACGCAGATTATGGTAAACTGTACGGCGCCTACATTCAGTATAGCCCCGTGAATCTGGTCATTGTGGCGATCCGAAACGCGGTCGATGTATGTACCGAGGGAAACGGAAGCGATTGCGTAAGTGACAATGTATGTGCTATATAGGAACGCCATGACGGCTCCGAGTGCGGATACGTTTTGTGTCTTCGATTCGATGCGTGCTAGCGATGCCTGGATGTATGCGGCCAGCGATACGTCTCCGGCAGCCCACCCAAAACTGATGGGGAGGAATGTGGCTGCTACGATCCAAGCTTGGGCGACATCGTCCTTTGGGGGGTTCCAGTACGGCAGGTACCAAACTATCAGCAAAGCCAGTGCGTCTAGCCGCAGCCATGGTATCGGAGTGTGTACCAAGTTGGTGAACATGAACACGAACAAGGCTCCCAGAAGTTCGCCAAAGTTTGAACCTCCCACTATAATCTGTGACCAGGCCGAGTTGCCAAAGTAGCGTCGTGCTACTGCAGGGGCGATCGCGTTCTCGAGATATCGGTGCGCGTAGAGTGCAACGGCATATCCAGGCAACAGCCAGATAAACTTGCGATGTGTGAAGATGATCTTAGCACCAGTTCCGATCGACTCGAAGAAAAGGTAGAAGCCGTTTATCACGGCTTTGACGTAAGCGGGTTGGCTCTCTGAGGTCGAAGATGTATTCTCCTTCGGCATGCTAGCTTCTTGGATGAAGTACCAGAGTATCGATGCGGCGGCGAAGAAGATGGGAGTGATGATGAAGCTGAAGTTGTTGCCGAAGCGAGGAATGAGCGCAAGTGCTGTGCAGAATGCACCAGCAGTACCGCTAATCTCGTAGAAGATGTGGACGAGAGAGTCCATTCGTCGGAGCTTCTGAATGTGGCCGCCAACTAAATCTCGAGGAATAACTCGTCGGATCAATTCAACCATGCCATAAACTATACCGCAGACGCAATCTGGTGACTGTCAGCAACCTTGGAAGCACATATAAAGCACTGCTTGTCTAGATGCCCTCTTGGGCAACAGGCTCAGACGGCAGACAGCAAGGAGGGAAGAACCTGAAAATAAGATCCTTAGGTAAACTGAAAGCACAGACTTACAGATAGGTATCATGGCGTCCGTGTTGTAGTCACCGTAGTAACTAAAGTCATCCTCCGGCCATCCGCGCGGCGCGAATTTGCCGCCAGTTGCAGCATCCAGGATCAGTAGAAGACTGCTCATGAGGGCGAATATCAGCATCGCGCAAGCCAGAACGTTCTTGGTTGGATATCTTTTGATAAGTGGCGCGATTAGAATTGAACCGACACACTGAAAGGCCTGATTAAGTCCCGTCAACACACCGACACGCTGGAATGTGATGGAAGTATGCGTCCTCTCGCCAAGATCATCGTATCGATTGGTCGCGAGCGCAATAACAGATCCGTTGAAAGCCTCGAGTCCGAACTTGTACATCATTATGCCAGCGATGTACATGGCGATGTTCCTGCGCTCGACAGGCGTGTAGATGTTCCATGTTTCCCGAATGACAGCAATAGGCCGGACCATGGTGACAGTCGGAGTACGTAAGGTGCAGTGGTGGTGCTACGGGGAGCAACAACTAGCCCGCAAATGCGGAGAGACCTGGTTTATACGTCCACGATACCGGAACAGTGGTGTTGAAGAATGGACCAATTGAGGGTGAAGGCTATCGCATGCGGTACGCTACCGCTTCCCGTGGAGGTTCAGAGTATGCGACGCCCACATCTGTGACGAGGAGGCATTCCAAAAGCCTTGTCGTTCGCGTTAATTGAAAAGACGGCGTGCGACGTCTGAGAGCCAAGTTGCACGGCATGACCCCAGTCGTGGTGAGGGCTTGGCGTCTCCGTCAAAAACTGGCCATTCAGGTGGCCCACGTGGGCTAATACCTGGACCGCCCGGGGTAAGCATCTAAGCCGATAAGAAATGCCAACCTGACCAGTGCGTTGCAGATGGCAAAGCCCCTCACTCAGCTGTAGTAACTGGCGATATGCATGCATTGTATGAGATGTCGGTATACCATCATAAAGCGAGCGAGGTATGATGAAGACGAAACCATAATGAGGCACCTTGCGCATGGTGCATCACGCTTTCTTTCTCTTGACGGTCCGCCAGGTACCGGCAACTGCATCGAAGTGGAGATCTGTAGCCCGCCATTGCAGAACTAGCTCTTAGGCCGCTCATCATCCTGGGTGCGCATCAGTGGAGTGAGATGGTCACGAAGATAGTCAAGTCAAGTCAGTTGGCATGGTGTAAAGGGTTCCTGCATTAGAACCAAAAGTCAGGAGGCTCGTTTAAAGAATGGTCTGTCCAAGTCAGTCTAGGGACAGACTAAGCGCTAGAAGACAAAGCTGACCTGCCTGTGCCTGAAGCTCCCGCATCAGTGATGGGCACTTTTTGTCTTTGGTACTCGAGCCTTGTCGTAGATACGCAAAAGACGAGTGTATGAGTGTTGGCCGCTACGGGCATCATCTTACGTTTCTAGAGGCGACGCACAGTGGCAGTTGTGGGTATCAGATTGTTCATCACACCAGATAGCCAACCCGCAGGACCTCAGTCGGAGTCGCCCTCGTCGTAGCGCCTAGCTTCCTTGGCTTTGGCAGTCCTCTCCTCGTCTTCGGCCTCCCTCTTGGCTAGACTATCGCGCATCCTCTCCTCTTGCTTCCTCCAGTGACTTCCTTCTTCATAGTCTGCACTAATGCCCAGTGCCTTCCGCAGCCTCTCGCTCTCCTCCGCTTTCGCTTTGGCAAGGTCGTGAACTTGGTGCGACTTCAAGCGCCTCGCGTTTGGACCAAGATCTTTGCCGTCTTTGCGCTCTTGATCTAGCTTGCGACGCAAGCCTTCACACTGGTCATCAATTTCGTCTTCGTCAACGCCCTCATCTTCAAGCTTGTCGCGCAGCTCAAGGACCTTGACTTCGATGTCGCGCTTTGCTTCGTGTTCGAGGATCTCGGCGTCTGGTTGTCGGGGGCGGTGTTTGGCTGATTCCCAGTCCTTGGGGTACGGCTGAACTTTGTCGCGTTGTCGAAGGAGGGATCGGTTCTTCTGGACGTAACCCGAGGTACCGCTACCCCTAGGTGTAGTGAGACCTACGTTGTCGGCCATGATGTGTGGTGAGTAGAGGGTGAAGGTGAGTGTTGGGTTGGGGCGAGTGTGGCTGGCGCGAGAGTGATGATGGATCAGGGCTGGTTTGCGGAGAGTTCGGAGGTGAGGTCCAAGCGCAACCATGGAATCGCTTGCCCCACCAAAACTTTCCCTTGGTACTGCGAAGACTCACCCAGAGATGGAGTCATTATTTCTGGATATATATCCTCGGGGCGCATTTCTTCTTTTCTCCTCACACAAGTCCCAACCACCATGAGCACACAAGACACGACAAGCGACGACACCACCTCTGCACCAGTAGAGGTGGGGTATCGAGAGCTGCCCTTCCCACCAGTCACTAAGGAGCACATCTTGAACTGCTCCTACCACAAATGGCATCCGAAGTTGGTATCCCCCTCTCAAGAATTTGCACGTTTCTGACATCAACAGATACCGTGCCATAACACCAAAAGCGCGTTTGATTCCTCTCCCGTCTGCCTTCCTCGACTACCTTCGCTCAGACGGCATCATCCTACCCCCCGAGGAGACCGACGATCCTTCATGGTCGGACAACGACAGCGGCATCTTCTCAGGCGCTGACAACAACGATGCTGATGAAGACGAGAGTCCAGACCCAAGCGCGCACTGGCGCGATACACACGAGGCCATCGAGCGTACTATTGAGGAGCTGGGCGGCAAAGTTGCGCCGAAGTTGAACTGGAGTGCGCCCAAAGATGCGACCTGGATAGCCGCAACAAACAGCATGGAATGCCGTACACCGAACGATATCTATCTACTGCTGAAGAGCAGCGACTTCGTCACCCACGATTTGGCGCACGCCTTTGACGACACAGCCGACCAGTCTACAACCCCAGACCCAGAGATTCCTTACCACCTCGTCTTAAGGAAGTGGATCACACTAAACCCCAGTGTCGAGTTTCGATGTTTTGTGCGGAACCGACGGCTGATTGCCCTTTGCCAGCGGGATCTGAACCACTTTGACTTCTTGTTCAACATGCAGGACAAGCTACGCGATACCATTCAAGACTTTTTCGATGCGAAACTGCGAGACACCTTCCCCGACCCTAACTTCACCTTTGACGTTTACGTGCCGCCACCGCACGACAAGGTCTGGGTGGTCGACTTCAACCCGTGGGCTGTGCGGACTGACCCTCTCATCTTCTCGTGGATGGAACTCCTTACTATGGAGGTACCTGATGCACCTGCGTTCGAAGAGACGACTGTGCGTCTGAAGATAGCCCAACCAGGAGATAAGAGCGAGCCGATCAAAGCAGATGATAACAACGTAGATGAAGACGAAGATACCGATGATGATGATGACGACATTGAGGAAATATGGCAGCCAGAGTTCCGGCTCATAAGGAAAGACGATCCGGAGGCTTACGGCTTCTCGACTCCACAGTACAGTGCGCACAAGCTCCCCAAGGACGTCGTGGATGCAAGTAGTGGCGGAGAGGGTCAACTGCGAGAGTTTGCGATGCAGTGGGAACAAGCGCAGAAGTTGGCTGAGCAACAAAGAGCCGAGGACAGTGAGGACGATTGACCTAAAGGGACTACCGTAGCGTAATCGAAGAGTCATAACTGCATACATCTTGGCGTAAACAAACAGCCGTTTGCAAAAACGTGATTGGGCATTCGTGACATATGGCCCTGAGCAGTGGCCAGCCTCGTCGCGTGAGGCTCTCGGCCCGCCACCGTGACTCGCTCATGCAGGGCATCTGTGTGTTTCACCGCTCTACACCCCACATCCATGATTCGTCCATATCCCATCTTCGATCTTTCTCACCCAACCTTACAGCAACACGTAGCTCGAAGTATTTTGTTTATGCTCTTGGTATGCTTCTGATGCAATAAATTCTGCTGAAAGACTATACTTTTGAACAACATTGAAGATCGCAAATTTCCTACAACCACAACATGAGTGTTTCAGACAGCAGTTATAGCGGTTTCTTATCGTTACCTACCGAGATACGATGCCAGATCTACGAGTACCTCCTCACCGAAGAACACGCGATCACAGTCAGTGCTGGTTACACTACGTGCTTTGGCAATAGAATCCAGGATCGCGCACGCAAAATCGAAATCCCCGGTCTACCACTCGATCTCGCGCCGCTGGCACGACGCTATTACGATCCGTCTCTCCTCTCGGTCGCGAAACCACCAACGATTCCTGTTGACAATGGGCATATGGAAGATATTGAGGGCGAGAGACTGGGGTTCTTCGCTCCGGTGGCGCTGTTGTTGACTTCTCGATTGATCAATGACGAATTGACCGATTGCACGCGAAGACGAAGCCATATCGCGCAGGCGCGTTCTACAGTTGATGCCGATGGTGTGGTACAAGACGACGGAGAAAATCAAGAAGGACTATCACTCTACGTGTCTTATCCATACGGTGTCTTGGTGTTGAAGAACCAGTACCCATACCTCTTGAAACAAGCGCGAAGAGTCTACATCTCTGGTTATTACACCCCTCGCCCGGAAAACGGGCTTGATCCTCGAGATCCAGACATGAGCGATGATGAACGCTTGACACCTTCTAGTAGTTTCGCCGTATCATCCTTCAACGCCCCAGCGTCAGGACCATCCACAAGCTTCACCCGGTCTGCTAGTAACCCTTCGACACGATCAGCTCGCCACGGCGTCTCAATCAATCCCACACGTCCGCGCCTCCGCCTTGACCCTCCACTCGCCCGCGAATCCCGACACGCAAATAACGTGCCTCGGATATTCCCGTCCTTCTCCGCGTCCACGTCGAACGAAGCTCTCGCGGCCCTCGCCCACCTCATCGCCACACTCTTCCCCAAACATACGACGCCCCTTGCAAAACTCACAACACACATTCTGTTTCCCGGGGAAAACTCCTACGGCTCCGTCTGGGGTGATGACAACAGCCCTGTCTCGCACATCCTACGCAGTATACGCGGCGGCAAGATTGCTATGAAGGTCATGCGGGGCAGTTTGGGGACAGGACTCAAGTTGACGGCTAGGCCAAAGCCCGAGACCAGAATTGTGAGCACGAGTTGGGTGAATTGGAAGAAGGGCGATATTGCTGGGAGAGGCGGAGCGATGAACATGAGGAGGGCAGGTGGTAGGCTGAGTGTAAGTGATTTGGATGCGTTCCTGATGGGCGAGGAGGAGTCGTAGGGTCATAGTTTGGTTGAGACTGAAAGGGAAGGGAAGATTCTGCTGGGCTGACACGGTTACTGCATGCTGTGTCCAGATGTGCTGGCCATTGCTTCTACGATTCTATGTACAGTATATTACGCTCAAATTTGCATGTTCGTCCAATCGAGCGCTTCGCCAGACTATGTAGATAGTCTGTTGGGACTTGGCGTGCTTCATCATTTCTGGGAACATTTCTTCTGCCCTCTCGTGGCTACAAACAACTTTTCCGATTGTTGGCTCTTCAGCAGTGTATAGTTCATTGAAGTTGTCCCTGAAATTCTCTACTTTACATGTAACAGTAGAGCGATATCTCAGTCAGTACTCGGAGGGGCTTCAACAACGGGAGAACGTGCCGTTTGTGCGTCGCCAGCTGAGGTACCTGCTGTGGTTTCTAAGGCGAGACAGGCGTGTTCGTCGAGGTGCTGTGTTTACAGTGAAAATAAGCCCGGTTATCTCGATTATAGTGACGAGATGAGTTGATATGGATTCGCAGGAAGAAGGTCTTGGTTGACGCCCCAAATAGCCGTTCAACTACCAGCTAATCCACCGGACAGATCCCGGAATACCGATGGCAAGGTCTCGCGCATCCGAAAACTCGACTTTGACAGTACGATCACTATCTTCCGGATGAGTTAGGTAGAATGCAATGATGCGTAGATGCTCCGGCACTTCTAGATCTTGATTCAGGTCGTGCTCCGGTAAACCTAGCTCTGATCGCGTTCGTTCTTGCTCTAGCCGCAAAGCCTCTTCTGCGATTTGGCCTGCAAGCATACCATCCCAAAAACCCTCTCTTCTTGGATGGCTTAGCATGAGCCGTACAGCACGTTTCCGCAACACCTGACAAGACGAAGGTGCGCGGACTGCTATGAGCCAGAGCGCAGACGTTGGTCCCACTGGGGCCTGGAATATCGGTGTTAGAGCACCTGATAGTGGCAAAAGCTTGGCAGCGAGTTCGAAGATGCGTACAAACTGTGCGGCGACATCGAACGGCTGTTTAAACGGCCCATGAGCTTGCTTAAAGTTACCCAAACAGGGAAATTTGACTACCAGGTCAGACCTAGGATCACGCAAGAGGTACTCCATCTGAGCCTGCGTGAGCTCCAGAGCGGTGAGAGGTTGGAGAAATTCGTCGCCGAAAGCAGGGGTTTGTTTCCAGAGATGTTCCATGACGGCTGCGCCTCGATGGAAACGCATGATGAGTTCGGTCTGTTCGTTATATGCTTCGTCGACTTCATCCTCTGGGCGCAGCTTAGTCCTCTGGTTAAATGCATGGATGCTGTTCATCAAGCTCTGCGTGTGTCCTAGCATCGCATGAAGTGTAGACATGTTCAAAGTATGAGTTGGTGACGCGCTCAGGGTTTTTGTCTTGGGCTTTGCGACCCATGTGCGCGAAAGGTGCGTGGGCATTATCGCCCTGATTTGCGTGTCGAATCCCACAAAGATAGTGCGCAAGGACTCCAGTTCTATCGGGTGACCAAATTTCTCGTTTTCCTCTTCATCTGCCTCGTTCAACATCCGTATGCCACTACGTACGTGCTCAATTGCGTCTCTTTGGTAGCCTTGGAGGCAGCACATGCTAGTGAACAGGATAGCACACGTCATAAGGGTGACCTTGTCCGTTCGAGCTACCTTCTCGCTCGATTTCTGTTTTCTCAACAGATCCTGGATCGCTTGATTTGATTGCCGCAGAGCAAATTGCAAGTACCTGTCCAGCATGGCAGATTCCTTGAGGTGCGAGTCGCTACCTTCGGAGAAGCGTCGATACATGGCACCCAGAGCAATGATGCAGTGCTGAATTGCAGGTTCATGGTGAGCGGCCTGAAGCAATTCTCGCTGCCAAAAAGGCGAGTCAAGAAATCCGCGCAGGTTCGAGACAGCGTAGGAGGTGAAGAACTCGAAGCTCTCCCGTTCCTCTTTGCTGTTAAGCCGCATGGCTGGCGCAATGAATACTGGCGATCCAGCTCGTGTAAGGCTCCAGCTTGACCCAGAGTGAGGCGAGCCTCGTGATGAGTCCGGTGGAGAGGGTGTTGATGATTGCGCAGGCCTGAAATTTGGGTCGTAGCCATCGCACGTACGGCCTGTTGAAGTGCATCGCCTGCAGTGCGGCTTCTCCTCATCACACTTGACTTTGCGTATTCTGTACAGATCAGCAAACGGCCATCGAATATGCAGCATTACAAAAGGAACAAATGATATCGCTCCACGTGCAGAGTTCGATGACACCTACTGGTGGCACCATTCATACTTCCATGATAAGTTGTCGCGTCGATGGTCAACTTTCGATCTGGTCGTTGCGGGATCTTGGGCTGGACAACCGCGAGAAACGGACCCAACTCCTGATGTAGAGCCAGTCGTACCGTGTTTATGAGAACTTGCGCGCCCATTGACGCAATCACTTACTTGCACGTCTTGCAACCTGAGCGGGCTTTAGGTTTCCAAGCCCTTTGGCGTGGTTTACCGGACACGGTTGCCGCAGTAGTCATAGCGATTGGGGCAAGTGCGATCTGACCAATGAAAGAAGACCCAACGAAGCCGAGTGTACGAGCGAGCAAGTAGCAAGTGTCGGGTCGAAGGATTTTACGATCGCGCAAATGATATCGATGGTTTACAAGCTGTTTTTGAGGCTGCATGAAATTATGCAGCATTGCGGCGCGGTCGTCTAAATGGTTAGGCCACAGTGACATTGGCTGCGGGCCTTAAGCCAACGGCTATTATTATCGAACATAGCCAATCAGCATACAGTCCGACAAGGGTTATGATCCTTCAGGGCGTAACAGGACGAGAAAAGTCGACGGAAAAGCATCCATCTGGACGTTAGTGAACCGTTATTATTAGATCGAAACGTTGTCTACAGTGATCGATGTGGGATTTGTCCCTCGTTCGGGTATGCTGTACAGGCCGAAGAAGTGGGAGCGACCGAATCCCAGAGTCTCGGGGTTTTGTATCGCCCGTCAAAAAAAGGTCTTTAACACGCATTGACCTTGGTTGTCACTATCTATATGTTGAACGAAGCCTTCTCACTGGCATGATATTGTCATCAATCAGTATGTCGTCGCACGGACGACTGAGCATTTTGATAACGCTACTTAGAAATTCCGCCAAAGTTTCTGTACAAAACCTTGCTTCCCCTGCGGCCCAGTATCTGAATTTCCCTGCAGGTATTCGTCTCTCATATCCAAGTCCTTTCTCATGCCTGTGTCAAGGTCAACCTCTTGACTTCTTCTGAATCTCGTCTTGAAAAGAATTTTGTACCCCACAAACATAATTACGAACACTGGTAGCATAATGTAGGCGTCGACGAATGTACCCGCATCGAACGGACTCAGTGTTGTCCAGCCCTGCACAAGCGCAAGGAAGACATTAGCGCATACTCCAAAGTAGGCGTTGGCTGGATAGGCGAACGACCTGAATGGTAACATGTCGGGAGTTCGGCCTTGTGCTTTCCAAGCTTTCCGGAAACGGATGTGTGTGAAAGAGATAGAGCCCCAAACAAGGAAGGTAGAGACACCGGACAGATTGACGATATAGGAGTACGCTTGACCTCCTCCAGTGCTGACGTTCATCATGGATATCGCGCCGAACAAGTTCGTGAAGACAATCGCATAAACCGGCACTCCACGGCTATTCGTCTTCCCCAAGAACTTGGGCGCCATCTTTTCTTGTGCCATGAAGAGTATTGTTCGAGACCCAATGTAGATTGAGGAGTTGGCAGCGCTCAGGACTGTAATGAAGATGAAAGCATTGATAAGATGCACACCTCCTTCCCACCCAGCGTTTTGCAGCGCTATAGTCATGGGGCTCTTGAGTGCGCGGCTGGCTCCGTTTGCTAGCCCGTCCGCGTTTGATGGACAAGTGAGACCAAAGAAGAAAGCAACTCCAATGTACACGAAAAGGATTCGCCAAATTACTTGTCGAATTGCCAGCGGTACGGCTACCGAAGGGTTTCTGGTCTCTGTAGCAGCCACAGCGACTGCTTCAACACCGGCATAAAAAGTCGAAGCGAATACGAACACCGTAGCTACTCCGCGGAAACCATCGACCCACGGACCAGGATCATGCCAATACCGGAACCCGAGTGCTTCGTTCTGCCCAATGAGGCCACCAGAAGCGTAGATGATGGCAAAGATGAAGTAGGCGCAAAGACCTGCAAGCTTGACGAGGGCAAGCCAGAACTCTGCCTCGCCAAAAGATTCCACACCCAACATCTGAAAGCCTAGGAATGCGAACCAGAAGATCAGAAAATAGCCCCAGAGAGGTACTTGTGGGCCCCAGAAAACCAGAATCGAGGAGACGACATTGTACTCGTTGGCTAGCACGCATGCCCAGACCAGCCAGTACTGCCACCCCACTGCTACTCCGAAGGCCTTGTCGACGAACCGATCGGAGAGTGTAACGAAGGCACCGCCTGTTGGGTACAATGTTGTCATTTCTCCCAGGGATTGCGTGATGCTGAACGCTATGAATCCGATGACACAGAAAGCTATGAGCAGAGACGCTGGACCTCCCTCTCCTAATGCTCCACCGGTGCCGACAAGAATACCGGGTCCAATAATTCCAGCGAGCGCCATCATGGATAGATGCCGAGTTTTGAGACCTCGCTTGACTCCGCTAGGATCGATCCGGTTGAAATCATTGTCGTTGAAACTTGCCGTGGGTGACGGGTGCTCAGCGTGAGCTTTCGAGTCGAAGACGGCCATGTCGAACCGGAAGATGGTGGTCAGGAAGATAGACGCTCAAAACTAGGCATGTCATCATTATAAGCGAATTCCTAGTCTTTCACTTGGCGTGGGAACGGTTGATCTCTGACGAATAGTAATAGACTACGGCTTGGTGCATGTTGCGATTTTCATAGTGGATTGCGCGATAAGATGGTCTAAGTGTCTCTACGGCGGAATCGCGAAATTCGCATCTGAAAGTATCATCTTCGAGACTCTCAATCACCGTGTCTCGCCTCCGAATAACCTAGAAATTGTTGCTGTGTTTGGTGCTTGTACTGGAGCAGGATCGCAATCGGGTGGCGGGGGCGTACGGTAGAATAGCAGTTGAGATAAGCTTGGTCCACCTTGGGCTTAGCTTACCGGATTTTCGATCCTTCACGTAGGCGGCACTTCTCTCGGTAAAATACCTATCCCAAATCCACTAATCGTGACCAACGACAACGGTTACCACGACATGGGATTTCCTTAGTCGCTTAATCCTGCAATGGAAAGAATCGGTAAACCCTAGTGCGTCTCATTGCAGCATCATCAAGCAATCTATCTGTCCCGACTTGCAGCAAAATGAGCTGAACAAGGCTCAGTCACGATTGTGGGTTTGTTTGTCAAGGAAGCCGTTGTTATCATTCGTAATCCTCTACAGAATCTATTACCCATATGTACCCAGATTTCTTCATCTATCATCCATCGTTGACACTGAACCAGTCAGGCCTTTATTAACATTGAGGTAAAGTAGTATTCCTACCCAGCTCGTTGGAACAACCAGCTTAGTTCCTGCCACCAATCTCCATGCGCTTCTTGAGCCTGTAGGCGATGGCCCTCTTCCTGGCAGCGGCACCCTGTGTGAAAGCAACAGATCCACCAAAGGGTCCGGCAGCAGCACCGTTGCGAACGCGCATGACACAAACATTGTTGACACCAGCGACAGTCGCGTCGCATGTCATGCCTGCCGGCATCTGCACCTTCATCGCGAACTCGGTGTTGGTGGCGAGAGAGATACCTTGAACACCGAGGCCAGGAACGTCCTGAGTAACGGTAGCAGGCTGCATAGCGGCCTCGTCAGTACCTCCTGAGGTACCGTCGACATCGGCAGTGAATGGCCCAGCACCATCCTGGTTGATCTAAAACGACTTCGTTAGACAAAGTTGTACAAGAGTAGGACTCAAAAGCTTACCTGTCGAAGGGTCATCGTGACGGTGCCGTCATCAGCACATGTGGGTAGACCGCCCGATGCCCCCTGTCCTACTGCGGCCGCTACGCGTGCCTCTGGTGGGCCGTTGACCTTGTCACCACCCCCGCCAAGCAGTCCAGCGATACCAGTGGCACCAGCACCGCCACCAGCACCGCCACCAGCACCGCCAGCGCCTCCACCAAGAAGACCACCGAGGAACTGACGCTTCTGGCCGGGCTGCTGAATGTTGTCCTCGACACCAACACTTCCAGAGGCACCGTTGTTCGCAGGGGGTGCAGCACCCTGTCCCATGAAAGCACCAACCATAACGGCAGCATCGACTATGCCGTTACCCTGTGTACGACCAAGAGGACCTGCCTTGCCGCTCGCAATTTCCCTGTCCCTGATGATGGCAGTATCGGCTTGAGAACCGCAGCCGCTGGAAGTCTGGTTAGTTGTTTCTACTAAACATCATTGGTGTTCAAACCTACTTGCTAGAGCAGTCGCGAGGGGTGCCGTCTTGGATGGTCAAGCCTGGCATAGTGACACCATTGGCGCCCTTAACCTCGGTGACTACACCATGAGCAGAAACAGCAGCCGCAAGGGCGAGCATGAGTGCTGGTGAGAAATGCATTTTGTATGTGTGTATGTGAAGTTGAGATCAACTCGGTGGATTAGAAGGTTTTGCTTGGAAAGAGAAGACGAAGAGCGAGAAGCACCAGGCTAATCAAGAAGGAAGTATTAATAGGGAAGTTGAGAAATGGAAGCTGATGATGATTGTAGACTCGACTTCCATAGGTCGTCTTATACATTTGGTTCATCGTCCTTCGTTGACGATCTACTTCGCATCGTATTCTCCATTGGGATATTAGCCGCCCACCCCACCCCGCTCGTCATTGGCATCCCAAGGCCAGTATGGAGACATGCCAGCTCTTGTATCAAGATGCGTTTTCGAAGGTCTTCCGGCAAGGCCAACTGTGCTTGGCTGCGGTGAGGCGTTTCTCTCAGATGCTTGGCCATGGCGGAATGCCGAATTCCCAGGCGTCGAGAGGTGTCAACGTTCCAACCGCCAGTTTCGTCTGCGCCTGGGGATGAAGGCTAAAGGCGCCAAGGCGAAAACCCTCAATGCAAGAAGGGTAATTCGCGAAACGCTGTACTCGGAACTGCGGCATTCTACTAAACAAGCAAACACATCTGCGTTTCACACAATAACACATCAGATTATTGACCTATGGGAACTCTTGCGTCACGTAAATTTATCAACTCCCACTGAAGGCCATGATGATTAGTATTACATCTTTAGTGCATGAGAGCTTCACTACAGCGGCAATCGTACTTTGGTATCGTTCTTGGAACTTGTATAGAGGAGGGTTTCTCCACGCGGTATGCATGACATGTCAGACCAAAAACGATTGAATCCGAACATACAAAACAACCAACTCAAATCATAAGTTTCCAATTACTCGATTCTATCCTGTTCAGCATCAGCTTAGGCGAATTTTAGTGTCCGCGATCCACCCGTGGGTGCATGATGTTGCAGGGCTTGTCGCCACTAGTGTTTCACCAAACAATACAGTAGATCTTCAAACATGTACTGCCTGTTCCTAAAACCCAAGACCTAGTAACATATGCGACGGATCCTGCGATCCGAGGCTGAGGTGAAGAGGCTGATGGCGGCTGTGATGGTTGGTAAGTGGACGAGTCGAGGTGTCGATGGTAATGTGGAGCAATCAGAATGTGGCAGGTGGGGCGAATGTTGATCTCATAGGCTCACCCAAAGTGATAGCGGTCCATACGAAAATCGTAAGCTGCGGAATATGCTAGCTGACCAAAATAACTGGGCACTTTCAGTACATACCGAACAATAGGCTCAAAGGTCGCATAAGTTTGAAAGAGCAAATCAATACTTCGATCCAAATTCGCCATCACATTTGAAGCCGGCTTACGGCTCTCTCAAAGTACTCAAAATATACATAAGAAACCGAGGGCCAATTTAGGACCAACTTGTTCTTTAGTCAAATGTAGGCATCTTAGTGCAGTAAAAGTGAAGCAACGCATTTCGAATGCGAGTATTCGCTGCTTGGAGACGCTCCAATTGTTATCGACACCGACGCCATATACACAGCCTCGTATTGACGAGAACTCCGTTCAATGGTATATACCCAATAATCATCACCACATTAGTTTTTCCGTCCCGAACTTTCCAAGCCAGTCAGACGAAATAAGTATCCTTTTACTCCAAACCCGTCCCCCTTCTACCCAAAGTGGGTCGTCCCCCACTAACGCTCCCCCTATGCATCCTTGATGCTCCACCACCATGCATCATATCCAAATCCACTGGCGTCCCAGCACCAAGCGCAAAACCATACGCCTCTGCGCCCTGCCCTGCGAAAACCCCATCATCACCTAGACCGTGTTGTGGCGGCGGCTCCACATTGAATGGCACGAAGTAACTGCTCATCGGATCGAAGAAATTGTTGTTGTTGGCGCTGGCACCCAGACCCATGGCGTCGAGATTCCAGAAAGCATTATTGAAGTCGCTGGCTAGGTCGGGGAAGGGGGAGAGGTTTGTAGGATCCATTTGGTGTGCGTGCGAAGGGTGTATCATTGTAGGTGAGGTATTGATGAGTGGAAGAGAAGGATGGTGAGCATGTTGTTGATGCGCGTGGTGAGAACCGGCGAAATCAGCGAGAAATTGCTGGGGAGAGGTATGTTGCTGTTGTTGGGCAAAGAGAGCAGCAGGGTCGTAGCCAGCGGCGATGGCGGCGTCTATTGCATCTTGCGAGGCCATGTTCATTTGGTTCATTTGCTGTTGTGCTTGCAAGCGGGCAGTATGACTCTGTTGAGCTTGACTATTCTGCCGTTGTAGTCGTGGCATATCTTGGTTGTTCGACGAAGCAAGATCGGGTTTCGAGATGGATTTTGATTTGTTTTTGCGCGCCTGCTTGCGCTGTTGATCAGATTTTGATGGCGGAGATAAAGATGCGAAGAACTCTTCCACACTCTGTAGATCGCTTTTGTGTCCCAGGACGGCATCAGTACCTGGCTCATTTGGGTTTGACTCAGCCGCATCTTCATAGTCGGTTTTCGAGACACCGTGTGGGTATCTGTCGAACCAGTCACCATACTGAAAGATGCTACCTTTCTTCTTGTCGCCGGTCGCGTTCGGTCCCTTCAGCTGCGCATCGGCATGTTGACGATACAGCTCCTTGAGGTTTTCTGCAATGTAATGGAACATGCCCCAGTACTTCTTCATCTTTGTCAGGTACTTGACATTGTATGCCAGATACTTCTTCGATTGCGCTTCCAACTTTGGGTTCTTCGAGAACACGCCATGAACATGGACGGTCGAAGAGAAGAAGGCCGAGTAGCCTGCAAATGGTGCGACGACGTTGTGATCCATGGCTTCGTTGATGAGCATCGAGATTTGGTTCGCGGCGTCGAGCGCAGAGCGAGCAGACTCTGTGAGGAAGTCATGTGGCATATCCTTCGGTGGTCTGCTACCTGCCGTCGAAGGCAACGCGAATCTATGCATGAACAGCATGATCTGTTGCCATAAGATATGAAGATACAAAAACGAGTTCGCTGTCTTGCCAATAGCATGACTTTTGAGGTTCTCAGGATTGTAAACAAGCATCTCAGGCAATGCCGCTTTGAAATCCTTCGCCTCCTTCTTGATAGCATGGAAGGTCGAATCGGAAGACCACATAGGTTCTGCTTCGCGTTCTTTTCCTCCCAAGTTCATGTACTTAATAAGCTTACCCCAGATGCATACCAAACGTATGGTGTACGCTGAGACGCCCATATTGTCGCGCGGATTCGCCAATTGACCGCTGTCAGGTGGAACGGGATTCGGCACGGCGCCTTCCAGGTTCTCTGTTGGCGCATGTATTTCGTGTACGTACAGATGCTCTTTGACTGGTAGCTGTACTTCGATGTACTGCTCGTGTACAAAGAGTGGTCTATCGGTACCAGAGGAGTTGAATCGGTCCATCAGGAAGCAAGACCACATAGTCCGCCGCCGTATTTCTCGATCCGTAGCGCTTAAGGGTTTCCTGTCGGACTCGTTGACGAGCGGGTCGTATTCGTTCTCCTTGTGCAGTTGCAGTGCATATGCCATTCTTTGCGCCATACCACCAAACATCCAACTCCGTCCACCTTGACAAGTGCCAAACTCATGAAGTCCAAGTAATAAGTAGACTATCAAGATGGTAATGTTGGGTGCATCGTATCGCTTCAGCGCAATCTCGCGTGCCCGCTCAGCCCAGCTGTCGCCCCTTAAGAAACATGGCTCTGTGCGTAGCTGTGGGTGGTTTGAAAATCGTGCTGAGATGGCGCACATTGCTAGTATTAGTACTGGCGGAACCTTTCCAGTTGCGAGCCTTCGCATGAAGCTTGGCTTGTGGAGGAGGGGATAGCTTTGTCCATACACATAATCGAAATATACCTCAGCCAAATGTTCCTGTATCTCTTTTGACGGCAAGCTTTCCGCTCCTTCTGTTAAGAGTTTGCTCTCATCTGACTCCTTGCCACGAGACGTCGAACCAGCGGTATCTGGGTCTGCGACTTTTGCTTTTGACCATTCGTCCAACTCGTTACCGAAAGCTTCTTCCGCGGCACGCTTCTTCGTGGTGGGTGTCTTCGGTGGTGCGCCGGGGATAGCGGGCTTAACGACAGACCTGCCCACATTCGCAACAGAAGGTAAGCTTTCTTTCGGTATCAGCTTAATGACACGATCTTCCATGCGCTTCAGTCTCTTGTCCAACATGGCCATGTAGTCCGTTCTCGGGGCTGCCTTCCTGGTAGTAACCTTGTAAACACATGGTATCCGACTCCTCAGACAGTGTTTGCAGGCTGGCTTCTCGCCGGAGCAACGGATTTTCTTCCTGCGACATGCGATGCAAGCAAGTGGAAGCCTTTTCCTCTCCTTGCCAGCCTTTGTTTTCATCTCGCTCCAAAGCGGTGGATCTTGCGTATCATCCTTACTCCTGCGCGATGTCGTCGAATGGTCTGTGCCGTCGTTGCCACTGAGTTTCATGGCCAAGGCCGAAGCTTCGTTCATGGGATCAATGGCGAGCATGCGCATGGCAGGCGCGCTCTCCGGACTGGTATTGTTTCCGTCGCGGCCGGGGCTTCCTCCAATGCTCATCCGATTTGGATGCGCACTCCCGCCGCCACTCATACCTTCTTCACTCATATTGCCAACACTGCCTCTGTGATCCGCATATCCAGCCTCAATTTTTGGTTGTATCCCATCGAAATTGGAACCGAATCCTTGGCTCTGCGCAAATGTCATGTCGAAGTCGGAGAATGAGCCCATGACGTTGGTAGGACTGATTGCGGTCGCGTTTGGGGAAGCTCGAAGCTCAGGCAGGCCGTATTCGGCCAAAATCAGTGAATCGTCGTTGTCGAAGCGCGCGTGCGAGGGAGTGGCTAAAGAGGTTGCGGTCGCGCCGGAGTCGGCCATGTTCTCGACGACTGCCTGCCGTCTTTTGTGCTGTTGGGTAGCGCCGAGACAGTCAGTCTTACATCAGGTCCCAAACTTCAAGATTAGAACAAATGGTTCACATGCGCCTGCATCTCAAACCCCAAAACAACATTTCAAGCGTATCCAGGCGTCGAGACGTTCAAACGTCGTGTGCTTGGATCGGAACGCCGGCCGAAGAAAGGGAAATGGTAAGCTCCGACTTCTCCACAGGATAGTCACGGCCCTTGCTTGGAGACCAGTGGGGGCGCTAGTCTCTATATCAAAGCGCAGGCTGTGTATGTGGGGAGGAGGATAGCACGCGAGACGGGAGCGAAAAAGCAGCGAGCAACAGGCGGGCACAACTCGGGGCTGAAAGAGACAAGAAACGAGGTATGATGACGCTGGGTGATGTATCAACGCCTTGTAAAAGGTGGCTGCTGCGGCCTATCCCTCCGCCGATACTATGGCTGCATTCCCCATGTCGCCTGCACAAGGGACGGCACCAGAGCCATGTAATGGCGCCTTCACGATTCGCACGCTTGCAGCTTGCCTCCCGTCGAGGTCCGATTAAACCACGATCAAGCTTGTCGGCCCACTCAAGTCACTGGCCGCACGTTGGCCGATGCAAGCCACACAATCCTGCCCCTTCCCCACATGGCAATCCTTGCAGTTCGAGACCTATTGCTGATTATTCAGACATCACAAAGCAGTTTGCGATGCCTTCCAAGCCGCGAGCGGACAATGATCGTCGCCTGGGCTTCTGCGCTGCCTATCTTCATACAACGTTATGAGGCGCCTCATAAGCACATATATCTTGTATAACTCGATGCGGGCTTTTGCATATCACGCGGATGTCTCCGTGGAGACGAGCGCACTGTGGCTGGCAACTTTGACGGCGGGACCCGTCGTGTGCCAGGTGGTCGCTATTTTGCGGGGCGCCCGCCCTGTTCAACGTTACGACACGTTAGACGCACGCGAGGTATATGAGTTCTTCATTGCGCCTCTATATAAGCCATATGTCCTATTTTCCGATTCGACCACTTGTATCCAATCTCCGACGCCGCCTTCTCGCGCAAAACGGTGCGCCAGTCGCTTAGGCCTGATGCCACGATGCTGCCTGGACCTGTACGGTGGGTGCATCACGAGGGTTGTGCACAATGATTACTACGTAACTTGGGCGAGTGGACCGTTTGCAAAGTAGGCGACGCGACCACCACCACCACCGGAAGAATGCGTTTCAGTAATAGATGCGCTTACATATATGCTGGCGGTTGGGATCAGAGATGGGCGCCTGTCGACTTTTGGAGTGGGTACGTCATCGATTTGGAGACACCAACCCCCTGCACCCAGTTTTGATGTTACGGACTGAACCATGACAGGCCTTCTAGCTGGCTTCGGGGAGCACGGTCCTGGAATCGCTCGATGATTTGAGATAACCATCTTTCCTCGTTCGTAATTCCATTTGTCCTGGCTGGCCGCTCTTCTCCACTTAATCCTTGCATGTCATTCTTACAATATGAGTGGTCGATTTATCCATATTCCTTCAACATCTCGTGCTGTATACTTGACCACTCGTATATCACAGCGAACACATCAGATATAGACGCAAGGTCGTCCCCTCAGTTCACGACTGATCCGCTCGTCCGCTGCCGTTTGTCCCAAGTACGAGATATGATGTGTGCATGCAAACCCGTGAGAGTCGCATACAACATTACCCGAGGCTATGCACACCTCAGTAGCGAAAGAATGGGGCAACCGTCTGTACAATCATACGCGACGACCGGTCAACTGAATCAGGTCTATGAATCTTAGAGATGGCACGTATAGCGGTATCGTGGTACTGGGTGTTCTTCAAGTAACCACAAGCGCTAGCCTAACCACTGGTCACAACAATAACTACCCGCTCACAACCTCTCGCACAATCCTGAAAGAGGAACAAAGAGCGATCTGTTTTATTTCTTCCGTTGAAAAGCACCTAGAGTTCTAGCACAAAGAAAGGAGCGACAGCGACTATGCAAAAGCAAGTACTGCGAATGTGCATCTTTTCCCTCTTCCTCCTCGACCACCTATTACCTTCAATAGCCGATTTTGCGTAGGTGTCAGTCTATCCCGTCTTGGCGATTTCAGTCTCAGCAACGCCGTGGTAGGCGCCATAAGCTGAATAAGGGCTGTACGTAAGGCATGTCAGATTGTGTGCTCGCAAGCAATGGATGATGGCTGAAGCTTGACGGAGAGTGCGCACGGAAAGAAGTGAGAGTGGGGAGAGAGAAGCAGCAAGCTTACTTGTACGACCTGTACCAGGAATCACCAGCAGCCTGCACTTCCTTGGGCATGTCGCGTTTTACACTGCTGCTCGCGATATTATCCATCATATCTTTGGGCATGCTCAACATATGGCGCTTAGCCATGTTTGCATCCATCTTCCTGGCCTCGGTTTCCACCGCAGCAGAGTAGGGAGTGTATGTTTCGTAACAGGAATATCCACGCTTGGCCATGGACGCCTTTTCGGCTTCAGCCTCGACAGCGGCAGAGTAAGGAGTGTATGTCTCGTAGCAGGAATAACCTCGCTTTTCCATGTCATCTTTCGCTGCCGCAGCCTCCACTTCTGATGGATAGGGGTCGTAGGTAGTGTAGTAGACGCCATATTGGGCGTAGTTTTCCACTACGGGTTGTGTGTCGTCTCGCTTCATGTTTGCAGCCTCTGATCCTGTTAAGTGGTTAGAAGTGTCCTGATGTATGATGGGAACGAGTATGGGATGCACCTTGCTGCGTCTTGGCTGCTTCTGCTTCGGCTGCAGAGGAGTACGGCCCGTAAGAGTAGTATGGGTGGTATCCGGCATATTTGGTGTAGTCTTTATCCTGAGCCTGGTGCATCTCGGTATCGCTGATCTTTTCGAGTGGCGCAGCTACCGTCAGGGCGACGAGGCCCACGACGACGATGACGAGATGCATGACAGAAGATGGTCGGGTGGATAAGTACTGAATGTGTCAATGGATCTCTGAAAGGGGATCTCAAGGGGAGGTCAAAGATGACTGCCTGTCCTCAACACGGGAGTCACCCTTTTGTACATGTCGTTTGCGGTTGGCATTCAGCACAACCTCGATGCATGTGTCGACTGTAGCGCACATGGCGTAAGGTTCCATCCGCATGCGCGTAATATTGTGTTTGTTCACATCTATCGTAAGCATAGAGAAGTCGCACATACGGAGTAGCTTGCGCAGATGCAATGAAGGTGTTGCGTCGGGTTGCGCAGAGGTGAGTTTGGCACAGAGATGTTAGGCCCGAGTTCCGTGAAGCCATGGTTCAAATGCTCTCTATAGTGCTAGCTGCATCGATGCCCTGTAAACAAGACAAGTGATACCGGTGATGACAGCTATTCATTGGATAGTAGAATCCGGGAGATGAGGGTAGTTGTGTATCGTTGCTATGAAGTCAGCGTTGTATGCCTAGACTCAGTTGCAGCAGCTAGTTCAGAGTACAGGCTTGCTCATCGCAAACTCAACTCATGTCTAGCGCCGAACTTCTCTGGATGATGAGAGGGTGAAGTAAGTCATTCAGTCAAATTTTGCTAGTGTTGAGATACCTTTACGCAGGTTCTTCAATAGTGCCGTACCATCGTAACGAGTGAGGTAACAGATGCTCCAATGAAATAGACTGAGTTTTGCTAACGTCAATTATGAACATATAACAGGATCAGGTACTGCGAGAAAAGTGACGAATCGCTTTTCGCATCACACGACTAACGTGTTTGACATGTCTGACGGCCATCACAGTGTTACTACTTGTCATACACGGCTGAAATTGCTGTGCTGACGTCTAATTTGCACCGATTGTAGTACTCGGGAGATTGTAGGGGGAACGAAATTGAAGAGCCTTGCACCCCTCGCTGCAAGTACATATCTGTCTCGATCTTGTCTTCCAGTCTTATCGTTCTTGATCGATGCCCGGAACTAGGACGTGTGCATCTACTGTACAGTCTCGTCATGTTCGACATCCTTCGTAACCGTCCTCGGCACGAGCGTCTATTGCAGCGCGACTCGGAGAGCCACGATGACGACACTCTTTTGCCCGGCTCATCCTCGTCAACATCATTGACTCTCAAGTCCCAAGCAAACGAACGATCGAGTCGCGATGTACAAGTCGCAGTCAGAACTCTCATAGCGTGTACCATTGTGTATGTTGGCGCAGCGATGTGGATAGCCTTCACAGTGAACGGATCAAATTTGATAACCGACCCGGATGACTTTTGCATTCACCATGTTTCGCGATACTGTATGTAACAGACGAACGAAGACGGAATAGGACACTAATAGAGATAGCTCCGGTTGTCAGAGATGTGCAACCGAATTGGCATACGCAGTTGTTCAACGGGAGCTTCCTTCACCAGAACGCATTTCGACAGCCGGCAGGCCCGGAGGTTGACGCTGCATGGGACGCGTTGGGTGTGAATTATCGAAGCGTGGTGATAGCCGAAGACGAAGCTAAACGGACGGGGCTGCGCCACGATCAAGTCAAAGTCAGCCAAGAGTATGGTGGTGGCTTCCCAGCTAACGTCGAAGGCCTTCATCACCTACACTGTCTGGTAAGCAGCAGAAGCGGTCCGCTGGTAACATGTCACTGAAATTTGAAGAACCTCCTCCGCAAGACACTGCATTGGAATTTTGACTACTACAAGTCTCAAAAAAAGGGCCCTTTCATCAACAGCGAGTACATTGTGCGCTTACACACGACACACTGCCTGGATATCCTGAGGCAGGTTCTGCAGTGCAATCCAGAGTAAGTATCCCTATGCGAACTGCATGTGAGACATGTACTGACTTGGTACACCCACGTTCAGTGTCGGGGTGCTTGGTCAAGTGTGGTGGCAGGCTGACACTGAGCCAAACCCAACGCCGTTTGTCGACTTCAACACGAAGCATCGATGCCGAGATTTTGCGGCGGTTCGAGAGTGGGCGGAAGCGCACCAGCTTCCGCCAGAGAGAGAGGTGAACATGAGCCGGTTCTACGAGATGCCGAAGCCGGGAGACTTCATCTTTCCTGAGATCCCATGAGGGAGCGCAGAGGCTGGGTGTGTCAGTGGACTGGGCGAGCAGTGCTTTGTCGTCTACAATAGTATGCTTCATCTCTTGCTCAGTTCTGGCGAGGCTTGACGACGCCATCGTGCACGATGTAGTAGACAACTGTACTGTCCGTATCTACCGATGCCAATAATACACGCTTGGTTGTCCTCCATGGATTGCTCGGGCGTTCCTCTACTGTGGTTGACGAGTCTGGAGTATGCGGTACCATAGTGAGGGCATCGAAGGTTTGGGCCAATCCACGCAGCGTCCATTTCTCATTCAGCCTTGTGGGTAGTATCCATTCGCGCTCAGGCTCTGCCTTGACCTCCAAACCACCTGCCTCCCCCTCGGCGCGCGCCTTCCTTTCGCGGTCGGCCTTCTTCAGTAGCTCGACTTGCTCATCGGGGTGGACGTAGAGGCGCTGCGGGGGAAGCCCAGAGACCAGCGGGCGGGGAAGAGGCTCGTGGGTAGTCGGTGAGTGCGTGTGTACGTGGAGGTCGGACCAATAGTGCTGGTACTGGAGGTTGTGCAGTATCTGGCGGGCGAGCGATATCTCATTCGGAAGGTGGCTTGACCCTGCGGCTGACTCGGCACCCGTTGATACGAAAGTCTGCAGCGGGGATGGCGCGATGGCATGTTTCATGTCTGGTCTTACGGAAAACGTCGTCATGATGGAGGCTGGGCGCGGAGTCGTGCTGGGGGTTTATTGGTGGTGCAAGGTTGCGCACGGCGTTGGGGGGAAGAGGAAGCTACTCGGTTGCGGAAGGAGCGAAGATCTTGAAAGACACCCCACCAGTCATATGAGGGCAGCCGAGCAACTATGGGAAGCGGCGACGCGGCCTAGGCAGCAGACAGCACACATTCTTATACCTTGCCCACGGTGGCTGCTTTCATGTCAAGACTCCTTCGAACTTGTTGAGGAACGTTCAACCCCGGTATCATCTTCAAGAAGCCGTCATCATGCTCGCAGCAATCTCCATCCCCACACTACTGCTTCTGGCTAGCGTTGCCGCAGCCCAAGAAGAGACGCCCTCGGTCGCGACCTCGCCATTCGTCAGTCCCACGCCCGAGTCGGAGGCAATCTTTACCATTCAGACCTCTGCTGATCCGGACCCATGGTCTTGCTATATGGACTGCGTGCAGCCTCCATGCCCGCCATGTAAGCAAATACCTTCTCTTCAACACAGTCTGGCACAAGCCTAATCTTGGTAGGCACCGGTAGCATGATGAGCATCCCACCCGTTACAGAAACAGAGTCTGTCGGCTCAATCAGCCCTGTCCCTATGCCTAGCGTGACAGACGTATCGATTCCACCCGTTACAGAGTCTGTCGTTACAACTCCCGTTCCTATGCCCAGTGCAACGGACGTGTCAATTCCCCCTCAAGAGTCTAGTGGTGTCATGTCGATTCCGGCGGGCGAGACACCTGAACCTAGCGCTTCTTCGAGCGGCAGTTCGGGCGCGAGTGCAACTAGCTCTGGTTTACCAGAGCAGACGACGAATGCTGCCGCGCCCTTGGCCATGGGTCACGAATTCCCAATTGTGGTCGCTATTGCTGGCGCGCTAGCTTTCCTGTAAGTATGGAGCTTGGGTAAGGGGTAGTCTGTAGGGCGTTGGGCTTGTCCAGACTAGCATTCAGTGCCATGATCGCGTTGGGTCGCGTCGGAGCCACTCCGTTCGGCAAAACTCAAAGTATGCGAACAGATGGGTTGTTGTGGGTGGAGCATCCGAGCAAAAACCTACTAGATACAAAATATAAACGAATAAACAGCATTGCACAAATTTCATGAGTTATCTCGCAAGTCTAACCTTGACGCGTTTACAGCGACGCCATGATGTGTGGCGAAGCACCTCTACGCGTATTCGTATACTAAAGAGCGATCTAGCGGGTGGCTTGACGCTGCACGTCAGTGGGTCTGGGGTTGGCAGGAGCCGCTTCGGCGACAATCTAGGCCACTTCCTTCCCATCACGCCGGTGTCAACAACTATAAGGAATCCCACATTCGCAACCATGTCGTTGATGATACAACTCCTGTTATTCTTCGAAGCAGGTTTCGTACCAATACGCATATACCATCCCAAGTGATATTAGACGGAAAGCAAGGATCCCGCCAAGGCACTGCATCATTGCCAACCATACCAGCGATCAACCACCTTGGCTGACACGTTGAGCCGCACACAAGCTTGAACGGGGCGACTCCCCTACAAAACAGGCGCAAACGCGCGACCTGCCTCTGGCAACCATGGCTTCTCAGAATAGTAGCGTACCAACGCCGGTGCCGTTCCCTCAGCCCGAAGGCCTTCGCAGCCCCAACGCATCGAGCCCTACTGTAGAGTCACCCTCTGCAACGACGCGCGAACGCACCTCGACCAATGCCTCGACCGTCTCGAATAGAATTCGTACTGCGACCGGAAAACTTATGGACGTGAACCCTCCGCCTGGCATGTGGGCAGCTACGGGAACTACAGCCGCCAAAGCCCCCTCGCTATCAGACATCCGAAAGGGCTCTTTTGGTTCTGATGGATGGAATGAGGATACACAACGGAAGAGAGCAAGCTCACGAGCAAGTCAAGCCGAACAGCGGTCGCGTACTTCCACCAATGCCGCGTCCCCCACCGAGCAATCTGAGCGCCCGTACTTCGGTGGTCAGCGCAAGGTCTCTTCGAGCAATGCGTTGAACACAGAGCCGTTTCCTGCCTTGACTGAAGAGGATACACGGCAAGCATCGGGGTACGACGGACATGACGAGCATGTTGTGGCCGGCGTGCAATCGAAGCATAGTTCCGAAACTGGGACAGAACACCTCGACGATGACAGACCGCACCAGCCAAAAAGGACCTCTTCAGGCCATGTACGTCTTCTCCTGCTCTCTCATACATGTTCGTGCTAACAGTCAGACAGTACGCCAACGGCTACGTACCACCACCTAAGCTGCCATGGACCCAGTCGTTTATGATCGGTCTCAAAAGCTTCTGGAAGTGGTTCCTGACCCCCGCCGGATTTCTCATTACACTTTACAGCCTAAACGTTGTCGCTTGGGGCGGCATGCTCTTCCTCCTTCTTTGCAACGCCGCACCTGCCATGTGTACACCTACCTGTGACGACATCAACTCTCCGCGCCGGAAGTGGGTCGAGTACGACTCACAGATCTTGAATGCACTCTTCTGCGTTACAGGATTTGGTCTAGCACCTTGGCGGTTCCGTGATCTATACTATTGGGCATGTTGGAGGATTGGTGGATCGAAGCGCAAAGAGATGGGCATTCGACGCCTTGCTGGGATACATCGGGGATGGTTTCGACTTCCGGGCTCAGATCGGTTGCCTGACGGAGCAGATGCGACCGTTGTCGATCCCGAAGATCCAGCTGTACCAATACCCGTCAAGGCGATCCCAGACCCACCCCCCACGGCGATTCGCGCGCCGCCCACTAAGAGTTGGAAGATGGATTTCGTCATTTGGAACAATGTATGGAACACTTTTTTCCAGATCGTTCTGTGCTTCTACATGTGGCACTACAACCGCATTGAGAGGCCGTCATGGGCTACTGGCCTCTTCGTTGCGCTAGGCTGCATAGTGGCAGGTATTGCAGGCATCATGATGTGGCACGAAGGCAAGAACGTTAAGAAGGTCGAAGGCGTGCCCATGCGCAGGGATTATGGGCTCCAGCAAGACGATGCTGAAGCGCAGAACATTCCGCTTGTGACTACAGGCGTGGCGACGAAGTCCTGAGAAATTTGCCCAGCTGCTTGCATTGCATAGGCAGAGTCTCGTTGAAAACGCTCATTGGAGCGGGAGTTTGCTCTTTCTTTCTTGGCGTTTGGTTAGTGTGGCGTTGCGTCAAGCACAATCTGGTAGACGCATTTTCATCATGATCAAGATACCCAGCCCACGGGCACTATATCTACCAATACCTTAGCGTAACCACAAATTCCTTCCGAGTCAAAGCTTTCCAATTGTTTTTGTATCACGTCAGCTGTCTATTGCGCAACCGAAACTCGTGGACGTTTCTCTCCGGATTTTGCCATAGGTCTGCCTCCTGTGAGCCTCGCGCCGACAAGCTTGCCGAGCTCCCCGGACAGGCCGAGCTGCATGCTAAGCAACCCAAAGTAGATCCGTTGATCAAATGACGTATGAACAGCGTACTCTGTATGGACTGGTGACAGATGCACGCGCTCTTGGTATTTATCTAGCCAAGGCCTTGTGATCTTATCATCTCTTACGGTTTGCAACATCTCCCAACACATACACCTAATACCATCTGTCGTACCGTTATTTTCGCCTCCCGACAGTGACAAACCTCTTTGCAAGAAATCTCCAAAGACCACAAGAGATGGCGGCCCAAGAATATTACCTCGGAACGCAGGCTGCGCAAGAACTGCCAGGCAGTCACCCACCACACCCATATTCATCTCAGCCACAGAAGCCGCCACAATATCAACAACCACCTGCGCAACATTACCCGCAACCAAACGTTCATAATCCTGCGTATGCGAATACGCCTCCTCCGTCCTATTCAGCATACTCTCAGCAACCGCAGCAACAACCACATGGTTATCCACCTCAACAACAATACCAGCCTTACCCTGAGAAGAACGCTCAAGCCATGACAGCGCCATACCCACAAACACCACCGGCAGGCTACTTCCCTCATCAGCAGCCGATGCCACAACCACAGCAAGCACCCCCTCAAAACAACGGTTACTTAGGCGCTCCCCTCCAACACCACAGAAGCCACTCGCAACCTGCACGTGTGCGCTTCGCAGACCAAGACTCAGATCGCAGCACAAGTCTAGGCTCCATGTCCGATTCCGACGAGTATTCGCCGCCCCGCCACAGCAACAGCAGACACCATGGTCGACACCGCAGCCACTCAACCCGCGACTACGATTCCGACCGCGACCGCAGCGACCGCGATCGCGACCACCGTAGACACAAGCCTAGGAAAACCCACTCATATGACAAAGCACATGAAGAGAAGCATAAGAACAGAGATACCTTCCTCGGCGCAGGTGCAGGCACCATCATCGGGGACGCGATTTTCCCTGGGTTGGGCACTGCAGCGGGGCTATTACTAGGTGGATACGGTGGTCGGAAGTACGCTGACACGAGGAGCAAGAGTGACTATGACGGAACAAGTAAGGAAAGGAGGAGCCATGGAGGTAGTAGGAGGTTGGGGGATGACGGATGGGATGAGAAGACCAGGACGTATCGCAAGGGTGCTGCAGTGCGATGATGACGACGATGACGATTATGATCCAACGTTTCCACTACGAGATTATGCCTTGCCTTCTTTTTGTTTAGTTTATAGATGATAGTGTAAGGCGCTTTATTTGGTTTGCTGGCTGCTGGTCAGCGACATCTTGACGACTAGTATAGTAATTTTCAACTTCCCTCTACACTTTGGACTATTCCTTATGAGACGTGTAATAAACATTATATAATTGGCATGTTCGTCTTCGATCGCTCGAGAGCGATAGCGCTACATGCTCCTCTACGTATCTTCAAGATTCCGGCGCACGTCTTCAATCGTCCTTGCGATAGCGTTGCAACCCTTTCCCTCCTACCCTTAAGCCTATGCGGATGTATGGCTTTGACCGACTGGGCGGTAGCATTCCATCCTCCTACCCAATACTTTACTCTTGCGTGAATGTATGTCTTCAACCGATCTCGCGGTAGCATTCCATCCCAAGTTTTCTTTTACAAATACATAACAAAAATGTAACGGATGCACGTCTTCAACCGCAGCGTACGGTAGCGTCACACCCACCCTTTCCATCCCCTTGAAAGTCCGAACAAGGACCTTCTAGTAGATACCGGGAACAATCCTCCACGGAACAAGCTCGACATAGCGGTCCCAGTCTTTGCCGTACTTTCTGCGGCACTTCTCCTCGTCGCGACGCTCGCGGTGAATGAGCAGGATGGCAAAGTACACCATGAAGAAATAGGTGAAGATCATACCCCAGCCCTTAGCCTCGCCGGGCACCGCGTACTTGCCGTAGCTGTCTTTGAAAAAGTACGCATCGGTTTGAGTGGCAGTGATGGGAGACTGTGCAGCGTTCTTGATGAGGTAACCAGACATCGCGGTAGGAAGGACGTAACTCCAGCTCATGAACCAATCACCGAGGTAGTTGATGTGACGCGCCATACCCCACCAGCCACTGACAAGAAGTCTCGAACCAGCAGCAGTCTCGATGTACTTGAGGTGCTTGACGCGCGAATCCTCGGGGTTGGTCCTGAAACGGTTCTTCTCGTTGTTGACTGAGCGGAAAATGTAGTAGCCAATACCCTGGACGGCCAGCACGCCAACAACTCCCATGGGGCCAAGATCAACTGGGTAGATGGATAGGTAGCGAGTCTGAATAGAGTATGTGAAAGGGACCCAAACAAGATCGCCAAAGGAAAGCATCATACCGAAGCCATCAGCGATAAGGTCGATGGTGGTAAGGATAGCGGGTTCCATGTACAGCGCATCGAAAGTGTAAACAGTGTGGGCGACGGTGACAATGATAATGCTGTCAGTAACGCGGCCAAAGTTGCGGTATTGCTGCATGATAAAAGCGAGGTCGAGGATGATCCAACCAAGCATACCCGGTCGAAGCTCGCACCAAGCCTTGATGTCTACCTCGCCAAAGATGGGCAGGTTGATACGGGGGTTCAGCTCACGTCCGATGAACCAGTCGTAGAGCATGTTACCGGTACGGCCACCAGCAGCAAGTTCGCGCATGTTGGGATCCTTGGGATGCTTGACACTAAAAGAAGCGACGTAGCAGTAAGTGGCCAAAAAGTAGGAGATGAGGATGTTGCTTGTCAGGATGCCGACGTAGTTGTCAGTGATGAAGGTCCAGACGGGGAACTCCGCACCGTGGGAGATGGTGCCAGCGGCAAGGAGAGTCATGATGAAGATAGCAGAGTTCCAGGCTGTATCTTATTAGCTTTGAGGAAAGAAGATTCCTATGGGATGAACATACCATTGAACCTGTACATGAGCCTACCACCACTCCTGAGCTCCGTTCCCTCGACTTCCTGGCCTGGAAGGAATCGATAAAGAGCCAGACTCAAGAAGTAGTAACCTAAGGTACCAAGAAAAGCTTGCGTGTTGATCAGACCAGCGAAGCCAGGCCATCCTACCTCCTTCTTCAGCTGTTCAAGGCTGAAGCTGTGCGGGTGCAGTAGAACAGGGGCTGGGCATCCAGAGATGTCATTGCACAGGAATGTGAAGACATAGACCAAAACCGGAAGACCGAAGGAGATGATGAAAGCTCCAGGGCTGAAATGTGGTCAGCGCTGTGGTCGTCAAGGCTCGCAGCATGCGTGGATAAACTTACGGTCCTAGAAATTCATAACCATGAGGTTCCTCGGCAATGGACTTGGTCGCCTTGTCAGTCTTTGCTTTCGACATGTTTTCGAATGCGCCTTGTCGCGTTCCTTGCGCGGTTAAAGTCGCAAAGTAAGCAAGGTCGACGAATAGGGGTCCGGTCGCGTCTTCACAACAAGGATTCCTTCTCTCAATTCTTGTCTTCACCGATGGTGATTGTCGCGCCGCCTGAACCAAAGACGACTACGGATGCAGTGTTCTATATAGCGATGATTGAGGCTGAGCACATCAGACGATGGGAAAGATCTCGGAATGCATTGCAGCCGTAATGACGCGCACACGCTGTCTTGGCCAGTCTAACCCCTTTCGGCCTTACCGCCCGAGGTTCCTGCCGCTGCAAGGCACCCAGACATGGGGGCGCGGCGCCGGAAGCCAACGTGTTGCGAACATGAACAATCATATCATCTCCACCTCCACCGTCACCACGCCTCGACCCTCGCATTGCGTAGTGCGCCAATCATCAACTACGCGATGATATCCCTAATCTACTCTCTCCTGCTTCTGGCAGCGTCGGGCTCATTCGCAGCGGCCGCCTCGGACAAACAGCTCAAGCCATGTACCGTCATCTCGCCCACATCCGAGCGCTTCTTCGACCTAAACCCCATGCGGCGCCTTCCACCATCGGAATCAGATGGCAAGAAGAACAGCAAGAAGGAGGGCGACGAGGGCAGCTGGCATGCCAAGGGCTACGATTACAATGCCAACTTCACAATCAACTTCTGTGGACCGGTAGTTGAGGAGTTGGACAAGGTGGAGGATCTAGACAAGGGACTGTGGAAGAACGTCAGTGCATTTTACGAGAGAGGAGACAAGCAATGGGCGATAGGGTGAGTCTGCATTCTATACGGCGGGGAAAGATGGAGGGGTCTCAGTCGAGATGCTTGATTGCGACCAGGCAGGAACATTTACTGAGGCGCAATGCTAACAACTTACAACTTTCAGTCTCGAGAACTCAGAGCCCATCTTCCGCGGTCGCAAACTCATTCTCAATTACACCGGTGGCTCGCTCTGCCCCTCTCTGTCCTCCAAGTCCAAGCGCACGCTCGAGCCCACCTCTCTCGACACCCGCGAGATCATCGACGGCGACGACGACGACGATAAGGATGGCGGCGACAAGAAGAAACCCAAGAAAGATGCCGAGCGTCGCAAGACCACCATTATCTCTCTACTTTGTGACAACGACCCGCTTGCGAAAACTAGTGTATCCTTCGTCGCTGCAGTAGACGACTGCTCATACTTCTTCGAGGGCCGCTCACCCTTCGCATGCGGTGGTGTACATCAGGACACCCAAGCTCTAGGCCCTGGTGGTGTCTTTGGTGTCATTGTATTGATCGCCGTGCTCGTATACTTTGCTGGTGGTTGCGTCTACCAGCGCACAGTCATGCACCAGCGCGGATGGAGACAGCTGCCCAACTACGCCATGTGGGCAGGTATCTGGCGCTTCTTCTCTGTAAGTCTACTCCGATGTTGTCGTAGAAGGAGTAGTAATAGCGCACGGTGGTGATGACACATTTACAAATGTCTTGTTGGTGTTGCTGACATCGTGAAGGACATGTTCATCATTCTTACTTCCTCGTGTGCGCGCTTTATGCCTTCCCGCCGGGGCTACAGCCGTGTCTCGCTTGGCCAGGACAGTGGGCGAAGAGGACGCAGGAACGAAGATGAGGATAGGTTGATAGACAACCTGGATGAGGAGTGGGACGATTAAATGGGGCAGTACGTTGGTAAACGGCATAACGACGCGGCGTTTTGGGGTTTGGTAATGGACAATTAGTCGCTCAGGAGCGCACAAACGATAGACTACTAGCATACTTGGTCTGAAAGTACAGCATGCAGCATACACTGCTTGGGATCACATTCACAAGTGCACAAGCCGTCAGAAAGATTAGTCAAGAGATGCATCAGTAAGATACTACTACAAGATGGGCATGTCTCTGGCCGGCCAACGAACGAGAGCTCGCCAGTGGCCAAAGCCGACACTAAACATACTGGAGAAGCACCGATTGAAATGGCAGGGAAGATTTCTAGTCTGCTCCCTGAACGCTCATCGAAAGAGCATACTTTCCAGCACTCTCCGCATGAGGCCGCAACTCGTAAAAGTGAAACCCATCGGATCAACTCGCCGATATGTGAACTGATATCCATGTTGAACGCCCGCTCAAGAAATCGACACACGCCAGGGGTATAATGCAGCGGATTGAAAGCAGTAAGGTCACTGATAGCTAACACGCCGCTACGTTGCCATAGCTGCGAGACGATCTACATCGCCTCATCAATGTCGTCCTCAACTGTGGCACGTAGATTAGCATGTTTCGTGACCGTGTCGTCCTTCTGCTTCTTAACAGATGGCTGGATGTTCGTTGAATCTGCTCCATCGACAGCATCCTCAACAATTTCATGAGTAGAATCGAAGATACTCCGGGTTTCTTGCGCATTGACGTTGCTGCGCTCTTCTCCTTCACTGCACGCGTCGTTCGTCTTCGCAGCCTCATCTCGTGCAATATCCGCATTGGCGATGGGCTCAAACTGCGCACTGACGCCCTCCAAGATCTCTCTGACCTCTGATCTGAGCTCACTAGCTTCCTTCGACTGCAAATAAACGGGCTGGCTACCATCCACACCACCCAGCACCCGAGTGTAGTCCCTGTTCATAAGAACAAGGATCTCATCGGCTTTGGCCTCCATGGACTCTTGCAGTGCTTTGCACAAGTCGTCGAGATGCTTGACGACAGTTTCGAGCACTTCACGAAACATATTGTCTCGCTCTTGATCAACATAGTTTGCCATATGCTCTTTCATGCGCTTGTATTGTCCTGAGCCAGACTCATCGGTGCACGCGCTGTAGGCGGTATGCATAACTTTTGCGATACAGGGTGTGAAATCGCGGTTTGCTTCACGCTGGAGCTCAGTCATTTGGATAAGAAGGGCACCTCCAAGATCTTTGAAGAGCTGTTCAAAGTTGCCGATCTGTGTCTCTAAGATTGGGAGGTTGGCCAAAGTGACACCCTTGGTTTTCGTGTACTCTTTGATAGCTTCGTGGAACCCATGTAGAAGCGTGCTTGAGTTTTTGATGTACGTATCAACGGCTTTCGGGAGACGCACCTGGAAGGCTCGTTCCCAACCTGTTGCTAACTTTATCTTGATAGGACTCACAAGATCAGCGTTGAAATCACGATGACCGGCGGCTGCAGACTGGAAAACGCCGTCGCGTCGAACAACAGCCTTGTATGATGCCCACATCAGACCGCCTTGGTCCTTGTCACCCCAAGCATACGCCGTTGCTGGCGCAGTATGTATAGCCTCATTGATGAGCTCTGGAAGCTTGTCAAAGATTTGAGACTGCAACTCTGATCGCATCTCTCTGACGCAAGTACGAATTGCTGCCTCCAATCCGTTTGTCAACTCATTGAGCCTCTGCTGTAAGTGAATGACCTGCTTTTGGGTCTCTTCTTTTGTCATCTGCAGGCCTGTTCCGTCATCCGAAGTCCAGAGGCTGAATGTGTTCAGCATCTGGCATACGGTCGTCAAGAACGCGCGACTGGTCTGAATGCGCCCACCTTCAGTAAGCTTTCTACAGTGAGCTTGGAGCTGCGGAACTTCCGTATCTTGCGGATCGACGAACCCTGGCACTCCGTCATCCTTTTGCATGCGACCGCACATCTTCTGGTACGCTCTGCTGCTGACACAGAAGACTGGAAGCGACCTAGCAACCTCGTCGTAATCGCGCATTTCTACTTCAGGGTTAAAATTGTCCTCGTCTTCCTCGGCTGCGTTTTCTTGGTCGATTTCCTTGATGCCTGTGGCGAAGTCTCGCTGAATAGCAGACTTGGAGTAATGGTTTCTGCCCGCAATACAGATACGACTAATGCTTGCTTTGATCTCAGCCTTTTTCGCTTTCAGTTCGCGAATTCGAGGCTTCAACTCGTCGATAGAGCGCTTGATCTGCCTCTCTTCACGTCTAGCGTTCTTCTCCGTTTCCCTTAACTCTTTGAGCTTTTCCTTGATGTCACCCTTGGATAGACGTGTTCTCTCGGCCTGGAATATCACTTCATCGTCACTCTCAGACTCATTGTGATCGGTATCTTGAATACCGTCGTCTGTGTCGTCATATGTATCGTCATCGAGAAACTGTTTCTTCTTGCGTGGTTGCTTGCTTGAGCCAGCCCTCTTGCGTTTGTGGGTCTTCGGCAGCGGTGTGAACACTGGGTTCCCCTCCTCCAATTCTTCTAGTAGTGTTTCCCAGAGCTCAATTTCCTCGCTTGCACCTGTGATTGCAATCTTGTAGACCTCTCGCGACTCAATGTAATCTGCAGTCTTGCTCTGGATCTTCTTAATCTGCTCGTTGTATTGGTCCTGTTGTTCCTCAAACTCTGTGACTTGTTCTCCGAGTCCGAGACTGTCAATTGCCTCAGTAACAGAGATGTCGTCAGTTTTCGAACATATGAATGTAACGCTCGAGATGCCGCCATCATATTTAAGCTGTCGTTTGAATGAGTCCCCGAGAAGGGTCTTGGCAGCCTTGTCATCGACGGCCCGATTGATAGGGGCAACAATCCATAGGCCAGTGCATTGCTTCATATATCCCTGAGCAACAGCAGCTCTTGCAGCGTTGCTGTCATGGACACCTGGTAGATCCACAATTACGGCGCCTGTTGATAGGGCACCGCTCTTCGTATAGATCTTCACGACCTTGATCAACGGCCAATACTCCATCTGAACAGCTGACTTGGATGCCTTTTCCTTGCTCTTGTCTTTCTTGGATACCTTTTCTTTGCTCCTGTCTTTCTTGGAAATCTTCTCTTTGCTGTCAACATAACCCTGGAGTTTCTGGTAGAAGTTTTGCGGTTCGGCTGCGTGAATCCTTTTCGTCGTCCCGAGTACCTCGACAACAGCTCGTTCGGACATCAGCGAAGGGACATCGCACGCGCCCAAAGCATCCTTGGGAATCGTAGGATAGACAGAATGAAACTTCGCCCATGCCTAGAAGGTACGTGTACGGAGTCAGTGTATGTCTCACATGCAGTTTTCACGAGGATGTTCCTTACTATGCCAGCATCGGAATTGGGATCTTGCGCTTCGCGCGAAAGTGTACCATTCTCGGAGAGAAAATCGCGCAAGAGAACCGTAAGTTCCTTCTCCCATTCTGCCGGGCTGATGAACTTGATCTCGGCTCGGTATCTGGATGATGGGTCGGTGCTGTTGTTCCACGACATTTCAGTTACCACCGCGGTGCAAGCGCGCATGCAATTGGTCGGGACAAGACGCTCTTCGTCAAGCATAGCGTTGATGACACTGCTTTTCCCAGCTCCTGTGTTACCTACCACACCGACCACAGTGCGCTTTCGCTCCGACTGAGGAAGAACCTTCTCAATAGCTTGTACCCACGAAGCAGCCTCTGCGCTAGAGGTTGAGTATTGAGAGAATTTCTCATTTAGTTGCGCCAGGATCTTGAGGGATGTGGAGACACCAGTCTCCAAGGCGTCAGGATCCTGGAGCTCGATGACTGAGCGAATGTAACGATCAATAGAACCTAACTCTTCTCTCCTACTCAGTTCTGGGGAGATCGCCCGCTTGAATATTTTGATAGGTTCAAAGCTGTTCTCCGGCTCAACATTACCATTTTGGAGAACTGATGTATTCTGAAAAGGAGCAGAAGATTGTCTTTCTTCCTGAATGTGAACGTTGTCACTCATTGCCGTTAGATGCTCAATCTTGACAGTAGGTGTTCCGCTGTCCATGCCTGCAGCAATAGTTTTCAGCGAGTTTGTCTCGCGGAACGCATTTGCTGAAAGATGCGGTGTGTTTGATACGCTGTTACATCGCTGTGATGACAAAGGCAACTCTTCCTGTACAGGTTGCAGAGTAGAAATTCGTGATTGGTACCATGACGGGTGCCTGGCCAGGTCTCCCACAGGCGGGACGTTACTCAATGCACTGGCATAATTTGGTGTCAATGATGGAGAAAGAACTGGTCTAGAAAGCGATGTCGAACGGCCTAATGCGCCTTGGGACGGGCTGAGGGAAGTCGTGGCAGTCTCAGGTAGTAGGTCTCTTCCCGTTGTTCCGAGACCGGCATGACCGTTTGTCGTTTGTGTGATGTGACCACTAGTCGCAGTGTCGTGTATTGTGACACCGGATTGTGTTAGTTGTTCCTCGAGCAATGTTGGTTCGCAGTTCTGATGCTGCACCGTTGCGTTTGTCGGGTCTATAGCAACGAAGACTACCAGGTCGTCACCCGGCAGCAAGAGAGATTTGATAACGTCGTTTTGATCGACTACGCGACCTTTGAAACTGAGCTGAACGGCTGTGAATCCTTGTCTCTCTTCGTATGTTTCCCGTATCTTTTGCATCGAAATTTTCTAAGATCATGTAAGTGGGTTGGTGGACACATGCGCGGGAAATGGACCTCGCCGCCTTCCAATTTTGTTTTGCGTGCATCACTACATAAAGCATACGCGCAGATCTGAAACTTACACTATGACCGATCATCCATATGAAATCAGCTTCCTCAAAGCTGTCGTTGGTGGACTTGCGATGATCGAGTACAGCAATCCAGCACCGACGTGCTTTGAGCTCCTGTTCAGGAACCACTTTCCTAGCCCGGCGCTGGAATTCGTCCCAGTCCATGTCTAGAGAGCGACCATGAGCGAAGTGCTGTGGATGTGTATTGATGTACAGTAGAAGCGAAGTTGACGCTTCAAGCAGTAG